ATTTCTCCAAACATGAGAACCCCTATTAATCATTGATTATTAATAGGTCAACTCCACCGTCCCCATCGTCGCTGAGGTCTACAAGGCCCGCAACGTCTACGACCCCAAGCGTCTGTTCGGTGTCACCACCCTGGATGTCGTCCGTGCCTCGCGCTTCATCTCGCAGGTCCAGAGCACCGACCCCTCCGGCGAGGCTGTCCCCGTCGTTGGTGGCCACTCTGGCGTGACCATCGTTCCCCTGCTTTCGCAGTCCAACCACTCCACCATCGCCGGCGAGGCCCGCGATGCTCTTGTTAAGCGCATCCAGTTCGGTGGTGACGAGGTTGTCAAGGCCAAGGATGGTGCCGGTTCCGCCACCCTCTCCATGGCCATGGCTGGTGCTCGCTTCGCCGAGTCTCTTCTTCGCGCCGCCCAGGGTGAGAAGGGTGTCATCGAGCCCACCTTCGTCGACTCCCCTCTGTACAAGGACCAGGGTATCGACTTCTTCGCTTCCCGCGTCGAGCTCGGCCCCAACGGTGTTGAGAAGATCAACTCCGTTGGTGAGATCAACGAGTACGAGCAGGGTCTCCTCGATGCCTGCCTGGCTGACCTGAAGAAGAACATCCAGAAGGGTGTTGACTTCGTCAAGGCCAACCCTTGAAAAGTTCCATGTACAACTATCCATATCTCGTCGTGACTTTTGTTTCTGTAATAATGAAAGTGTATGACAATCTTCTTTACTAGATCGATGATCCATCCTAATTCATAAATTGGTCTTACCTACGATCCTAACTCGTAGAGCTGTATTGATTTTCAACTCGTATTATGCTATTGAAACTACCTAGGCTCATTCACTCCATGTCCGCAATGCAAAAAGAAAATAAAGACGTCGCAACAGATTGATTTGCACCTGAGAGAAACCGAAAACAGCAAGCAAACACGAAAACAGCAACATGAAAGGTAACGCAAATAGCGAGCTCAATACCGGATCTTGCACCAATCTTCATACCAAGCAATCAAACCCCCAGATCATCATAAATCACCAAGTATGAATCAAGTATAGCTTCGCATGGCGTCCAGGTATCCCGTTCCACCACGTAGGTCTTGATCAAATGTCTCGGCCACCTCTAGCACGCGCTTGATATGCTCCATGGAGAGGGGCGCGCTCTCGTTGACTGCCAGGGCTTGTGCGGTACGGACAGAGTTTTTGATCTGATGGTGAAGCGGTTAGTGTGTAGGCTAGAAGGGAAGTGTATAGTTAGTAAACATACCTGTCGCCCGTTCAGTGTGTGCCTGGAAAGCATATCATAATCCTCCTCGGAGAAAGATGCAATATGCACACCCTCAATAGCGCGCACGCGCTCTAAGAACATCTTCCAAATACTCCTCTTCGCCTTGGAAGTAAGGTCACCATAACGCAAAGCGACATGGATACGCGACTGGAAGGCATCGTCAAAGGTCTCAACACGATTGGTAGTCAAGAAAAGAATGCCCTGGAAGTACTCCAACAGACGGAGGAAGATGCTGACAAGGGCATTGCGGTGGATATCGTGGATGGTGCGCTTCTCAAGGAAGACATCTGCTTCATCGAGGAGGAGCACCGCGCCCCAGGAGTGGGCAATATCCAGAATCTTGTTCAATTCCGCCTCAAGGGTTCGCGAGTCAGTACCCAGTTCACCGGCGCTGACCATATACAACGGGCGACGGAGTAGCTCTGCGATACCCTCTGCTGTTAAGGTCTTACCTGTACCGGGCGGACCATGCAGTACGGCAACAAGACCCTTGCCCTTACCTTGGATGACATCGTCGATGTTCTGCGCGGCGTGGAAGGTATGCGACTCGACGAGGGCCTTGACGATGGACTTTTGGTTCGCCGGGAGGACAAGTGAGCCAAAGGCTTCCTTATCCCATTCGATATCGCTGATACCGGATATAGTAAACTCGAGCCAGAGCTTCTCACTGAAAGCAAAGCCCAGAACGACAGGAGAGGCAACAAGCAGCTCCTCCTCGGTGAACTCACGCTCCTTGGTATCGGCAGCGGCACATTCAATGCGATCCATCTTCTCTCTCTGAATCTCCGCGCCGTTCTCGTCGACTTCCACCTCCACGACGCGCGTACATCCATCTGTATCCTCGACGACCTTGTACATCGTCCGTGGGGTATCAGAGGCACCGCCATGCTCAGAGTCCGAGTCTGATCCACCACAGCAACAGCCATCACTATCACCACCCTCATCACCGCTGATCCCAAGATCTTCGGGATCAATGAGATCCGGGTCCTTGGGACGGACAGTGGAGATGGGATAGTTAGGGTTGATGCGACGGTGGATAGCTGGATCGATCATGACGCGGCCATTGATATTGACCTTGATGATCAGGGAGCGCTTTTTCTTGTAGAAGGCCATACCTTTGTGGAAGCGGTAGTTCATACCACGGAGGGCGACGAAGCGCTTGCCGCGCTCGATGAGACGGGCACGCAGAGCCTCGGCATCGCGGTGGTACTTCAGCGGGTAGCAGGCGAGACTGGTGATCTTGCGCGCGCCCTTGAAGGCATCGACTTCAGCGGACATGGTGCCGAAGCCGTAGTCCTTGCCGTCGTACTCGAGGTAGCGCCCATCGACACTGTACCACTGGCCCTTCATGAAGGAGGACTCTTTGACGGCGTACTCGATTTTGAACGCACGTGGTTCGTCTGAGCTGCCGTAAGTTGGGGTGTAAGCAATGGTGTTGGGCTTATACAAGGCCCACAGCAGATCAAAAGTGATAGTGTTGGCCTCAAGCAGCGGGTAGAGGGTCTTTTTGATGTCTGCATAGTCCGTGTCAAGGTATTTGACGAGAACCTTCAGATGGGCAGCTTTGGTGGCAGCAATCTTTCTGGCCTTTTTCTTCTTCTCGCTGCGTGACTGCTTCTTCAACTCCTTCATGTACTGCCTTGTTTCCTCCAGATAGAGGAACAGCATGTTAGGATCGACGACGGCGGGTTCCTGGACGAGACTGACCCCCTTGACGCCATCCATGATCTTGGAAAGAGCATCGCGTAGGGGTTTGCTCTTGATATCAACGACAGTCTCGAGGTACTTGTTCTCCCAGTTGAACTTGCGACGGATGTTGAAGATGTACTGGTCCCATTCGTCGGCATCGGGGTCATCCACGGTTTCAGTGAGCTTGTACTTGTGGATGGTGGTATCCCATACTGCAACAAGTTAGCGAGGAAAGGTCCGAGCCTACGAACCTGCTGATTTGGGAAGAAAAACTTACGTTGATCTACACGCTTATAAGCCACCTTGGAAGCCGGCTTCTTCTTCTTCGACCGTTTCTCGCGGCGAGTCTCACCCACAGGATCACTCGCGGCCGAATCCTCAGAAGCCAGTTCACGCAGCTTCTTAGCTCGCTTTTTGCTAAGCTTGAGCTTAGTGACTAATTTCCGCAAGGCCTTGTCATCTATCTCGTCATCGGAGTCAGTAGAAGACTCCGAATCTGACTCGGAGGACGTATCGGATTCCGAAGCGGACGACTCCGCCTTGCGCGACCGTTGCTTTCTCTTCTTACGACGTTTCTTATCCTTGAGTGCACGTCTAGCCCGCGCCTTGCGTAGGCGATGTCGCTTGCGCTTCTCGGCATTGGAGTCGCTGTCTGTCGACTCGGATTCTTCCTCCGAGTCGGCATCGCTGTCCGATTCTGAAGAAGACGACGATTCAGAGCTATCACTTTCATCCTTTTTCTTGTTCTTCTTTTTGTGTTTTTTGCAGAGTTTAGGGGCAGGGGTAGGGGTAGTTTCCGGTGTGGCGACAGCGTCTTTGACTTCTTTGACTTCTTTGACTTCTGTAGATTGGGCAGAGCCATTCAGATTTTCTGGAACAACTTCATCTTTAGCTTCAGCTGGGGTGGAAGTGGGATCCATGACAGCTGTGAGGTGTGAGCTGTAAGCTGCAGGTTGCGGCTGAAACCGTAAGCCGGGGGGGTGGGAAAAGTTGGGGAAAAGTTGGGAAGAATTGGAGAGGGTGAGAGAGGTAGAGAGTTGGAGATTTAAAAACTTGGGATGATAGGATTAAATAGGAAACAGAAGAGACCTCCCCAAAAAAAAAAAGAGAGACCAAAATGCAAAGAAGAAAGAGAATGGCGCTGTGGGTGAGACCGCATTTTATGTGAAAGGACGCATCACGATATGCGTGATGCGTAGCCTGCGCAGGCTGCAGGCCTGAAGCCAATCAGTCGGCCCCACGAATCTATGTGCTGGTCTGCCGATTGTAAATATACGGTGTACTTATTATTAACCTGCCCAGTCTTGGGGCCTAAATGTCTGTAGTAGCCCTAAATCCTGGCCAATCCACTCGTCATATTAAGCGCCAAGGTTGAGTAGTATCAGCACATTGAAAGAACACTAGAACATATGGAACAGTTGGGTTGAGCATGTTTCACTCGATATGAAGATCCATGTATCACCTAGCTTTGTATAAAGATGTCTGGGATGGAAGTGTTCTTCAGGGAAGTATTCAAAGAGATGAGAGTCAAGGTTCAGTCAAAGATCAGCGAGAATCCGGCAATGAAGAGTTATTATCATTATAAGAGCTGAAACCGGATACAAAGGATAAGAAAGCTGAGTACCCAGTAAGGGCACAAGTTGAATTCATGTATGATCACCGGTCTTCTAACATATGAGATAAGGAGGTTCAAGCCCAGCAGGAGCCCGTTGCTTTTGCTAGAAACTAAGAGCTCGCTTCTAGCTGCTGGAAAGTCATCAGGTGTCTAGAGGTATAAGGAACTAAACTGGAGTTTTCAAAAGCCGCGATGAAGCCGATGTAGTGGTAGTGTAATGTTGAGATATGAGATATCCGGTTGTCAGGTCAAAAGACAAGCAAACAAGCATATCGCTGACATCGGACCATAGGTGGTATAGTAAACAAGGCATTTGTATTACTTCGTCCTCGTTATGTCCTCTTTATGTCGTCAAGTGAAAAGGGTGTATACCATAATGAGAAAAACACAATAGGAACATCATCTTCACCTCGTCGCCTCCCACAATGGAAAACAGAAAAGATCTATTACCTGACTTCATTCAATTGAGAGAAACCAACGACACCCCATCTGTTCATGAATCGGAGGATAGTTTAGAAACACGTGAAAATCAGAGCCCTACTCCCCGTGCTAGGCTTGTTGAGCCAGTCACGTCTGTAAGTTGCAAGTCTTGATCTTCTCGTTTACCAATATCCTTTCTCACAATACTTTCCCCTACCTTTAGTTGACTGGCGGCAATCATTCCGAGAGCGAACCTCCTGTGCCTGTGTCCAATTCGCAGACCTTATCTGATTCATCGAGTTCTCCCTCTTATCCAGGGTCACCTCGACGGAACACTCAAGCTCCGTCCACTCCTGTCAGACCAATTCGAGTTCGATATTCCCTTAGGAGTTCTTCTCAGAAGTATCTACCTGCAGCAAGGGCCACTGCTTCTTCTGGCAACACTCCTGCTTCTATCATAACTCGAAAGCGCCAGAGTATTGATACAACTTCTGCAAATGCAAAGGGACCCCCAAAGGACGTGATTCCAACCACTACCCCTAGGCCAAAGCTGGTTGTCAAGAAGCCTCACGACGCCTCCACAGACTCCAGGACCGATTCAAACTCTGCAACTGCAAACAAATATCCAACAGACGTGGCATCCACCACTCCTAGACTAAGACTTGTTCTCAAGAGGCCTCGGGAGGCCACCCCAGACTCAGGCCCAGGCTCGGATTTTGCGAATGAAAACAAACACACCAACAGTGCGACTCCCACTGTCACTCGTAGAATAAAATTGATTGTCAACAGCAGATCTCGTCAGTCCACCCTGGACTCCATTCCCTCCACTGTTCCACCCGACCCCGTCAGCAACGACTATTCTTCGTCCTTTGCCAACTCTGGAGAGCAGCCATCCAACATCAACTCTGATCAATTAAAGCATACCAAAAAGACATCCGTTGAGTTCTCTTTGCCCCCCCGGGTCCAATATGGGTCCTCCTAAGCCTCGTGCTTTTAGCACATCTCATGGGTCTTCTTCTGACTACGACGAGGCGTCCACAAATATCAACCCTACTTCGGAGCTCCCAGCTCCCAGTGCATCTTCCAAGAGTCCTTCAAGCTCTGGCGAAGCTCCATTTGGCTACAGTGGTTATCGGTCTCCTCTTCGCGATCTCGTCTTTTCTACTCCTCCAGACCCTTCAACAAATCCTCCAATGGATCCCGAGCTAGATTCTTCGATGGATGCTTCAATGGATCCTTATATGGATCCCCATCAACCAGATTATTCTGGGGTAGTGCTAGGTATCACCCCCTTCGAAGACCCAAATGTCATTCCATCCGCATTCATGTACCCCGAAGAGGCCACCGGCAGCGGCAATCGGACCATTGACCCAATGGGTGTCTATACTCCCGAGGAGTTTGAACGCATCATAGCATCTGAACAGGAGCTCCTGCGTGAAATGGCCGATCCTCATGCAGATCCACCGCATGTGGCTGCCTGGGAAGATCAGCGACGTGTTGAAAGATACATTAATCTGAATGGTCTTGCTGCTGATATGAAAGCTGCTGTCAAAGAGATGGAAGCTGAACATGCTGATGATGAGACTTTACAGCCTGGATATTGGAATTCTATCAGTCTTTCTAAGCTTTACCCTACGGAGCCTGATGCACCTGATTCTTCTCTCCTTGAGCGTCCTCCAGCTTTGTTCAAGTTTGATGAACCTGCTCATATTGAACCCTCTTCTACCCAACAAGCTGCCTCTGCTGACCTCAGGGAACCTTCTGAGGTCTCAAGTCAGACATTGCAGTCAGTGGAAGTATACCCAGACTCAGCCGCGAAACGTGTCCGGCACATTTCACCCAAAACGAAGAGCTCGACCTCAGAGAAATCAACCACAGCTTCGGCAAGAACCTCAGCCTCGGTCCAACGTCGCAGCGCCTCATCCAGGGTTAAGACCCCAACCCCTTCGTCTACGTCAACCACGACACGCCGCCGCTCTAAGGACCAGCCTGTGACACCTGTACCTACCTCGACATCATTCCGTCGTCGTTCCAGAACCAGTATGAAAACCGAGCTAGATACTTCAGAGCCTCCGGTCACTGTCTCTCCACGCCGTCTGCGCAGCTCTGGCGTCAAACCCAGTCCTAGCACGAAGAAGATGGGCAAGGGCAGCGCAACTCCAGACTCATGGGAGACAGCACCTGTCGCAGACAAGATGATGTCCCAGATGAAAGAGACGAAAATGTCGTGGATGGAAATAACCACGACATGGAACAATAACAGGCCCGCCGAGGACGATATTATGACATCCCGAGCACTGAGCAAGCGATGGGGACGGATTAAGGAGAGTATTGGTGCTTGGCCTGTTTTTGATGTATGTATTCATTTCTCTCTTTCCTGGCTTTAATCCCGGAGGCTCGTTGGAGCTTCTATGGAACATGGAGAGTATCTCTTTTTGGTTCTATGACTGACATTCGAACAGGAGCTTTTCTTGAAAAAAATTGCGTGAGATTGATTCAGAGCCGGACGACAATGGCTTTTTACAGATTGCCGACTTTATTACGGCTGAGCTTGGCTGGGACGTTTCCGCCACGGCTTGCAAGAATCGATACAAGTCCCTCAAGGAGTCTGGTGAAATCAATTTGAAGAGTAAGGGCAGGGCTCGAAAGTAAGCCACTTGTCCTTGGATGTTTAAGATGGGATGGCGAGGTGAGACGCCATTCTTCTGGTGGATGTTGATATGAATATCGAGGATTCTTCTCAGTGACTAGTTGGCCGGGTCCTGGGTGCCATATGTGAACATGAACGGTTGGATTTACTGTTGGATTTGACTTCACATTCAAGTCAAAAGGACCAAAAAAAAGGGAAAAGCACAAAAACGGCCGAAAAAAAGTTACTCTTCATCTACAAAATTGAAAAAAAGAAAAAAAAAGTTGTAAGATTCACACCATTTCCTACAGAGTAGAATAGAGAAATTATCCTATAGAAGCCCTTGTAGGTTGATGTTGCTGGACCCCCAAAAATCCGCCGTATCCGAAACAGGATATCAATTCCTTCAAAGACTAGAAACGCCCCTTTATTGCCAGAGTACCCAACCCGCCATCATACAATCATAACGAGTAGAAGAAAAACGCAAAGTTAGAGAACACTTAGTTCTCGTCTACCACCACTACGCATACTCATGCCAGCTCCCGGAACATTAGAACTCCATTCCGACGAGGACGAGTCACCCCGGCCCCGGGATCCACCTGTACTAGTACTAGCACCGATACTGATGCCAGCCGTAGTGAGGGAATCTGCATCATCGATGACAGGAGGCCCACCGACCATGACAGGCCGGATCTTGGCGCCGACAAAGCCGCGACGATCACGGCCTGTGCGGCCGCGGCCGAGCCAGTTGTGTTTGAGAACTTTGCTCAAAACATCCATCCGCTCTTGAGCAGGGTCGTCTGTCTGAACGCTGGCCAGAACGCTGATGCATTGCAGCATGCGACCGACGGTCTCTGTGATGATGTGAGAGGAGTCAGTGGATGTGCCACGGTGGATAATCGTGGGCCGGTTGTTGGTGGTTGAGGGAGATGCGATGGACTGGAAGAAGGGGTCTGCGTTGGAAGATGTGTTCGAGGCAGCACGGCTGCGAGAGTCACTGCTTGATGGACGTGGGTGGTTAGCCAGGGCACTTATGCCATCAGAGGAGTAACTGTCGGCGATGGTGCTGAGAAGCGTGGATGACTGTGAGTTGAAGCTGCCTAATCCAGCATCGAGCGAGGCTGCGGTGCCCGGGCGGGCTCCAGTTCCGGTACTCTTGGTTGTGACGCTGAGCGTTGGGAATCCAGAGTTGATGGAGTCTAGGCTGAGCCGGGAAAAGGTTGCTTTGAGAGCATCGTAGCGATTCATGATGATGCAGTCACGGAAGGCAATCAAGACTAGACTTCGCACGTCGAGGGTTGCACCAACAGGAAGAACACCCCAGAATTCACCGGCTTCTCGGCTAGTCATCAACGATCCACAGCCCTTGAACTCAAGATCCAAGGGGAGAAAGACAGCCTGGATGAAGGGCAGAATCGTGCCAAACACCAGCAGCCACACTTGAACCAGATGCGGGACTAGCTTTTCGTCTGGGAGGCCAGCCAGTGAACTGTGGTTCAAAGTCGCAAATCCAGTGTGTAGAAGTTCTTGCAGATCTATTACAATAGATGCAGGGGTCCTCTTGAGGACACAACGCTGCAGGTGAACCAGCACCAGCTTGTTGAGATCTTCAATGGCAATGCGCACGTCTTCACCGTCGAAGATGACTAGCAGCTTCGCTTTAAGGAAGTCCCACGCATCCTCTGGGGTCATATTATTCAACCCAAACCCTTGTAAGGTCTCCCGAAGAATAGACTCGGGGAATGTCCCCGAACCAACCGAAGACGGGCCTGGGAAGCCACCAGGTGTCGTGGGTGCGCCGGCATTGTTAGCCAGCCATTCCAACTGCTCCGACTCGGCGAGCGCCTTCTCCTCCTTTTTCTTCTCACGTAGTGCTCGACCGCCATGCAGAAGATCCAACCCACTGACCGACTTGCCAAATGTCGCTCCAGGAGCCGGAGACGCAGGTGTGAATGAGTATAAAGATTGTGGGGCATTGGGGTCTGCCGGACGAGAATTACTGGAGGCCGATGATAGGGGGAGATTGAAGTGGTCATCGACACGGTCTTTTAATTTGAGTTTCTGCCTCGACAGGAAATGATGCTTGTGCTTGTCCTTATCCTTATCCTTTTCCTTCTCTGGAAGCGGCGGACGATCTGCGGGGACAACCGTGCTCACCGAGGCATTTGACAGATTGTACATCGACGAGTTGTTCGAGGATAAGTCGGTCAAGTTTGTAGCCGAGCCGCTGACCATGCGCGATAACCCACTAATCTTGCTCGGGGAGGGAAGAGCACGGTCTTTGCCCAGATCTTTATGACTGCTGATTCCAATGTGCTTTGGCTTTGAGAATAGCTTCTTTTTCTTCTGTTTCTCGGGCTGGAGTTCTATCGGTGTAGCACCAGATCGCGGGAAGACCACATTCGCAGCTGTCGTAGCCACGTTCCCCGATGGTAGAGGCGGCTGGGGGGAGGGCTGATTGACCCGCAATGGGGGAGGCATAAGGGGAGGTGAGTCACTTCCACTGCGCCTAGGACGGGAACCATCCTCTATCGGGGTCGTAACATTTTGTTGCCTTTTCATCTGCTGCATTGCTGCCTGGGCGGCGATACGGGAGGCTGACACGGTAGGGGTCTGGTCGGAGGAGGTGGTTGGCAGGGATGGCTCAAAGAAGCCTTGTGAATGATGCCGTGATCGGTGCCGGGGTAGCTCGATGGAGGGTCCCCGGCCAGAGGGCTTTCGCCCTGTTGGGTTCGGCATAGGTTGATGAGGTGAAGTGGCCGAGCGTGGTTGTGGAGGGAAGTAACTCCCAGAGGGAAGTTGAGTATTGATCGGAGTGATAGGAGCGGCGGAAACGGTGGTCACATTTGAAGAGGCGTCACTACCGGAGGATCCGGGGCGAACCAATTCCTCTTCATCGGAGTCGTCCTCTTCGTCATCAGACGGAGGTCGGGGGTATCGAGGGGCAGGAGGTACTCGCTGACGCTCAGGCGAGTTGGGGGATCGATAGGTAGCATTCATAACGAACAGTCCATGCTCTTTCTTTCGGACAAATTATCTCTTAGGCACGAAGTTTTTTTTTTACAACGTCACAAAAGCCACATCTAGGCAACTCGCCGATCCCTTCCTCTATGACCTCTATCTGGCAGAATCTCAGATCTACGATGCGGAGACTTGGTGATCAGTTTAAAGCTTTTGCAACCTATATCTCTACACCTCAATTCACAGCCTTGTATCGTCCTTTGCAGTTTTGTATTGGTCTTTCTGGCATAGTGTCCTCTCGCTTTTCCATCATATTTCCACAACTTTTCCTATTGCCTTCAGCCCTGGCGGCCCCCATATAGACTAGGTCTTATTATCTTACCATGACCCAATGAATATTAGCCTCGGCAATGCTACCGTATGATCCAGGTACCATCAACGTAAGATTTACTCGTCCGTATTCAGCTATACCTGGAGCCCTGAGTCCCGAGGTCGGGGCTTAGATCAGCGAGGCGGTAATGAAGGCGGTGAATGATAACTGGGGACATTATTCTCTGCCTCCCCTCCTAAACAATTCCCCCAATTTCCCCAACGTCCCTAACTTCCCTGTGGAATTTCAAAATGGCCTCCAACACGAGCCTGAATGCAGTCTACACCGCCCCTCAAGCCACTGAGACCTTTGAACATGTATTCTCAACCACAACCGGTACACTGGCGGCTAAGCAGGCCCACCTCTCAGAGCTGCAGTCGCTCGTTCCTAAGCTGCAGGACCAAATCAATGTCTTCCTTACGGAGCGCATGGAAGAGGACAAGAAGGTGCAGGGAAAGATTTCAGATCAGGAAGCTAAGGAGGAGGAGAATTACGGAGAGGAGGTGGTTGAGGACGATGCATGATTGCATGACCAGGATGTATCTTGAAATGGGCAGATGCTATGGGTATCAAAGTCGCTGATAGCCTCCGTCGACCCAAAAAAAAAAAAAAAACACCACCTGAAAGAGAACCTCAACCCGGAAAAGAATAAAAAAAGAGAAGGAAAATCAAGGACATGAATAAGAACAAGAACAGCCCCGCGAATGCAAATGCAGGAGACTATGCACGCCATCCAGCTCGAACACTGGGTCTTCGATTGGCACACCCCAAGTGAACAACGGTATCACTGGAACAAGTCAGCAATGAACAAATCAAATATACACATGGCCGCAAACGACTTACTCAGGGAAAACATTGATCACACTCCCACCCAAGCGTTTATGGCAGACGCCACAAATTCGTTCCTCGGTGACAGTGACGTGGCGAGCTCGTGTGCCCCCACCACGAATCCCCTCGCCAAGAGCGAGCTGGGCCTGGATCTGCATATCCCGTGCTTTGCGCAGGTTTGCCACAATGCGCGCCTCATTGAAAACCGAGTTTGCGGCCCGCATCCGACCCTTGAAGTAAAATTCAAGTTTCTGCACGGCCTGTTTGTCCGGAATGAGTTTCAATGCGGCGTCGGCTGGGAGGCGTGAGCCGTGCTTGGCTAGCAGGTCAATCGCGGGGTCGTTTTGTGGCTCATAGCCGTGGGGTGGGGAAAGATAGAGGGAAAGTAGAGTGAGGTAGATGGAATTCTCTTCTTTGGCCTTTTCGGCGAGGTGGACCTGGTTGCAGTATCTTTCTAGGGTTAGCTATTGCTGTCTTAGGGAAAATGATATATCACTAACTCTTCTGCTTTCTCATGGTCCACAAGTTTGAAGACGTAGATCTCGAGCGCCTGTCGGTGTTGGCCCATCTTGCTAAATAGGATAGCTCGGGCTTCGTAGAAATTGGGATCTGGGATATGTCAGTGATGGCTCGTCACAAGAATAGCGTGCAACGTACCCTCTCGATCGAGCCGATCTAACATCTTCGCTGGCGAATATTGCTCGCTTTCTTTCAACATCGTCAAGAACTTCTCCTTCCATTCCCCTTGCGCCTTATCGGATGTAAGTCGATTTAAATATAAGATAAGCAGCCGCTGATGTATGTCCGGCGTCATGTCGTTCCATTCATTAATGACATGCTCGAGGTATTGAATGGCAAGCACGGTGTCTATCTTTTCGAGGAATGCGAGGACTTGTGAACGAGGCAATGTCTCGGCATTTTCGGTGTCGGTCAGGAATATATCCATTCCCAATTCGTGATTGGCACGAAGCGGCCATTCTCCAAACTCGAGAACCAGATCGATCTGGTCTGGTGGTAGGTTTTGTAGGTAGGCGACTGTGCGTGTTGGACCGCTCAGAGGACCGTTATCTGTCTGTCCAAAGCGCTGAAGCAATTCAAGTGCTTGTCGATGCAATCTCTTGCCGTAAAGAAAGTCAATTAAGTCGTTGTATCTTCCAGTCTCCTCAAGTCTCTCCATAACTACTTCTGGGTCACAGAAGTTGGCAATGCGGAAGAGGGATCCAGCAAGTGATGGCGTCGCGAACATATGTGCACGGAACAAAGTGGTGTCAACCAACCGTGCCTTGGCACAAATTTTTGTGGCAAACTCGTCGGCAGATGGGAAATCCAGCAGTTTAAGCACCGAGTCACTTGCCTCATCGGTGGCTTCGCCTGGTGGAGCAGCTTTGAGAGTTCCATCGGGGTTGAGAAAGCGCTGAAAGCGTCGGCGAACATCTGCCAGGTATCCTTGTAGCTCGCGGACAGCAATTCGAAGACCTATGACTAGTTAGCATAAATTCGAAAGCAATGGGGGATTGCCGAACCTTTGTCGTCTCCGCGGGTGCTGCTTGCCTCGCTTCCTTCATCGGGCTTTCGCACAAAAGATATAATAGAGGCCGCGTGGGTGGATGCGTGTCCAACAGCAACATCATCGGATGATCCGTCACTCTGGGACCCGCTCGTCTTTCCATTCGGGATATCAGGCTCAGGGACCGTAGAGAGATCCCCCGCAATTAAGCGCGGATAGAGGCGAATGACACTCTCAGGAGGTGCAGACACTTCAGTGAAAAGATCTAAAGATTCCCGGTACTTGTTTAAGGCGAACAGGCTCTGCGCTTTTTCAAGTTTGATCGCGCGCAATCGACCAGCCTTATCCCGTAAAAGAGCATCCTCCAGCATGCCAAGTAAGCTGATAGCTTCATCTAGATAACCACCCTCAACCAAGGCATCAATCTGGGTATCATAGCTCAGAGCTTCCATACGCCAGATGGTGCGGTCACTTGCCACAAGAAACCCTTTACCGGCATGGGCAAGGCTGATATTCGGCTGCGGAATGTGCAAGATACTAGCCGACGGCAACGGAATCGATTGCAGTAGTGATAAGGTCTCTGGGTTCCGTACTTCCAATACACCCTTGGATGAGTCGTGCAGAGCCAACAAAAACGGGTACGAGTATCCGATCTCCACCGGGGCATGGCTCCAAGGCACCTGCTTCCGACCGAGAGGCTGGCCGTCGATATCAATGAAATTCGTGTTGATGTCCTTAGCCAGAAGAATTTGACCTTCACGCAATCTTGTCACAAGCGGCCGCGGTACCATGCCTCCCATACCAATATAGCTCATGCTTGCTGCACCAACACCTCCGAAGCGGCCCGAGTCTTCAATGCTGCCTGGCCCAGCCAGATCCGTGAACTGGCCACTCTCAATATTCACCATGACAAAGCTCGAGTTCAGCCCAACCACTAGCCGGGTAGCCGCGACCCAGGTGAGAGTCTTAACCCCGCTAACCAAGCTCAACTCAGCTGTATCCCGTTCCAGCTCCATGTCGCGCCACGCCCACATGAGGATCTTCCGCTTGACCGCGACCGCCAAGCGGGAAACAATAGCCGGCACATTGGTATCGGTATCATTGACGACATTTGAGGTGATGGCAAAGACAGAAGCACCCTTCGTTTGAGCTAGCTGTTCAACAAGCTCGTAAGACTGCGCATCGTGGAGCGAGACATAACCTCCGGAAAGAGAAATTAGCACGTTGGCCTCCTTAATCAAGGCGAGCTGTTCGATCTTGTATCGGGAGAATTTTTCCAATTCGCGGAGGAGTTCAGTCTTGCCCTCGTCGGTGACGCGGTAGATGCGGAGGTTGCCATTGTTTAGACCAGCGAGCAGGCGATCGCCGTAGGCTAGGACCGATTCGATGCGGGACTTGTCGCGCGGCTTAAGCTCAACGAGCGGCCGCGCAGTAAATGCTGACAACATGGGCGTGCTGTCTTCAATTCCTTCCACTGGAGGTTCGAGGGGCCCTCCTGCTGGAGCTCTCCGCATGACGTCCGGGGCTGAGTCAGTCCTGAGTCAGCATATATTTGGCCGGGCTGGGCCATGAGCAATTGGGATGGGATTCTGGCTTCTCTTGTTGTTTATTCATACCTGCAAGTTTTCTCTGTTTGTGTTGTAGAATGAATGAAAGGGTAGCTGCGAGGTCGGTGCTCGTTTAAGCCGATCCGTAACTAAGAGGCTGTCACTAGGCTGTTTTGGAGGTGTCTAACCATACCTAGGTACCTAGGTATCATTGCTAATCTTCCAATGAGGCAAGCGTATTATGTACGTTAAACCTCGCGAGAAACACAACTTGAAGAATAGATTTAAAGTATGTATCGTATAATAAAAAAAAAAAAAAAAAAAAAAAACCGATGTCTTTGGTATCTGAATATCTCATGCAGTCCGAATTCCGATCACACCCAGGTGACGCCGCGCCGATGCAGATCCACATATCCCTAATGTTTGGTCTCTGTGCCCTCTCCCTTTTCTCCATCCGCGGCATGGAACTCCTGGTGCCTCGCCGAAGTCCCCTTCCCCCGCCAGGTTGACACTGCGGGGATATTGGCCTTGAAGCGCTGCTCTTCGGTACCGTAAGCGCGGGGCGTCAGTTTGATAAGAGTATGCAAAGGCACCTCCATCCAGGGACTCTGCTCTTGGGGCACATTCATAAAGTACGCGTAAATGCAGCGCAGGACAGCCTGATGGGTAACGATAATGACATTTTCACTGCGCTCCAGCTCCATGATGATGGGCTCAAGGCGGATGACGACGTCGCGGTAGGACTCGCCACCACGATAGCGATAGTTATACTTGTCTTCATCGCGGGCGGCAAAATCCTCTGGATACTTCTCAGCGATTTGCTCGTAGGTCAAACCGTCGCAGACGCCCGAGTCCAGCTCATCCAGGGCTTTCCACTCCAGCTTCTCATAGCCAGTTTCTGCCTTGAGGTGGCGAGCACTCTGGATAGTGCGGCGCAACGTTGAGGTCCAGATCACAATTTTGGTGTTTTCAGGAACACCGGACTTGCGCATTAGCTCGGGAAGTGCGCGGGCGTAGGCCTCACCGCGCTCAGAAATGTTGGAGTCACCTCCAATCCGGCCGGTCAAGTTGAACTCGGATTCACCGTGCTAGTTTTGTCAGTCTCGCTTCCACAAAGTCCGTCATCTTCAATGATTCAACTTACCCTTGATAGCCAGATTGAACGAGGCTTGATGTGAATATTCTGGATATAATAGACTAGACGACTGGACAGATAATCTTTGATCTGGTTGATGATGACTGTCGACCCCACGTTGATAAGCTTGACATACGTGTAATTCTTCTCGTCATCATCGATGGTCTCGTAGACCTTTTCATAGTTGCGAATGCGGTTGCGGAAATCAAGCGCAGCCACTTCGGGATCTTGACCCTTGTAGTCTGGGGATGTCGTCTTGACTTCCTTGATATTGGTCATGATCAAATCTTCGTCATCACAAATCGACTCCACAAAGAGAGCCTCAATACCAGCTTCATGGCATTTCTGATAGATCCACTTGCGGCGCTCCTTTGTGGAATTGGTAGCATCCAAGATAGCCACAACTCCCTTCCCAGCGTTAAACCACTGAAGCATGTCTGCCATGGCAGCCTCTGCGGCAGCTCGTCGCATCCGCTCACCTTCTTCGTTGTGGGGATCAAAGAAGGCCGCCTGTGGCTGTGGAGTGCTGAAGCGGCGATAACTACCAACATTAAAGACACGTGCAGGGATACCGACCCAACCCAGATATCGCATGGCTGTCACAAATCAGTCTCAACATATTTTCATTATAGTTGTTTCACTTACCCTTGCCGGCGATGAGACTCTTGCCTCGGGCCGGGAGGCCCACCATGACAACACATATCTTCGAGTCGTCGGACTGCGTAGCAAAGTTAACAGCTGACATGTGGTTTTTTTTTTTTGTTCTCGAAATAATAATGAAGGTTGCAACAGTGCTTGATTGTGGTGGGGTTGTGGGAAAGAGAAGAAAAGAGAAGGTGGACAAGACAAAAGGTATCATAGACCCCAACTTGGTGAAACTGGTGAAAGTATTCGTGCACAGTTTCTCTACTTGCTTCCACTTGTATACACAGGAGTCGTTTTGGTTTTTTAAGACATCTCATAGTTCAACAGAGATTCCTCCCATCCCCGTATATACGCAATGCCTCGGTAAAACAACAACCCCGCGAATATCAAAAAGGGCAAGGATAGAGAAATTGTACTTACACTTGCAATAAATGCCTTATGCTGGCGCTGGATATTTTTTGAAGACATTTTCGAGGTTGATGTTATATGAAGGAGAGCAAATACGAGATCTCTCTCGGGAAGATTAGGGACAATTCCGACCCGAAGCCGGAGGGACCAGAAGGAGCACTTGGACCATGGGTGGTCAAAAAGAAATATGGAAGAAAATGAGCAGAAATGGATACAATGGTATATGAATTCACAGAAAAGAAAAAGAAAAAAAAACCAGAAAAAAAAACCAGAATCTAACGAAACAGAGAAGAAACAGAGAAGAAACAGGGAGGCGCATAATGCGGTGAGTCTGGATTTCCCCACTAAACGTCATCCCATGGTGAATCATTGAGAATTCCACTATCAAAGTCTTTGATATATGACTGATTGACGTAGAATTCAATATCAAGATCCTATCTGAGGGTTTCTTCGATCTACGATCTCTAGTTTCAATACAGAGGTCAAGCTTAAACAGATACAAAACACTGTACTCGTTTTCATACATATCCTTCATGTCCGCATGCGGCTGTTTTGATATACGGACGTTTATACCCGGGCTTAGTAGGAAATAGAGAGAAGAGCTATGTGAAAAGAATAAAATAAAAAAAAGTGACATGATCCCGGAATCCCTTTGAATGATAATTTTTCACAAGTACTAGCTCTGGAGCACTTTGACGAAACATATATATGTTGGTTGTACGGCTTCAACATTCCCATGTGGGAACTTGGCTTCAACGTTCTCCAACCAATGACATTTCAACTCAGCAGCACTACACTTGACAAATAAATACCTCGTTCCATTTTCGGGTGTGCGGGTGAGCGAATTATAGAAGAAAGGTAGTCCAGTCCGGCTACTTATCGTTACCAATTCTCAGGCACATCCGACATGACACATATATAGTCGGTTTTATTTAGTGGCCTTGATGTCCTATCAGCCTAGGATATTCAGGTGTCAAATAGGCACTAAGGGACAAAAACGGAATAGTGCGATAATTATGCATGTAATTTTGTAGTATATCCAGGTATCATAGCTCATGCAATGCGACACGTCCTATCATTAATAATACTTATTTTTTTTTTCTTTTGAGGCTGTACAGAGGACTCAGATCAGACTTCCTTAGGACCACGAGCAAACTGTACACGTAGTGGACCGCCCCATGGTCCTTCCTGACCATTCAGTGTATCCATGGCTTTCAGGGCTTGCTCGGGAGTACCCAGGTCAACAAACAAATAGTAGTGCTCGCCAGGATCGAACCGCTTAGCGGGGTGAGGGGCAAAGACCTTGCTGACATTCTCACTGCGAAAAAAAAATAGGGCATCAGTATTGATCACGCGACATGAGAAATGCAAGCCATCTAAACTTACACCTTGAATTCCTTGAAGAACATCTCTATGTTGCCCTGCACAGCCCCATGGTCGGTCAATCGTGGCAGTCCACCAACATACACACGGTTGCTTGAGTCACTATTGACCTTAGCAAAGCTAGGTCTCTCTTGCTGACGCCAGCGATCAATACGGAATGGCTCAGGTGGATTCTGAATGCGCTCCTGAGACTTGGCCACACCGGGCTTAATCTTGACAGGGCGACCCAACATATCACGACCATCGAGCTCGGTCATGGCGCGCTCGGCATGTTCCTTGTTTTGCAAGTCGACAAAGCAGTAAGAAGGGTTCCGACCGGTGAAAGGATCAATGGCAATATCTATGCGCTCGCTATTTGGGGAGGGGGAGAGTTCAGTTGTCGAATTCACGGCTGGCAGATTCAAGTGCAGTCATACATGGGGAATTCGGCCGCTGTGAACAGCGCCTCCACGTCCTCCATCTTAGCCGTATATGGCATGTTGCCAACGTATAGGCGGCGGCCATCGTTGATCGCTTGGGGGACGTGCGCTCCGGGTCGGCTGAAGGCTGCGCGGGAGGTATTGGGGTTGGGAATGGGGCTCGCGCTTGGGCTGGCATTGGTGCGCGATGGTGTTGGGCTTTCAGCTTTCATGCGCCAATTGGGAGAGTTGAAGGCTCGGCCATCCGTGCGGACATTTGTAAAGGGAGACTTGGTAGGAGCTGTATTTTGTAGATATCGATTAGTCGAGACTTTTTGGGGTATTTTTTCAGGACGATCCTACTCTGTTGCTCCTCCAGTCTGGGGCTCTCTGTATCGTCCATGGATTTCAAATGAGGATCTCAGTCTCAATGTCACAAGATATTTTAAGCAAACAATATAAATAATTTTGCCAAAAGCTGAAGAATCGACTTGGTAAATTGCATCTCCCAATTTTTTTTGGGGGTGCAAACAGTGCAAAGTCATACCTCGCTTACTATTTAATACGCTCACAATCTTTTCTTCTTCCTATTAATTCTTCTTCATCTCACACCCCTTCTCTCATCTTTTCTTCAAAGTCAATGGCTCTATTGACCATATGGTTGTGTCTGGCATGATGAAGCTTCGGCTTGCCATGTCTTTCCAGGTTATACATCTCCGAGATGTCAACTGTCCCAAAATGATGAATGCTTTCATTGACGGGGCAGTTTGAATTTTCAACTGTGAGTTTCGACCGTTTTTTTTCCTTCTCTCTCCCCCTGCTCCTATGATGATGTAACCTTTCACGAGACCTGTTCTGAAATATAATGTCGACGAAAAATTGTACCAACTGCTGTCTGATGGAGCTTCTTGACCTTGTTTTATCTTGTCGAGTCTATGCGATCATTGCTAATATGATTCCAGATTTCCAGATAACCCACAGCTACTCGCCTTTAACATAGAACTATATCCATGAAGAATTTAGAAATTGGTACACTGTACCGTTATAATAAGCATATTTTCCCTTGGCTATCTATTTCGAAGTGTAAACATTGATATCGACACCCCGGAAACTAGGCTAGAGGTCATGTGACTTCCCATTTACTCTCATTTGGGTCTCAGCATGCAATCTGTAGTTCGCTTCTTCATCTACCGATGTTTTCTAGGCCTTCCTATCTTGCATGGGCTACTGGATTTCTCTGCCCCAGGTATATAATCATGCAAGCTACATCTTTTTTGAATTATGATGGCAGTGCAAATGGTACCTACTGAGTAGATCGATTGACACCGCAACTATAATGTAGTATACATCCTGGTTCGCACTATCGCCAAGTTATAACACGCTTGCCCCTACACTCCAAGCACTTAACTTGCCAATAAACCGGGCAGACATTGCCCGAAATGGGGCAAACAGCAGACCTCGATATCCTTTGTCTGCAACTCCTACTCTGTGTATAGTAAGCCCTAGCCCTGCCAATCACTTGCTCCCCACCCTCGAATCCCATGTCCCGTTCTTTGACGGGTTCTTTGACAACCCCTGTACATGTGGATATACTCCGTGCCAGAGACCAAAAGCCATGTGGTTTGCTTGCGTGCCGAGTTTCTTTGTCCCGGAATCCAGTCCAACCCGCAAGACCAAACATCGACTCACTTTTTTCCCCCTCCATAGACTTTCCTAGAAAAAAGAATTGGGAAAGATGACGGAAAAAGAGAAAATGGATGCCACGCTGTCCGAGAAAGTTGTGCTGCAAAGGCCATTTGGGACAGCTGCCGAACGGGCACGGCGTAGTCTCAATGCCAAACTCTCCAATCCGCTGGCCGGGTTCAGCTATACCGAACTACGAAAACAGGGACGCACCTTTGCTGAACTTCACGAAATGGGGGATGAGTCGGATATCCGTGCTTTCGAGCTGGGTGCTGTGCTGGCACAATCTCCGGAACAATATGACAAGGTCGCTGGCCTGACAAACCAGGAGAAAAGAGTATTGCGTCGGGAGTTCACGCATCGCTGGTCACAGCCATGGAAGATGTACGCTGTCATTACATTGTGTTCTTTATCTGCTGCAGTTCAGGGAATGGGTAAGTAGCAATTCAGTTCGCAGAGTTCCCCAACCTTGAGGAATACCCCTGCTGACAACAACAGATCAAACGGTGGTCAACGGGGCCCAAATATTTTACAAATACCAATTCGGCATCGGCGATGAATCCACTCGGAACGCCTGGCTCCTCGGTCTAACAAACTCAGCACCATACCTCTGCTGCGCCTTCATCAGCTCCTGGCTAACAGTCCCATTCAACCACTGGTTCGGGCGCCGCGGGACAATCTTCCTCACATGTTGCTTCTCTGCGATAGCCTGTCTCTGGCAAGGATTTGTCTCAACGTGGTGGGCAATGTTTGTCGCACGATTCATGCTAGGCTTCGGCATCGGCCCCAAATCGGCAACTGTGCCGATATACGCAGCTGAAACCGCGCCACCGTCCATCCGTGGTGCATTGGTCATGCAGTGGCATGTGTGGACAGCGTTCGGGATCATGGTTGGATATGCAGCGGACCTCATCTTCTACAATGTCGACTCGACCGTCATTGTCGGCTTGAATTGGCGTTGTATGATGGCCTCGGCGATGTTCCCGGCTCTGGTCGTTTGCTGTTTTGTCTTTGCTTGTCCTGAGTCGCCACACTGGTACATGCGCCAAAAGCAATATCACCGTGCGTACGAGTCCATCTGTATGCTACGAAATCATAAAATCCAGGCAACTCGTGACTTGTACTACATGCATACACTGCTGGAGGCTGAGGATAGTATGAAACTTGGACATAACAAGATATTGGAATTGATTAAAGTCCCGCGAAATCGGCGAGCGATGTTGGCGTCTCAGATTGTCATGTTTATGCAACAGGTGAGTGTGGATTTTCACCAAGACATACCGAAGTGACTGCAGAGAGAACTGATTTGAACAGTTCTGTGGCGTCAACGTTATTTCATACTATTCATCTGAGATATTTCTCGAGGTCAGTCCACGTTATCCTCCTGCCTTCCCGCCAGAATATTGACAGGAACCCAGGCCAAATTCTCCCCACCGGCTGCTCTAGCCGCCTCGTTAGGCTGGGGTCTAATCAATTGGCTCTTATCAATTCCCGCAGTCTACACAATCGACACATTCGGTCGACGCAATCTGCTGTTACTCACTTTCCCACTCATGGCCATGGCACTGTTATTCACGGGGTTCAGCTTCTGGATCCCCGAGAGCAGCCACAATGCACGTCTCGCGTGCATTGCTTTAGGAACTTATCTTTTCGGAGTGGTCTACTCACCTGGGGAGGGACCGGTGCCATTCACCTACACTGCCGAGGTATACCCGCTGTACGTCCGGTCATACGGAATGGCGCTAGGCACGGCAACGATGTGGTTCTGTAATTTCCTGCTGGGCGTGACGTGGCCATCTCTGCGAGCCGCATTCACCATACAGGGTGCATTCTCTTGGCATGCAGGGTGGTGTTTAGTTGGATGGTGGTTGGTACTCTTGTTTATGCCCGAGACAAAAGGGAAGACGCTTGAGGAATTGGATCAGGTCTTTTCTATGCCGACCAGGCTTCATGCGCGATATGGGTTGAGGCAAATTGGGTATTTTGTTAAACATTATTTGTTGAGAAGGGATGTTATACCGGAGACTCTTTATGAGAGGGAGGAATTGGTTAAGGCTCAGGATGTGGGATTCAATGCGTGATAAGATATGGCATACGATGGATACAAGAGATAATGTCTTCCGATGGGGTTGTTCTCTGGTTTAAGAACTATTTTACTATTTTAGCATATTGGGATTTTTTATTGGAGATCTATCACAATGTATTCTCGGCTCACAGGAGGATTGGGCCGCATTGCAATACCCCGAGTCTAGATGCTTTTTGACATGGACAGGTTGTATGAAGCCAAGTAAGTCCAACTAATCAAATTGAATTTGATAAGAAGCAATGACTTTGAATAATTCCCATGTCGGAATTCGGAGTTTTTTTCCTGTGTCTCTCTCTCGCGGATTGGACGCCTTCAACTGTTCTAGTTTATCCACTTTTCTTGAAGGATTGGCCTCTATGTTGTAAATTCCAAGTCTGATAGGTTCACCAGCGTCCGAACCCAATTAGGTGCATTGTGGCGCTCCCAACAGCGCGTACATACTCCGTAGAGTGTCTGCGCTTGTATGGACACTAACAATGTAGCCAATTGCGGGAGAGACCATCATGGACCGGGTTGGTTGTCAGCGAGAATGAGACTGCCACAGAAAATGATTGGCACAAGAAATCCAAATTTAAGCGAGGCTGATCCTAGTCTCAGCCTATGTGATGATTCTACAGTTGATCGGAAATAAGCCCAGATTCTCCACGATTCTATACGAGGGCAAGCTCACGAAAGATGAGTCAGACACACATCGATCGACATGGTCAGAGAAGGTCGTGTGTAAGATACGGTTCTATTGTAAAATCGATTATTCTTAACTCTTATACAATAGGAATGGGATTGAAAATGGACGTGGGCCACAATTCTAGGGGTTCTCGAAATCACTATAGAAGAGCTCTAAGGAGAAAAGGAATCATGCACGGTAGAGACGATATACTCCAAAGTTCCCGTATGTATTCCGGGAGACTCAAGCACAGAGCTGGCATTCCATCAGCCTTGTAAGCTCCACAATTTCTAGAACTGAGACAATCCCAATACGTATATGGTCTATCTCATCCTGGATTTCCATGAACATGGACATGAAGTAATTGGCTCTCCCCAAAATACTTATGTGATCTAGTAATCTGAGTATACCAAGAAGGATTTCAACTGGGAATCTCAGGTGAGATCCAATTTGTCAGTCTCCAAAACCCCTGGATGCCTGACCTAACCGAATGAAGTCTTGACCTCCGATGTGCCTAGGCACCAGAACTCGATCAACTCCGAACTACACCTGAGTAAAGTGATCGCAACCACTTATAAGGACCCAAATCATTGAATTATAAGCCTCAGTCCTATGTTGGCAACGGCCTTAGTCTGCTTTGATCTAAATGCCGGTATGCATCGCGCTACTGCTGACATGCGAGACAAAAATCCAACAGCGGCTTCGATATGCAACTAACTCTAAGACTTGCGGAATAGGTGAGTTTGTAAGGTAGTCAGCCCTGAAGGATTGGCATCATGGCGCAGTAGACTCTGATCTGACCGAAATGCGTAGCAAATGGCAGGCGCAATGGGAGCTTCTCTGCTCGGTAGAATTGATCGGGTGTATAATCTGGACCCTTCAATTCCCTCCGCTTCGGGGCCTATTCTTTCGGGGTATAAAGACTTCCTGGGAACCATCCTGCTTTGCAACTCTTCCCTCACTTCCTTCTAACACTTCACAATGCTGCAGAGCACTCTGACTCGGCTGGTACTTGCTTCGTGCAATGACTCTTCAGCTACTCTTCGAGATCTGGGGGGTTTGACCTCAGTAATTCTTCTACTTTCTGCCTTACTCTTCAAAGTGCTGTATGTGCCGGTGCCATCTTCATCCCGAAAAGGTCGTTCCCCTCCGAGCTTGCAATTACCTAGCTGGAAAGTCTCTCAGTTCTTCTTTGAGAAGAGGTTTGATTTCATCAAAAATGGCTTCAGGGCGACGTCGTCAGCCATTTACCAGACCAAGCTGTTCCAACATAACGCCATTGTTCTATCTGGGGATGAAGGCCGACAAGTCTTCTTCAAGGAGAAGGGTCTTTGTCTATATGATACGTTCTCAATCATGATGGGCAGTGTAAGGTCCCTGCTCAATGAATTTGGAACTCATAACTAATGCCCGCATCTAGAGCGCTTCTAAATTTGACCCTCACCAAGTCGATGGCGTAGTGCGACGAATGGCTTCGATTCAACGACCCGAGAACCTCCAGAGATGTGAGTTTGCACCGCTTGCAAGGAAAATTCTTTTTACTCATCCACGTACAGTGATCCCATTGATCTTGTCAGAATGCCAGAGTAAGATGAAGGCATGGGGCAACGAGCATATACTCGACCCCTGCTCTTCTCTTCACGAGGTGCGTGCATCTGAGTTCTATATTGAGTAGATGGGAAACTGAGATGTCTTGTTTTCTCTCTAGGTCACGTTTCAACTGGTCATGCGCATTGTTTCCTTCGATATTGCCAACGATCCAGTGCTTTCAGCTCGTCTTAAGTCCCTTGTTGACACTGTCGACTCTATCGCTAACCCATACTCAACTTGGCTCCCTTGGCTCCCTGGCCCGGCCTTGTTCCACAAGTTCTTTGCTTCTGTTCAAATTTACAGAATCGTGCAAGCGGGAGTTTACGCCAGGAGGACGAGCGGAATCAGGAAGGATGACATGCTGCAGCAGATGCTTGATGATGGTGACAGCATGATTCGGATCTTTGGGGTACGTGTTCCGACCACTTTTCTGCTCTTCAACCATTTTGATCGGGGATCTGACTTTTTCTGCAGTGTATGCTAGGGCTATCACTAGCTGGAGCCCGTGCTACTGGAACAATCGGTAAGCTGAATATTCGGCAACACCGGACAGAATAGCACTGACAGTTTTTTTTCCCTCTAGTAACATGGCTAATCATGCACATCTCCTCGGACCCAACTTGGTCCTCGAATATCCAAGAGGAGATCAAAACCTTCATAGCCACTCACACATCCGCATCCGCCTCTCTCTCTGGAGATGCCCTTACCCAAGCCCTCTCAGAGATCCCACTCACAGCCTGGGAATCCCAAACACCCAACCTCGACCTCTGCATACGTGAAACGCTGCGCACCTCACAGCCATATACAGCAGTACGAAAGAACACAGGCCCAGATCTTACGATTGGGTCATACGTTATCCCCTCGGGATCTCTCGTTGTTTATCCATTTTCGGATACAGCGCTCAACCCAAGCTACTACCCGGACACAACTCGCTGGGATCCATCTCGGGTGATTGCAAAAGAAGCACCATTTGTTGGCTGGGGTGGAGGAAAGCATGCTTGCAAAGGCCAGCGACTTGCCACGTTGAGCTTGAAACTTGTGGTTGTTCAAGCTTTGATGCGGTTTGATATTACGGTGGTCGATGGACACGGTAAAAAGATGAATCGTCTTGCTGCTCCTGATTGGAACGACTCTGCTACTTGTCGCCCAAAGGAGGAATGCGGAATCAAGTTTGTTGCGAAGTAGGAGACTCGGAGTCTCGCAGGGAAACTCGCAGGGAAACTCGCAGGGAAACTCGCAGGGTTATGCTTCTATTTCTTTTCTAGCCGATGCTACCATATCTATTAGCGAGCGTCTGAATCAATTACTTCTGGTGATCTTCGAATCATCAGATTGTTTTAGTTGAAATCTACAAATCTACCCAAAGGAATTCCTATTAGGCTTATAATGTTGGCTACCTGACGCGGTTAGCCACCTGACTTTGATGCCAACTGGGGCTCATCATTCATGTTGACCATCTTCATATTTACTTCCTCTACAGATTACAATGGCTACCAGAACGATTTATCTCATCTCTGCTCGCAATTCATCTTTTCAAAGAGCTCATTTCTCAATATTTGTCCCATCAGCTACCAGCCCCGACCGGGGAACCAAAATCCACGCGGTCGGCGCACCCATGGCAGGCTACGTCCTGGAGTTCAAGCGAAATTACAATCCCAGTCTCGATCCTCACGACCAGATCTTTGCGATCGGCCAGATTCATTCGTCTAATATCGTTGATTCCCCAGACGCGGCTCCATCTATCGACTCCACCCCCCCGAGGGAAGATCGAACTAGCGGCAACGCAAATCCCGACCCCGGGGATCAATCAGAACTTCATGGCACCTGTCAATGATGTGAGTAACACGGCATATACTCTGGAGATACAGTATAGAAGTTGGATTAATCTCACAGGCACAAAATTCGAGACCACCAACAAGCGGTGTCAAGAATGGACCATGGAATATGTTCGCCATCTTGTTGCCAAAGGCCTGATCGATGAAGAAGCGATTGCGATCGTTCAATCTAAACGGGATCCACCTACCCATGGTATTGGACTACGGTCTGTGACCAGACTGAGTACATAGTTTTCATAGAATACAAGAATACATCTCTCACCTCAACCGATGTCCGCATCCGCCCCGACAGCGAACCGCCGTCGGATGTTTCTCTTTCAACATCCGACATTCCGATGAACTGGACTTGATCTCCACAGCATATAATGTCTGAGCGCTTCCGACGTGCGGGGTCCCCGCATATACTATAAAGCAGCTGAGAATGTTGAGATTGTTCAGACTTCTTATCCCTTCCAAAGCCACCACACAAAATGCTCGGCAAAATCGCCCTCGAAGAAGCCTTTGCGCTCCCCCGATTTCACGAAAAGACAGAATGGTGGGCAGGCATGTTCGCAACTGACACGGAGAAGCATACGGCAGAGATCAACGACGTCGGACCAATCCGTCTCGACTTCGCTGAGCGCCACGGCGTCGGTCTCCAGATTCTCAGTTACACAGCACCTGGCGTCCAAGACATATGGGACGCAAAGGACGCGCAAGCCCTCGCCGTCGAGATCAACGATTACATTGCAGAGAAAGTGAAAGCACACCCAGATCGGTTTGCTGCATTTGCGTAAGTAACCTTACATCCATGATCAATATCAATGTGTATTCATCCAGCTAACTCACCCCAGCACACTCTCCATGCACGACCCACAAGAAGCAGCCGCCGAACTCCGCCGCTGCGTAACACAGCACGGGTTCCTGGGTGCACTTGTTAACGACACGCAGCGCGCCGGCGCCGACGGCGACGACATGATCTTCTATGATAACGAGAAATGGGACGTATTCTGGGCTACCTGCACTGAGCTCGATGTGCCACTTTATCTACACCCTCGCAACCCGACAGGCACAATCTACGAGAAGCTCTGGGCTGATCGGAAATGGTTAATTGGGCCACCACTGTCATTTGCGCACGGTGTCAGTCTTCATGTTCTTGGCATGGTGACGAACGGGGTGTTTGATCGGAACCCGAAGCTGCAGATTATACTTGGACACTTGGGGGAGCATATACCATTCGATATGTGGCGGATCAACCACTGGTTTGAGGATCGGAAGAAGATGCTCGGACTTCAGGAGACGTGTAAGCGGACGATTCGGGAATACTTTGCGGACAATTTGTGGATTACGACGTCGGGACATTTCTCGACTACTACCCTGAACTTTTGTATGGCGGAGGTTGGGGCAGATCGGATTTTGTTCTCGATTGATTATCCATTTGAGACGTTTGAGGATGCATGTGAGTGGTTTGATTCGGCGGAGATGTCGAATACAGATCGGTTGAAGATTGGAAGGGAAAATGCGAAGAAGTTGTTTAAACTTGGGGCTTATAAGGATAGTACGGCTTGAGGTTACGGAGTGAATAGGCTCGAATGGAATTTTCGCATTGAATTTCGCTAAGCATCTGTTATGAGGTTTGAAACATTGCATATGGGGTATTTGAAAACAGTAGAAACAAATCGTACAATCATGGTATCGCAGATGGAGAAGATGTTTGATGTGATGGTACAGTGGCTTTTCCATCGTTCAGTTGGCCATGCATTCGGAGAAGTCCTGCTCAGCTGGGTTGTTCTGATCCTTCTTGATATCTTGATATCGTTCCCAGCATTTCTCCCAGATCTCTGGCGAGTCACAAAGATAGCCCATCGTTGGTGCAAAGTACTTTCGTTTGATCTCGAGGGTGACCCAGCCCAGGGTGACGTAGCTCTCGATGCAGCGGTTGATCGCCCCCCCAGATGATCAGGACGTGACGCGCAATCTTTGTGCGTGGGAAGTTGGGGACTTGCTCGTCCAGGATTTGAGGCCGGCGCATATTGAGAAAAGGGGTGTGGATCCATTCCTCATACATGTTCATGTACAAAGCAAGCAGTCGTCGTTCAAGGAATCGAGGCTTTTTCATATTCCTGATCATTCGGTGTTAGTTCTGAAAGAGAGGATAGACAAGAAACAAGGGTATTGGTACTTACTGAGCGACCACAGTCGCCATTTTGCGAAGTCGCTCGTAGGGAAACGCAACCTCCAACGAGACCTCTTCCAGGGCATAAGAAACCTGTTCGGCAGTCTGCAGCTGCTCTTTGAGCATGTCTTCGACGAATTTGACATGATTGAGGATGGTGTCGAGAGGACGTCGTGCATCTTTGATTTCTTTGGAAGCTAGGAATTCGGGACTTTGGTGGAAGAGGACAAGGTTGAGTTTGAGGGTGGCGTTGATGATGGTGATAAATTCCTCGCGGATCTCAGGACGCAATTGCGGTTCGGAGAGAAGATCCTGCAGCTGGTCGAGGACGACCTCGCTGCGCTGAGAGGGGTCGCTTTTGACATAGGGAATAATGTTAGGGTCGACATGGAGTAGACGGATCTCATGCTGGGCGGCTTTGCCGAGAGCATTGATCCATGCTTCCTCAAGTGGTTTTTCGGCTGCGATGGAAGATGCAAGCGTCTCACACTCAGATTCGTCATACTCAGGGAATGCCTCAGTATCTGTGTTGGCAGTGTCTGCACTGGTGGGGGTGGTAGATCCCGACGCATCTGATTCAGAGTCGATTGCGACTTGAGAGCGGACATCCGCGAGACGGGAGCCTGGTGGGAGGTCGTCCATTTTGCTGATATCGGAATGTCAAATTACATGAGGGAAGAAGAGAAAGAGAGAAGAGGGAATAAAAGAGAGAGGGGTGGTTAAGTCGTGGAGAGACAGACTGCTGTCATAATAATGCATTGAGGTTATTGAAGACACGCGCGTGACAATAGACAATAGACAATGACAATGTGACAATATGACAATAAGACTGAATAGGAAATATGAATACATGAATTTACCGCTGCTCAATCCAGAAGCGCTAATAGATCAGACTCGAAGGTCAGAACGCTTCTTTACAATTGAGTGGTGGACTGCCTTCCCCAAGAACGCTGCCCGATTGGTGAAGCAGCGAATGACTCGAGAACAAGACGTTCTCCAGCCAATCATCTACTTCTCAGGCAGACAATCAAGAGTTACTGAAGGCAGTTATTGTTCTTCGCACATTGACTAATCGACGTCTCATGGGGCAGAGGAGGACGGCAACTTAAGTAGTGCGAGTTCATTGCTTGAACTATTCTTCTTTCATTCCGTCCGGGACTGGGATGTCCTCATCATTATCATCTGGTAATGGGACATCCATGACACGTTCACCGGCCTTTTCTAGCGTTCGTCTACTCCATGACCGGACACTTTTGTAGACAGCCTATCTGCGGTTAGCACCAAGTTAGATATAGTCAAAAGTGACCACACATACCCAAAGGAAAGTACCGATACCAACCATGACCACCAGCCAATTCAACTGGGCGGCTCGGTTACGGCCCGAGTTCCGCCCTGATGCGACAGACCGGAGGTTCCAAGGAAAAGGCGACAGCGCAAATATTGCTTTGAGGAACGATAACAGGCCCAAAGACGCGAGTCCCTTGACGAAGTGTCCCAACCAGGTGGTATCTTCCTCGACCAATTCGGCGTAAGCATCCACGGGGCCCAGGTAAAAATCAATGATGGGGTCAGCAATGAATCCAAGCAGAAATACGGTTAACAAAAGAATGCCGAGTGTCAGTACTAGCTGGGTAGTGGCGCTACTGATCCACCGAGCCCAAGTCAGACGCTCCAGGCGGTACTGGAAGCCACAGGTGGGACATTGCCAGAAATTTCTTGTCCCGTATTTGGGGTCGGCATGGCGCCACGACTGCAGACAGCCCTCGTGGACATAACGCGAGGAGCCTTTGCATTGACAAGGACTTAGCAGCCGACCAGATTCTGGATCCGAAGATTCATAAACCACTCGAGGCTTTTGGAGAAATTCTGAGGGTTGGACAGTAGGCAGCACGCTTTCCAGGCAGATGCGACAGACCCGTGGAGGGTAATGCTGTGTGTCCGCCATTGAGTATCACATCGAGATTTGCTCGAACCTTGACTAGAGAAGGCCGAGAGAGAATTACTGTTTCTTTTTTGGGGGTGTAAAAAGAAAGAGAACGTTGAGAAGAAGAAAAGCAGAAAAGCCCAAGGTGTCCCAAACCCCACGGCTAATCCTGATCGGGTCACCGCCTTTAGTGAGCTCTACCGCGCCAAACGTCACCCATCTCTGCCTACAACACAGCTCCCCTTCCTTTGATCTTTCCATCCTCTCCTCTTCTCTTCCCTTTGACAGCGAATCATGGCGGACCGATACTCATTCTCTTTGACTACATTCTCCCCCAGGTAAGGACAACTTGATCCTATGGAATTGACAACGTGCTAACTCAGCTCCATTTCAGCGGAAAGCTGGTGCAAATTGGTATGAACCATCGTCTTTAAGCTCAGGCATCGATGACTGATCAATATAGAATATGCCTTGAACGCTGTCAACCAGGGTGTGACTGCTCTCGGTATCAAAGGTATGCAGATGCCCGGGTTCTTTCCCACATAGGGCCAAGCTGACCGCCCCCGTGATAGCTACGAACGGCATTGTGCTCGCAACTGAGAAGAAGTCATCCTCGCCTCTGATCGACCCTCCCTCGCTATCCAAGATCTCACTGATTACGCCGGATATCGGTATGGTCTACGCCGGCATGGGCCCTGATTACCGAGTGTTGGTCGACAAGGCCCGCAAGGTCTCGCACACAGGCTACAAGCGCATCTACAACGAATACCCACCTACTCGTATATTGGTTCAGGACGTCGCCCGAGTAGTGCAAGAAGCTACGCAATCCGGTGGTGTGCGGCCGTACGGTGTCAGTCTGTTGGTCGCAGGCTGGGACGAGGGTGTTGAACCTGAGTCTGAAGAGGCTAAGAAGAATGATCCTGAGGAGAAGATCTCCAGCAAGACTGGTGGTATCCAGAAGGGTGGGCCCAGTCTGTACCAGGTCGACCCCAGTGGCAGCTACTACCCGTGGAAAGCGACGGCCATCGGCAAGCACGCAACGAGCGCCAAGACATTCCTTGAGAAACGGTACACTGAAGGACTAGAATTGGAAGACGCCATCCATATTGCGCTGTTGACACTCAAGGAGACTATTGAGGGTGAGATGAATGGTGACACAATAGAAATTGGTAAGTTTGGGGGGTTCTGTCCCGTTTCCACTCGTTTCGGCTGCTTGGTTATTCAAGAGCCTGGTGAACATCGACTAACTCCATTCCAGGCATTGTCGGCCCCCCAGCGGACCATCTTCTGGGCTACGAGGGAGTGGAGGGTGCTCAGGGACCACGGTTCCGCAAGTTGACCAAGGAGCAGATCGAGGACTACCTGACCAATCTATGAACGAGAACACTTAATCCATGTAGTCTCGAATGAAACATTTTCTTTTTGTCTGGCACTGACATTTTCCCATTACAAATCGCATGGCCACCCACCGACGGATACCTACCTAATGGTCTACTTCATGTCACCTCCATATCTTCATGGCCAAAACAGGACGCGCCAGAGGGTGGTCCGAGCCACCCCTGGTTTCGAATTCATTTCCATTTTTACAGTAGTCCGTGTCCTGTATGGCTCGAACATTTCAAATCTTCTAGTTCTAAGCTTGCTTCAACATTATCATTATTATATTGTACGCCGTCATGTTGCTAACGAAGATCTCCTCCCAGACTCCACAAACATCCTCCTCTGAACAACTTGGCCTCCGTCCGGCGGAGACAAGAAGTTCTTCGGCTCAGCCTGATCATAAGGCGTATCCTCACTTTGATCCGGCGTCTCAGGCGGCCTTTGCACTGAGCAAAGAGGCAATGTATCAGCAATAGCGATAGAAATAGGATGTCGGGACCCCTGGATGAGATCTACCAGGCGACCAAGCACAGCAAATTCAAGCTTGAGTTTGAGCGAGTACACAAATCCCTTCAGTGTGATTTGTACAGCGTAAAAATTGGCGTATTCGAGGCCCAAAAGCAATAGATCCAACCCTATGATCACGCAGTTGATCCCGATCAGCTGGTACATGATGGTCCGGGCATCCGGGCGCGAAGTCACATCTGCCCCAAGACGGAGAAGCTTAACGGTCTCAATCACATACAGCGTTGACAGCAGACTCTCTTGGATCGTGAACCCGGTCAGCTGGATCTTCTCCATAACATTGTATCCATTCACCCAGGCGGCGTCGCCGCTGTGGATTATGTTCGCGCCGTAGGTGAGGATCGTTGTGGGCACATGTAGGAGAATGACATTTGCGACGATGAGGTGTAATACACGGCGCAACATGCGCTCATCTCGTAACACAAGGTGGAGTCGTGAGTACAGCACCACAGACTGACCAGTGACCATAGTCCACCAGCCGATAGACAGGACGGTGACCGACAACACGGAGTCAGTGTGAGTGAAGAACTTCATCAAGAAACCGATTGAGTATGGTACGACACCGAGCACTCCCGTGACCAGCAGGGACCAGAAATAGAGCCCACGCCACCTGCGGAATGTGGCTGGGACGAGGACAACTAGCTCGGCGACATTGTAGCATGATAGACCGATGAAAGCGACTAGGATCAACTGTAGCACGTCACCCTCTTTTGCAAGGGCACCAGATATCCCATCGAGCATGTCCTGGGGAACGTTGGACATGGTCGAAGAGGAGACTCATCCGGGCTTTGGGAGGAGTTATATGAGCAACCGGACTCGAACAGGGAGTCTGGTTCACCCTGTTTGGTATGTCCACATATTCCTATGGACAAACGGGGGGATGGTATGAAAGAATTTTCCAACAAAAATGAAAGAAGAAACGGGCGACAAGGGCGAACAAGATCGAATATAGTGTGGGATATGGGCTGGTGGTACAGGACTAAAAAAGTGTCAATGCTCTGTCATGCAGATCAAATTTTGGTCTCGTCTGAGCGAATGAAAGAAAAACAAACGAAGCCTTTCTTGACGTGTTCATAGGAAGTTTACTCCAGGGGCAGAGAGTCCGGGGTAACCCTTGAGGATAACCCTGGGGGATAAATTCAACATCCGGCATCGGAGTTGGGGGCCAATTCCCGATATTAATTTTAATTTCAAACATGTGGGAATTAGAAGGATTGGGATCGTTGTATTTTGATTTTGTACTTCTATAGAAGTGAACAGATAAAAATAGATCCTTGTAGATCCTACTAGTATTGAAAGACATCCAACAAAGATATGAAAAAAAAAAAAAAAGAAAAGAAAAGAAAAGACAGGTTTTACCTACTATCACCTCATGATGCTTCATGGCTAGAGGGTAAGATTGTTTTAAATATAAAGATTTCCCAATTATGTCGTGTTTAGGGTTGTCTCGCCTGTCCATGGAACATCGTTCTCCGAGTCTTCATCCTGGCTGTCAGCTACTTCCTCCACCTTCCTCTTCTTGTTTGGTGTCTGCACAGGCTGTTCTGGTGATGCCGGTCTAGACGGTGACAGTTTGTGAGGCTCAATTTCTGAAGATGGTGGTGCAGAAGACAGCACAGAGGATATAGGCGAAGGGGTCGGAGTAGGAGGATCATAATACTCAAAGTCGGGAGGAGACTTCAGCAAGGGGGTCAGAGGATCGGAAGGGAGAGACTCATTTCTCTCTATTTCACAAAGACCATCCTAGACAAATTAGAAGCACAATCGCATGCAACAGACCAGCTGACATAGACTTACCGGTTCAATGCGAAACGCAACGAGCAGCCCCTCGGCTTGCTCGGGCAATGGCTTACCCGCGCGCTTCTCAACCTCCACGACTCGCTCATCCGGCAGGTCACGATAGACCGCAATACGAGTCTGCACGCTGGCTTCCCACGCGCTGCCCGACAAGAGCGGCTGCAAAGCCGCATGAGACTGACCCTTAATCTTTGTATGGGATTGGTTAATTGCCAACACGGCGATATTTCTCGCGGCGAGTTTGGCCAGATGCGTGGCTAGCTGACTAGCAACGTTCCATTTGCGATTCAGCAACCATTGCAGGTGTGATTTATCGGTGATTTTTCCCTCGGTAAGCTGGTCTTTGAGCTCTTGGGCGCTGGGGAAGTAAGCTGGGAATAAATTTGACACGGAGTCGACTACAATCAGGTGTGTTTCCGATGGTGGAAACCCTTTTGGTGGACGTGCAAGTAAGGCTATGAGATGGGGCAGCGTATGCGCCCGGAAATAGACAAAGTCATCGAGGTTGACGGACATTTCCTCGAGCCGGGGACTAGGCAAGGGACATCCCGTATCTAACGGTGTGAGTAGGACAGCGCAGCTGACTCAGGTAACTGGCAGGAACATACCAATCCAGACTACTTTGCCGCCGCGTAATGCATTACATGTAATATTTAACCTGTAAATGAATCAGATGGGACACTGGCGGTGTGAATATGGGGGGGGTGCACTCACGCCAGGGACGTCTTCCCAGCTCCCGGGGGTCCGAATATTTCTGTAACATGTCCACGCAAGATTCCGCCTTGGTTGGGCTGATCTGGGAGGTCATTTAGAGCTTCATCTAGACGCGCCAGACCCGTCGCGATCGAGTCGCGGGTGGCGGCCGACGCGTTGAGGGACTGCGATGCTGAGATCGAGACCACAGGCACTGCGGACTAGGTAAATATTTTGATATCCTCAACAAGGTATTTGGAGAATACACTTACGTGTCTCATCATCGAACCCTTCGAGACCGTCGAGACCAAGAAGGTCCATGTTGGTGCTCATGGGCGCATCAGGATGGCTGGCAGCAAAGCCAATTCAAAACCAAGTAGAAGAATAGAGAATCAAATTCAAGTTCTAATGCATTCAATCTCATTCTAAAAATGACATGAAAAATGCCATCATAAGTAGGTGAGACGTTGAGAGTTCGGAGATCGGAAATCGGGGTTTTTTCCCCTCGATCGATCTCCAAGTTGAGTGTTGCATACTCCTCATGTCCAATGTCAACACTTCCCTTGGAGGGCCTCTCCCCAATTGGATTATATTCTTTCTGTCTGTTCTTTTTCTTCTGAAAATCTTGAAGATACTGAAAACACCAATCAATCCCAAAGGGTGTCGCCGTCTAGGACTTCCACCAGGGCAGAGCAATCTGGACGATGAATTCGACTCGAAGTACAGCCGTGGTGTACCCAGCGATCAAGATGATCATGGTCCATCATCTTGGCGCGTGAAAGCACTGTTCAGCTACCCCCTCAAATCCTGTGGTGCGGTGGAGCTGCAAGTTTCGAATGTCGTATCAACCGGGCTTGAATTCGATCGACAATTCGTCTTTGCAGAGCGTGTCAATGATGAATGGAACATTCGCACCCTGCGTAATGCAGGCTTCAATCGCTTAGCCTTGATCCATCCTGAGATTTGGGTTCCCGACCCGTCTGCCTCCGATTATGACGCAGAACTGCCAGAAATCAAATCGCAGGGTGTGATGCTGGTATCGTATCCCCGAATGCCGCCAGCAGGATGGAAGGGTCTGCCCGTCAAGGTCGGTATGGCGGTCAAGTTCCTCAAAAACCAGCAGACATTCCAAGTCCCGTTACTTCCACCCGCGGACTCCAACTTCCCATTGGTCCCAGTCAAGATTTGGAAAGACAAGCCTCTAGCCTATGACTACAGCCGACTGCTTCCAGCATCATTACACGCATATCTAGGGTCCGACCCATCAAAACACACTCTGGCACTGTTCCGCGCCAGCGCACCCCATTCACGACAGATCTTCCGTAACGCACCCCGCAAAGAAGACCTTGGCTTCCAACCAAACACAGCCTTTGCAGATGCATATCCAATCCACCTCCTCAGCATCTCCAGTCACCGAGATGTAGCAGCCCGCTGCGCCTACGCAATTCCGAGGCTGAGCATTCGCCGTTTCCGCGCGAACATCATCATCCAAGGCCCGGCTGCTTTTGAGGAAGATCACTGGAAGCGGCTTGCTATTGGCGGCACGGAGATCCACGCTTCTTGTCGGACTGTTCGATGCCGACTGCCCAATGTTGATCCTCTTTCTGGGGATCGACATAAGGTCGAGCCGGATCGGACGCTGAAATCGTATCGGCGCATTGATGATGGAGATCGGACTAACGCGTGTTTAGGTATGCAGCTTGTTCCTGCAAAGGAGGAGTTTGTGCTTAGGGTTGGGGATTCTGTTGAGGTTCTTGAGACCGGGGCGCACCAGTATATCAAGATGCTGGCGCCTGGGGAGAAGGTTGAAGGGGTATAGGAAAGACAATAGTAATGCATGTGTCTATCATCCTGGACCATATATCGTCAGAGCTGTATTTGAGGACCATTTCAAAGAAGTAGATGCCATAGTCTACAGGCAGAAACCGAAAGTCTCAGGTACCAATTCTTCAGTCATGATTCAACCTCTTGAAAGGAGCCCGTTGGATTAATAGTAGACCTCAAGGCGCTTTCACACTCCAGCTCTGATAAATATGAGTCTTCGCCGAGGTGTAGCACAAAGCTATAACTACCACCTGACCAAATATATCTTACGTAACATGCTCCCATCTCATTGTGATGCCTCCATCTATTTGTGAGGTCCATCATCTTTAAGATTATCCCCGTTAATTCTCTAAATGTCCGAGCCCACCTCTCGTACCGAGATAAGACAACAATCCGCAGAGATCAGAAAGAAACAAGCCAAGAGCCTTGCAGGACTCCCTCCAAGTACTCTCCACATTACCCTCTACATCCGCTCCGATCCACCTCTCCCAAACGACTTCCATTGGGCCTTCTACCTCCACAAAGGCACCAGTTCCACGCCAGGAGGAACCAAGTACCATGCGCGAGGCATCGGTGGTGGGTGGATTGCCGCACACGAGGCTACAGCGGGGATCTTCACAGAGAATTTCTTATGTGTGATAATTCAGATCGCGACAATTCGTCCAACCGCTCACGAGCGTGTAGATGAGATTATGAGAAGCTGGGATGAGTCCCTCAATTCGATTCCAGGGATTACGTGTCGTGTGTGGATATTAACTGTGTTGCGGAGACTTGTTGACGAAGGGTTTGTCCACTGTGATATCGGGGAATTGGAGAAGGATTGTTTGGAGTTTGGGAATGGGCACAGTGCAACGGCTAGTGCGAATAAGCAGCCTCGTCCGGTTGCCAGGTCGCGGGTTTCCTCTTGACATAACAAAAGGGGAACTTGAACATTACTAGAGAATGAAATGAGCCGAAATGGAAGCAGGGTTTGTCCGCTGTTATTACTGTTTAAGGCGTTCCTTGTGTGATCCACCGAAAGAGCTGGACCTCGTTTGTAGAGTGTAAAAATGATCAGGGAATATCACCATAATATTGCAATATAGGTATTAAAAAACAACGCTAAGGGCAAAGCTAGCCCCACACAAACTCCACATATGACAGAACTATACAAGGCCCAAGATCAAGCAGTCTTAATAGGCTCCGACTGCTCGGGAGTGTTGATTTGTACACGGCCATCATCCGACTCGGTCGACTCAAAGATGGCAGGAACATCATCAGGCTCGTCGGGAATGAAGAGGTTGAGGAAGATGCCGAGAAGCGCACAGATCGCAAACCCATTCTCCATGACCAGATCGACAGCATTGATCAGGCCTTCGAGGGCATGGTTGTCACCCTTGTAGGTGAAGAAGTAGCTGAACCATTCCGGCAGGAGTGTGACACCCATTCCAATGGAGAAACTAGCTGTCAAGATGAACCGGTTGCGACGAGTGGGTTCGACACTCCCGATGATGCGCAGACCACTCACTGCCACCGAGCTAAAGAGGAAAGCAGTCATACCACCAAGGACGGGGCTGGGGATTGCAACCAACGCAGCGGCGAACTTGGAGAAAATACCCATGATAACCAGGAAGAAGCAGCAGCAGTAGCCAGCGTTGCGGTTAGCGCATTTTGTCAGCGCAATCACACCGTTGTTCTGCGCAAAGACGGACATGGGACTAATGGTCATCAATCCGGCCAAGAGACAGGTGATACCGTTACCCAAGACCCCACCTTGGATGCGGGAATCGAAGGTACCACCCTCGACCTGGAGGCGGGAGACATCACAGGTCGCCGTAATATCACCAATTGACTCCATCATGATAACGATGTATAGCGCAAGCAACGGCAGGATGAGCGGGGGGTACACCGACAGCGGGAAGGTGTGGACCCAAGGGAAAGAAGCCACTGGTGCAGCAGTGATACCGGAATTATCAAAGTAGTTGCACGCGGCCGCGACGATCGAGCCAACCAAGAGACCAACAATGACGGAGCAACTCTTCAGGATCGGAGGACCCCACCGCTCGCAGACGATGATTGTCACAAAGACCAGGAATCCCAGTCCAATGAACTCAGGGCTTCCCCAGGGCAGTGGGTGCGGGGCATTGGCGTTAGGGCACATTGCACGGGCGGACGGGTCAAACCCACAGGATGCGCCACCGGCCCAATCCTGCATGGCGGACTTGATGAGCGAAGCACCGATCAAGAGAACTGTCGGTCCGGTGACGAGTGGAGGGAAGACGCGGGCGAGGATCTTGCTGCTCAGAAAAGACATGCCGATTTCGAGGAGGGAGCAGAGACATGAGGTACCGAGGAGGGCACCATAGCCTTTTGGACAAGGGAGTCGCGTTCCATCTTCGAGGGTGGGACAGTAGCCCGATTTATACATTTGGGAAAAGGCGCCTTGGGCGACTGTGATGGTTGAGAAAGATGTACCTGTGTGAACCGATTAGTATCCAAAGCGGGGTTTTCTTGCAGACGGGAAGTTCTTACCCACGACTGATAGTAATCCAGTTCCGATAAAGTATTTGGTTCCCTTAATTTGGAGGCGGAACATTTGGATAGCACTCAGCAGGCCGGAGACGATCAATGAAGTCGACACCATGTATTGGTAGAGCTCATCCCCGAAATTGGCACCGCCTGAGCCGCCGAGCAAAATGGGTGGTGAAATCACTGATCTTCTTAGATTTGGGACTTGCTTGTGGGTGTACAAGGTACTCACCACCAGCTAACATTGCCAGCGCATGTTGTAAGCCCAGAATCAATGCGAGAACGACTGGAACGCGATCATCGAGACCGAAGAACGGGGCCGATTTGCGGGCTCGCTTTGTGAACGGTAGTCGTGGGATAAAGAGGTATGCATAGTCGTAATCACCGACTAGACCTTCTCTGTTGCTTGTGAGTCACGGTTCATTACATCGGGTCATTGAAGCTCATACCGCGTGGTGAAAGTCTTCACGGCATATCGCACTTTGTCGGCAAATGTGCGTTGAGGCGTATAATCGGGGCCGATTTGGTCTGGGCCGTCCATCTTGAATGATATAATGAAATCAATTCCAAGGACGTCTCGGTTTATAAAGAAAACTACACCCCGATATTCGGTAACTCTAAAAAATCGAGATAAAATGCACAGATGACTAAAAAAAAAAAAAAAGGCAAAGTCTCCACTTGGTGATAGCCTAGTGAATGATTTTGTTATCAGACAAATAGCCAGGCCATTAGCAAGAGTAAATGGGGGCAATTAGCAAGAGCATTGCATAACGTGGCCGCTTAGCTTGATGTAGTTAGGGTCCCCGCGTTATCTGACATTCAGAGCGTCCACAGGTGGCCAATGGGGAAGATCTGAAGTGGAGAAGAGATAAGGGTTCGTGTTCCAACTCCCTGTTGTGTTCAGTGTCAGAGATGTGTATGTGGATCGTGGAGTCAATGGAGAACAGCTTGTTGGGGAGTATACCGGCAATCTCCTAGGTACGAAGTATGTATATGTACTCCGTATGCTATACTCTATACTCTATATTCTATACTCTATACTCTATACTCTGTACCCCGTACTCCATATGTCCCGAGAGCTTATAGGCTCCCCACCCGTCGAATGGTTCCCGCTATCTGGAGGTTTATCTGAGATTCGACAGTCGGAGAGTGCCGTGGACAGGGAGGTGGAAGACTCCGACCGTAAGGTTCACTCCGCGTCAAGATTCATCCTTATCAGACTGCAAGATACTGCCCAGGGGAAATATTCGTGAAATATTCGTGAAATATTCGTGACAATCATCTAGAATCAGATGTTGTGATTGTGCTTGTTCTGGTCCGCATATCTCCACGTTGGCTGATGAAGCGGGAACTATACTTTGGAAGCCTCGGAAATCCCGCGTTCTAGAAAAGTGTATCCCCACGGGCACTCAGTCGGCACTCCGTTGTCACGCAATTGTCACTCAATTGTCACTCAATGGTATTGATCTCTTGATCTCAATGTCAATGACGTATCAGTCTCGCTTGTTGATTCAATCCAGATTCGATGGTCACCGTCCTGGTCATTTGTTCCTTCTTGGGCACACATTCTGCAGGTGAATGATGAGCTGCTTAAGTGTCGAGCGTATGTGACGGATGTCGAAAAAGAGATACTCGGTCCGATTCTAGATGCAAGGATTCACTTCACACTTGGAAATATTGCGTAATTCGATCAAATTCGCCCAACATCTCGCATATTCCATTGAAGTAAACCGTACTTTGCGCGGATGACTTCATTTGGATGGACAATGTCCAGTTTTCTCGACCATTGAGAGAAGGGGCCCAGGCCTCGGCCCATCATTGATCGGGAAATGCATCCTGTAAGGAACGCTAAGGGTGTGTTGACCACTCCCTGTACAGCATGTCCATTTCCTTCCCTTTGAAAGGTGATTGGATCCAACAGAATAATCCCTACTCCGTAGAAATCCCGAGGTTTGTCCTATCCCTCGAACCTCCACTCGTGGAACCCCAAGGCTGGAATAGGGGATGACCTAAGCATATTTGCCATCGAACGCTGATTGGTGGTTGACTGCCTGAGGCACCAAAGCGTTGGGGCTGACTGGACCCAACATTCGCCAGAAAGCGATGAGGCACGCCACTCCCGATCAAAGGGAAGCGCAAAAGTCTACTTGCACAAGCTTATAAGGCCAATTCTGTTCTTCTTCGCTTCTTTTTCGCCTCGGGATCTTGTGACGCTCGATATTTGCTTTCATTTGATTCGTCTTTGAGCCCTATTTACCCCATCTGCGTTGGCGATCAGTGCCCCGGCTCCCCAACGTTGGTCCCAAGTGGGCCCAAGTATAAAAAACCCTTTGATTCTCCGGCATTGAATTTCCAACCTTCTTCCACCATCACATTATGTCGTCCAAGCCCGATGCTTCACGCCCTCGGGCGGCTGACACCAAGAAGGTGCACATTGCCGATACTCAGATGAACCGCCACAACTGGTACAAGCATGTCAACTGGCTGAACGTTGCCTTCATCATCGGCGTTCCCATCTCCGGTTGCATCCAGGCTTTCTGGGTGCCTCTGCAGTTGAAGACCGCCATCTGGGCAGTCATTTACTACTTCTTCACTGGACTGGGAATCACAGCGGGTAAGTCATGCTGAATTGAACTCAACCCCCGGACAAATGAGCTGACTCAATGATTCAGGATACCATCGTCTCTGGGCTCACTGCTCGTATTCCGCCACTTTGCCTCTGCGTATCTGGCTCGCTCTCGTCGGCGGCGGTGCTGTCGAGGGTTCCATCCGCTGGTGGGCTCGTGACCACCGCGCTCACCACCGTTACACCGACACTGACAAGGACCCTTACTCAGTCCGTAAGGGTTTGCTGTACTCTCACCTGGGATGGATGGTCATGAAGCAGAATCCCAAGCGTATTGGTCGCACCGACATCACCGATTTGAACGAAGATCCCGTCGTTGTCTGGCAACACCGCAACTATATCAAGGTCGTGCTCACCATGGGCCTCATCGTTCCCATGCTCGTTGCCGGTCTCGGCTGGGGTGACTGGTACGGCGGATTTGTGTACGCGGGTATTCTGCGCATCTTCTTCGTCCAACAGGCTACCTTCTGCGTGAACTCGCTGGCCCACTGGCTCGGCGAACAGCCCTTCGACGACCGTAACTCACCCCGTGATCACATCATCACCGCCCTGGTCACTCTCGGCGAGGGATACCACAACTTCCACCACGAGTTCCCCTCGGACTACCGCAACGCCATTGAGTGGCACCAGTACGACCCCACCAAGTGGACCATCTGGTCTTGGAAGCAGCTTGGCCTCGCCTACGACTTGAAGCAGTTCCGCTCCAATGAGATCGAGAAGGGCCGCGTCCAGCAGTTGCAGAAGAAGATCGATCAGAAGCGCGCCAAGCTTGACTGGGGTACTCCCCTCGACCAGCTTCCCGTTATGGAGTGGGACGACTATGTCGAGCAGGCCAAGAACGGTCGTGGTCTGATCTCCATCGCCGGTGTTGTTCACGATGTGACCGACTTCATCAAGGACCACCCCGGTGGCAAGGCCATGATCAAGTCCGGCCTTGGCAAGGACGCAACCGCCATGTTCAACGGTGGTGTTTACTACCACTCCAACGGTGCTCACAACCTGCTTTCCACCATGCGTGTCGGAGTCATCCGTGGCGGTGGTGAGGTTGAGATCTGGAAGCGCGCTCAGAAGGAGAACTCTGAGTATGTGCGTGATGAGACAGGCCAGCGGATTATCCGGGCCGGTCAACAGGTCACTAAGATCCCCGAGCCGATCCCCACTGCAGATGCAGCTTAAAGTGAATTATCATGACATATTTTGCATTTGTGGGTTGGTCGGTGTCGGCGTTTTTTTCTTTCTTTGTTTCATCAAAAGCGACCTGTGACGCACTTCATAGATAATCATGAATTAGAAACGAATTTTCATCCTTATACGGATATATACTTCGGACTTGAATTTTTCGTAGCCTTGGTCTCGTGTAGTGTCGAGGCATGAGGTTCAGTTCGAGCTGAAAGGAAAATGCATATTGCGGGGCGCTTGGCCTTCACGTGTCAATCCTTTCAATGCCATTGTCAATTTGTCATTACCCCATGGACGTACATACATAGCTGTCTTTGTCACTGTAATTTTGCAGTTCAATGAACCCTTGGCTTTAGGCCAATACCTGGGAATATGTTTTCTCCACTTGCATGGGATTACTAGTAAGGCTAACTATCGGAAATGATCTATAGGCTATAACATATGACAGATCATCTGGCCTTGCAAAGAAAACTGTGTTGTAGCCATCTACAACATATACATAAAGTGAGCTAATGCTACAAGTATCCTAATAGTGGTTGTGAATGTATGTTTCTTTTCACTTATAACAACTGCCAAGACTGTGTAGATATCTGTCCCCGCGGATCATGGGCAGCTTCAGATCACCTGACAACTTCTTCTCTTCCTCTTTCCCCCTCACACGTCGAATACCGCCCATCATTACTTTAACCTCTCGTGTCCACCTTGTCATTGTTCTCTTAGCCATTCTCATCGTGGCGCCCTTCCTCCGTATCCCCGCCCGCCTCTCATCTGTGCTGGGCCACTTACGTACCAACGTACCAAGACGACTCTTGACGACCTCCAGCATGGCCCCCGCTCACCTCCGGACGCCACCCCAGGCCCCGCCTGTCTTTACAGCCACTCCGCAATCAGTGGTGGCTGATGCCGAACGCTTGATCAAGAGCTCGCGTGCCATCCAAGACAAGGTGGTGGCGGAGATTAAACCCGACAACGCAACCTTTGCCAATGTTATTCGTCCCCTCGCCCAAGATGACAATGAGATGGGACTAGAGTCCCACATCCTGGGATTCTACCAGGCTGTGTCAACCGACTCGAAGCTGCGCGATGCCTCGTCCAAGGCCGAAGAGCTGATGGATGAGTTCTTTATTGAGGCAGTCATGCGTGAGGATGTCTTTGCTCTGGTCGATGCCGTACTGCGCCGCAACGAGTCTCTAGACCCCGAGTCACGTCGTCTGTTGGAGAAGGAACATAAGGACTTCGTCCGCAATGGCCTTGGCCTGCCCGCCGGCCCTCAGCGGCTCCGCTTCAAGGAGATCAAGAAGAGGCTGAGCCAGCTGAGCATCGAATTCCAGAAGAACTTGAACGAGGAGAACGGCGGCATCTGGTTTACCCCCGAAGAGCTGGCTGGTGTGCCTAAGGACGTTCTGGACGGCTTGAAGAAGGGTGAGGGCGAGAACGCCGGCAAGCTTTGGCTCTCGTTCAAGTACCCCGACCTCTTCCCTACCATGAAATACGCCATTGACCCCGATATCCGCCGACAGGTTATGATCGCCAACGAGAACAAGTGCAACCAGAATGTGCCACTCTTCCGAGAATCTATTATACTCCGTGACGAGGCAGCCCGTCTGATCGGCTACCCCAACCACGCCGCCTTCCGTATCGAGGACAAGATGGCCAAGACGCCCGAGACCGTCAACAAGTTTTTGGGTGATCTTCGGGACAGACTGACCGCTGGCGGTAAGAAGGAGACACAAAAGTTGCTGGACCTGAAGAACGCCACAGACCCCAAGGCCGATGGCCGCTACTACCTGTGGGACCACCGGTTCTATGACCGTCTTATGCTCGAGAAGGACTACTCGCTGGATCAACAGCTGATTGCTGAGTGGTTCCCCTTGCAGACAACAATTGAGGGTATGCTGAAGATCTTCGAGGAGCTCTTCGGTCTGGAGTTTGTTGAGATCGTTGGCGAGGACCGGGCTGCCATTGCCCCCACCGGCCAGGGCAATGACATTGTCTGGCACGAGGATGTTCAAGTGTACACTGTGTGGAACGATGAGGGTGAGGGCAGTGGGTTCGTCGGATACTTGTACCTGGACCTGTTCCCTCGCGAGGGCAAGTATGGCCACGCAGCCAACTTCAACCTGCAGCCCGGCTTCGTTGACAAGGATGGCAACCGCCGATTCCCTGCCACCGCGTTGGTGTGCAACTTCACCAAGCCCCAACCAAAGAAGCCTAGTCTGCTGAAGCACGACGAGGTTGTCACCCTCTTCCACGAACTCGGTCACGGTATCCACGATCTTGTGTCCCGGACTATCTACTCCCGCTTCCACGGCACCAACACAGTGCGCGACTTTGTCGAGGCACCCAGCCAGATGCTGGAAAACTGGTGCTGGACACCCTCCCAGCTGCGCTCTCTGAGCCGACACTACTCAACGCTCTCCCCGGAGTACCTTGCAAGCTGGCAGGAGGCCCAGCAAGGCGAGAAAGCAACCAGCCAGCCATCAGAGCGCATCCCCGACGATGTGATTGAGAACCTGATCCGTACCAAGCACGTCAACGACTCCCTGTTCAACCTGCGCCAGCTGCACTTCGGCATCTTCGACATGACCGTGCACGAGCCCAAGACCCACGCCGACATTGAGGCTCTTCCTCTGTCTGCGACATACAACCGTCTCCGCCAGGAGATTACCCAGATGGACGGACCGGAGGCATTGGGCGCTGGCAGCGAGTGGGGTCACGGCGAGGCAACTTTCGGACATCTGATCGGAGGTTACGACGCTGGATACTACGGATACCTGAGGTAAGTTCATAAGTTGATTCAATGTGGGCCGGTCTCATATTTTCAAATACTCATTCTTCTTTGCAGCTCCCAAGTCTACTCCACCGACATGTTCTACACCGTCTTCAAGGACGACCCCATGAACAAGGCTGCTGGTCGTCGCTACCGCTACCAGGTTCTGGAGAAGGGTGGTAGCCAAGATGAAATGAAGACTCTGACGGAGTTCTTGGGCCGTGAACCCCAGACCGATGCATTCTATAAGGACCTAGGACTGGCATAAAGTGGTGCGCAGCATTTACAGGTGTCGGAGCTTATAACTGGCTTTACAATATATCTTTATTAAACTATATCAGAGCTACACGAATGCATGTTTTCCATTTATGAATTTCGAATAGCTTGTTAATAACTCTTCAACTTGAAATAGCTGTGTTGTAGCTAACAACATCGAAACTCGAAGTTGAAGACCTCGGGAATTTACGCGGTTGATATACTGATAAGCACACCGCCTTTCTGTTCTGCAATTCTCCGCAACAGCTCTCTTTTTCTTGGCTGTCTTATTTCACAACTGTGACATAGAAGACAGTGTTCCGTACAAGAGTCTCTGATTAAACACGTTTCATTGCCTGTGAGTATATACCGGGTCAACTCTAGCAGAAAGACAATTCCCACCCAAATTCGCTCAAAAAACTGACCAAGACCCCAGCTTTCGACTCATATCATCGACAGCAATCAAGTTACCTGTGCGCACCAGCTTCACCTTCTCCGCTCCTGCTATCACAAGAGCACCGGTGAACAATCAACTGCGACACAACGTCACCCAACCCCAAAATGTCCGACCAACGCCTCCCAATCCAAACCCAACACTGCCGCTTCTGCAACCATCTCCTACTAGCAACAACACGCAATATAAGCACACTCCCGCGACGTGGTGGTGAAGGCAAAGATAAAGCATTGATCCTGCCACTCGAACGCAAGAGCTCAACAGACGGGGATGTAGAAGCCGAACTCGAAGAAGAAGCCAAGGCAACAGAAACGTCGCGCAAAGCAAGACACGCCTCTAACCACACGACGCTGCTACTGGCCACTACGATTCCGGATCGACGGGCGACTATTATCCGGCGCGAAGACGGGATCGAAAAGAGGATTCTTTTGAGGTGTGGGCGATGCAAAGTTGTTGTGGGATATTACCTAGATCGGATGCATTGGGCGTCTACTGGGGATCGGGGAGTAGAGAAGCAAGATGAAGATGCGCGGCCACCGGCTGCTTATATTCTTCCTGGGGCTATTGTGGAGACGGAGAAGTTGGGGGGTGATGGGGTTGGCGAGAGGGAATGGAGGGAGTGGGCTGTTTAAAATTTACAATATACGCAGGTACAGAGCAGACACAGATGTAGATGTAGACCTACATTCTAAGGTGATACCCCAGACCAAAATAATACAGTGTATTTGATAAAAACATACAAGACGAAGGTTCCATCGCGCCGAATTTCAATCCCTCAAGCCGCAGCCATTTCCATATCGAACGTTAATCATATCGGGGTATCAGTTGGCGAGGATAGTACGGACCAGATCTGGAGAGAGAGAGAGAGAGTTAGCAGATGTGATTAACCATATAGTCCACTCCAGACTCCCACAGACAAACATACCCGTGTAGTTAATCTCGCCGGAGCTAGTATCAACAGCCTTGAGCAGCTCATCGACTTCTTCATCAGACATCTTCTCGCCAAGATTTGTGAGAACTGCAAGTGCCACCAGTCAGCGATATTCTTCCACGCGCATCCAAATTCCCGAGGCAACACATACTGTAGCGCAGCTGTCCAACACCAATAAACCCAGTCATATCCTTATCAAAGACTTGGAATCCACGACAGTACTCCTCAGGCTCACCGGGCTCACGGAAACCACCAGGACGGTTGAGGACTTTCAGGAAGGAGTCGAAGTCAACTAAACAGGGGGATGGAATTAGCCAGGTATTCTCCTAATTTCATGAATAGATGCAAGCGCATCCATCAACTTAGGAAAAACATCAAAACATACAGTCACCACCGACAGACTTCTCCAAGTCACTGATCTCAGCCAGCGTGGGGTTCTGACCGCAAGCGCGGAGCAAGTCACCGAGGAGGTCACCAGCGACACGACCGGTACCACGACGATCGAAGAGCGAGAACGCTTCCTTGTAGTTTGTAGAGGCCTGATCGTGTATATTAGCCATGATGAAAGTGAGTTGACAATGTACTGATGACACAGTTGTAGAGGTGAGATCGGGGGCGAGATTCCGTGGTTACATAGGCGGGAAGGGGGTACGGTTGGACCGCTTGAATAGGAAGGATATCAACATTGAGGAATTTGAGGACTCACCATTTTGGTTGGATTTTCGAATTGGAGATTGGAGATTGGAAACAAGAATGCAGATTAGGAGGTGGAAGTCGGGGGGGAACTTGATGTGGGATCGGCGATGGTTGTTAGGGCAACGCCACGGTATTTATATACTTCTATAGTGCCATATCTCAGAGTGTCGGACAAAAAATCATACAAACATAATCATTGGTATATATAAACACATCATACATGCTACGACTGCAGCTTGACGATGCAGCTGTCCAGCAGCTGCGCCGCTTCTCCCAACAACTCCCATCGCGGTTTGGCAAAGGAGTCTCGGAGAATCATTAACAGACCGAGACATCCATTGCGCCCGCGCATAGTCTCCAATTCGTGGGGTTCCTGGATTTCACCCACGCGATGTAAGAACCCCTGCATGTCGCGCTCTCGGTCGGCTACCGTGAGGAGAATAGGGGGTGGACGCAAGGGCCCATCCAGCGCAAACCCATAGGTCCATACCACCAGCGCTGCGAAGTACATCACCCATGGCCGGTTTAACAGGTAATCATCGCGTGCAGCATACTCCCCAGGATTTGTATTCGGGTCTAAGAAACAGGTGCATAGGAACTTGAGCGCGTAGAATGTGGCATCCCGCGCCGAAGCCTTGGTCGCCCATTTCTCGGTCTTTTCTCGTGCAGCGCTGTAGTCACGCGCTGTGATGGACCGACCCATTAACCGACCAGCGCCTGCAAAGATCTGTAGATCGGCTATATCAACATGGGAGCCCATATGGGCCAGCCCATGCAGCACATTGCGCGTCTCGGATGTGGTCGAGGGACCCAGGGCTTCGTCAAAGTCGCGGCGCCAGTTATCAAATGCCCGGAGAAGTGCTGTCCGCCACTTATCTCGTCCACCGAGAGTCTGACCCACACCGAGCGAGCTAATCTGCAGGTCTCGCTGGTTGAGGTGCCAGCAGACGCTCAGCAAGCCCGACATGATAATAATTCGCCCAAATGCGTTTGTCCGGACGGGCTGGCCATTGAGTGTGCGCTTCAGGGCATCGAGGAACATAATTGGCCGCACACCGTGCGACTGCAGACTGGATTGCACGCGAGCGACCTCGGCAGCGCTGGTTGCAGCCCACAGCGCCTCGTCACAGGGCAATGGCAGCCGCAGTTCGTGGGCCACCATTTTGGCCGAATGGCCGAACATAGTAGCATGCGTTGAGTCCAACACAAAAGCGGCGAATGCCACGCGCCGAGTGGCTTCGGTCTTAATCCAGGTTGCCCATGACTCGTCTTCTTCCTTGGCTTCCGGGGTGGCGAATGAAGAATTAGCAATGAGCGAGCTACCTCGGCGCATAAGCGTGAGTGTTGTGTCGTGATGGATGTGTGCGCGTTCATGCAATGCGCGTGTAGAAAAGAGCTTCTCATACACTTCAAGTAATAACAGAGATTGGAACACCCAGAGCCTAGCTGGCGGCCGAAAGTCCGCATCCATGAAGATTTCCCAACGCAGATGCCAGGCAATGAAGCTGGCCAATTCAGCCGCTGCTTCGGTAGCAGAGTGGCCATGGATCTTATCCAATGTTGCGGCGCCAATCGCCATGATCGCTAGTAATAATAGATTCGGAGTACGATCAGCGCTGAACGTCGGCTGATGTAAAATTGGAAGCTGTGCATGGAAATGGTACCAATAGGATCCAATGTATGTCTGCACCATGCGCAAGCTCAAGACATGGCGATCATTATTTAAATCCCCGTCCATCAGCGCGTCTTTGCGTTTAGCTCCCATCGCATACGCCGATTCATTGAATCGAGTGGACATCAAGTGCAACAGCTCTTGGCGCTTTCCTTCAGATATAATAGCCGGCGGCGCTCCCGAGTCCAGAATACTCGTCACGCTCATCGGATGCTGTGGAATGACCGAGCAAAAGTTGCTGTTGCTATATGCAGGCTCGTTCCCGTAGAACTGATTCTGAACAAGTGGTACCATTCCATAGCCCAACGGTGTGAGTGGCTCGCTGAATAGCCACGCTGCAAAATCGTCTGCCATGGCGAATGGTGATCGGTTATAGGTTTCCCCGCCAAAGATCGGGTAGGACATGGAGTCGAGGTCGATGAGATTGTCAGGTTGGTCCAGCACTGCCGGGAAATCCGAGTATTGATCCACTGATATCCCATTGCTATTCACTCCGGTGGTGAGGGGGTATGTTGTCACGGGAGGTTTGGGCTCCTCGGAGCCAACAAAGTATTCCGGCGCGGTGATAGCAGGGGAGGAAGGCGGGGAAGTTTTCGTGTCATTTTCGGTGAAGTGATCTCGTTTCTGGAGCTGGGAACCGCTGGTGGTGTGACGTTCACGATGGCGAGTACAGAGGTCCTGTCGCACGAAGGATCGGAAACAGTTGGGAAAGTCGCAGCGATAGATTTGCTTCGGGGCATGATTGAGCGCATGGCGACTCAGGTGTTCGGCGCGCGAATAGCTCTTACCGCAACCTTCGAAGGTGCATTCAAACTTGCGATCGGAGAGAACTTTGCGACTGCGTCGCCGTCTCTTCGAGGGTTGACCGTCGATCTCCATTTTTCATGCCATGGCACGATGATCACCGGGATCGGAAGAATAGGTTGACTTTAAACGAAGGGGGTCACAAAGGAGAGATGAGTCAAAGAAAGTGCAGAGACTCAGAGTTGTCCGGGGGAAGAAGTGCGGAGATCTCAGTGGGGTGGAGATGACCTGAGGCTGTCCGGGTATATCGCGTATACTAACAGGACTATACCTGTACGCGCTCTATATAGTATATACGATTTTTTGTTTGCACATGCTATCCTACATACCTAAACAATAACATATATCAATGAATTATTGATGCTCAATAGATTCATTACTCGTAATCAAATGACCATATACAGAAAGTGCGCCAAAAGACGCATCTAAATGCAGAAATGAGTCGTGACTATTGAATACCTAGATACAGGTCGAGCTACAATACCTGAAGGGCAGCAATGTCAAAGCCAGAAAGGTTCTGGTCAGTGCCGGCGTACCAGCAGGTCATTAATCATCACACCGAGTTCATGCCATCCCATCATGTATCGTACCACATGGTCAATTCAGAATTGACGCCTGGTTGTGTGCAATGCTTCCGTGGGTGTCTGGTATTTTTTTTAGTGCTGTTCAGCACTGAACAAATTTCTAGTGATATCCTCATCCGCTGAATCGGAATCGGGTCGCCTCCAGGCGGCCAAGGCCATCACGTGGGGCTACATTGCGGCGGCGATACGAGTTGGTAAAATCTAAGTGGGTGAGTTGAGGCAATAAAGAATAAGGAGAAGAGGCACGAACCTTGGAGGAGAACACGGATTTTGCGGGTGTCTCCTGACTGTACTTTGTCAGAGACATTCTTTAGCAATCGCTCGGCTTCGCCGTGCTTCATGGTGCCAGCCGGCAGCATCTGCAGTGTGTTCTGCAACCATGCCCCGGTTTCCTGGGGAAGCAGTTCGAACATCGTCATCAATACTCCCGACGCATCTGCGAAGCAGTCGGCTGGGAAGGTAAACATCATGCCCGTCAACACACGCTGAGCCAAAGGCTGGCCTTGCGAGATGATCAACGCCTTAACGGCCTCACGAACCTCAGGCGGGGTGACATAAGGCTGGCCTTCCGGGCTGGTAAACTGGGAGACCATAGGCTTATCAAATGCAAAGCTGAACAGATCCCGGTAATAATGAAGCGTAGCGATGAGAGGGTCGAGTTGTTGAAGAGTGAGAGCACTAAGTGCAGCGGAAAAGATGGGGACGGCAAGGGATGAGGTGATATACTTCTTGGGATAGTATCGAACGGCGTTCGAGGAGAGACGGAAAAAGTCTTCAATCACATCTGGCAGATTTTGTGGGGGGAGGTCATTCAAGATCCGCAGGAAAGCAATGGCCTGCTGCTCATAGAACTGGAAAACGGCATCGCTGGTGGCCTGGTCGACGTACTCGGCACCATCGGAGAATTCACGCACCACCGCATCCGTAGCCCAAAGGAAGCAGCCCTCGCGCGAGGCCTGGAATCCATTCGCGATACTCTGGGCCAGAGTCGGCAAAAGAGGGATCATTCCAGTGCGATAAGAGATGATCATGTATCGCCAGCATCGGCACACTCGCTCGAGAATAGGCGTAGAAGACGTAAAGTTCATGACAATCGTGGCCATGATGGGTAGAACCTCGCTGCAGTATTTGACGGCAGGGTTTTCTTCTCCCGGTGCAAGAATCGGAGTCACCACTTGCACAAAGATAGTGATCAGTTGTAGATGGTCGGCCACGGCTCGCTGGCCTTCTTCAGTCTGCGCATTATTCGCAAGGTTCATAATGCGAGCCATGATTGGGTCGCAGAACATTTTGTATGAATCATAAATCTTATCATGGGGCTGCACAGAAACCACTGCGGCAACACCTTCAGTGACTTCTTCCTGACTGGTGGGCTTGAGTTTGTCAAGGACCGACTCGAAAAAGGCATGGAGCTGCGTGATATGTCCACCAAGCAGCTTCTGGCAGTCAGTTCCCAAAAATTTGAAGGCAAGAGCAGAGGCCTGCACAACTTCTTGAGAGGCATGGTGGAAACCGGAAATCACATAGTTAAGTTGGGCCTCCAATGTTTCGGGGTGATTAGCTGTCCATTCAGTGTAGCGTGCTAGCGCCATGATAGCCTGGAACCGCACTTTCTCCTGGTCCGGAATCTGAACGATCAGAGGAATCAATTGTCCAAGAATGGTGCTTTCTTCGGGGTCGACCATGCGGCCCATTGCGCGGAGACCGAAAAGAGGGGCCTCCAATTCCTGCCAATGAGGAACATGTTCGTTGCTTGCCTGGGCTGCATACTTGGCAACCCATTGCTGGATCAGTTGGTAAATTTTGGCAAGACAATCATTCACGCCCACAACGGCACAGCAGTCCTTGAGGACATCGCCCATTGCATGGCGGAATTGACGGAATTTTTCCTCTTGCTCGCGGTCTCCAGAAAACAAATCTTCGGTCTCACCGTCTTCGGGACTAGGAAACTCGAGGTGCTTCACCATGATGTCGACCAATTGGGCAAAGATAGGCTGGAAGGCAACTCGGGCGTCGGTGTAACGGTCCAGAGTAATATATTGTTTCAGTTCGTACCAGAAAATGAAAGTCAGAGACACTGCGTCGCGCTCCCAATCCCGCGCGCAACATTCGAGAAGCGCCTCAACGAGGCCCTGGAACTCACCCGGTAGACGTGCAATGAGGACAACCCAGGCTTCACCGGCTTCCGCGAAGATTCGTGTGACCCCCTTGAAAGCCTCCAGGTCTTCAGCCTCAGCTGTTTCGGCAATTTTTGGGCGCAGTGCCATCAATCGGGGATAAAGGGCTTGAATGACAGGAAACGACTCGTCCACATCCTTTGTATCGCGGTAAAGAGTGCAAACACAGTCAACGCCAGCCTCAAAAGATACATCGTTGTCCAACGCTTTGAAGATGACGTCCATGAGAGGTGACTCAACAACCTTGGCGGCGGGTATTTCACGTAACCACGAAGTAATGCAGTCAAGGAGACGGGGGTTGATTGCGGCGGCAGCTGGTTTTGGTCAGTTGTAAGTCTTGCATATGTAATTTGTGAAGAAAATGGAACGGGGTCGTTGGAAACGTACGCGACGACTGAGCGTATTGGATCATCAACTGCATGACCTGCTCCGCGTTGTCTTCTAGCAGCTCTTTGGTTCTTTCAAACAATTCGTCTTCCTTTGGTAGATGTTAGCTTGGACCTTTGTGGACGCCAATACAGACACATACACTAAGATTGATTTTGCGACCCTCAGTGACTTCCTCGGGTAAGATCTTGAGGAACTCCAGCACACAATCCCCTGCACTGCTTCCTAGCGCTGCTCCGACAGTCGCCAGCACATCCTTCCATGTGACCATCTGAATTGCCAGACTAGCCAGGCACACACATAGCTGGGTCTGAATCGGGCGCGGGCCTGGCGCAAATGCAGCTAATAGGTTGAGAACCGAGTCTCGCAGAGCCAATACTGAGTCCGGGGGAGTTGATCGAGATCGAAGATAATCTGCGCAATTAGAAACGGCGAAGATCTCTGGGCTAGAATACCCTTACTTTTCCTTTCAGTGTGGTCGCGGCGAATAGTTTGGCTTCAACTGGCACATCGGGGGACTGTAATAGAGCATGGGTTGTGGTCCAGGCCTCAATCTATAGACAGAATATCAGCGAACAATCCCAATAAATTCCAAGCTAAAGCATCGTACCGATTTCTGGAACTTCTCAAGGAATTCATGGGCCTGAGTCTTCTCAGTCCGAGACACATTTCCTTGCATTGTCGCGACGGCCGCCAGGACCGGGGCGAATGCCTGCCCGGCTTCCTTGCTGGCCATGTTGAACTAGATAGATTAATCAAGGCTCAGCAATGTATCAAAAATTTATCAGCATCTGACGAGGCGAATGTATTCGAAGAGGGGGAGTTGATGGTGGGATGGGGTGGCCGTGACAAGATAACCGTATTACGGTAATCAAATCACGGGACGACTGCCAGGCCCGCCAGAGCTTTCTTCGCCTCGTCTCCCGTGTGACAGCTATCACTTTTGACATAACCGCACATCATGGCAGGCCGCAAGACATTGTTGGCTCCGATTCACTTCATTTTCAGTCTCCTGCAGAAGCGCAGCACTGTTTCAGTCTGGCTGTATGAACAGCTCGCCTTCCGGATAGAGGGGAAGATCCGTGTATGTGTTTCTTTACGGGGTGCCGTTTTGGTTGTCATCTAAGCTCACCTATGCTAACCTATGCTAGGGTTTCGATGAATTCATGAACCTGGTCATTGACGATGCCGTCGAAGTGCGTCTGGCAACCAAAACAGAGGAAGAGAAGCGCCGGCCGCTTGGTACGAACATGATGAAACTGGGAGTCCATGAAAACACAACTAATGCGCAACAGGCCAGATCCTCCTCAAGGGAGACAATGTTTCTCTGATCCAAGCCGTTTGAATTTTCGCTATTCCTTTTCTATTTTCAATTTGCGCTACACCCTGCGGTCCAAGTATTGACCATCACCAACCACGATCGCATCTATCAACCAATCGTGCTCCACCACAGGAATATCCTCGGAGAGCAATTGGTCTTGAAGAGAAAGGGCAACTATCATGGAGTTTAGTCGGGGATAAACGGGTCGTTTCTTTTCTGGGACTCTTACCAAGGAATGGCATTTTGCGGGTCAATGTTGAGTATCGCGTTAGAAAATGATCATAATACCCTTTGCCATGACCAAGTCGTCGGAACCCGTGGTCAAAGGCCACCCCGGGCATGACAATAAGATCCAAGCCCTGTGTCAATCCGTTCAGTCGACCTTCGATTTGCGTAGCTCGGAGAGATGGGATTCCCCATTTGTCCGGCTGTAATGACTCAAACTCGGACATTGATCCGAGGGCGAACATGTCCATGATAGATGTTTTATCTTGGGTGTGAATGTACGGGATGTAGACATTCTTTCCACGTTGTAGGGCATCCTTTACAATCCCGGTTGTTGAGAGTTCCCCGCTTGGCATAGACAGGTACACGGCAATGCTTTTGGCATTTTGGTACTCGGGCAGTGACAAAAACCTGGCCGTTGCCGTGCTGGCTGGGACGGGTTAGTACATATAATTTCGAAGCTCAGCCGCGATTCAATCTGACATTGTTGACTTATTGAGGTTGCAGGCAGACTCTGCAGAGTTGAGCTCATCCTCTTGCGAAGTTCACGCTTTGCAGCCTGGAGAGCCATCCTGCTAGGACCTGCTAGGGTACGGAGTAGTTGTAGATGAGTTTAAAGCCCACGGGTAAGTATAAGCAGGGTAACTCACAGGGGAGTTGCTGGTGGGAAAGTGTCTTGCGGTTTATGCTTTTTACCGCCTTGGTATATATTTTCGTAGTCATATTAGAATATTGATCTCAATCTAGTTTTTATTTTTTATTTTTTCCTTTTTTCTCTTTTTAGCTTGTAATTTTAAAATCCATTATTTCTCTGACGACTGACGGTAGACAGCATATAAATAAGAAAGATATACAAGATATGTGAGATAATGGAGATAGATAGTACATACAAAAAAAAAAAAAAGAATGAAAGGTCCTGCCCGGATTCGGACCGGGGTTTCTGGTAATTTTCTAATCGAATTAGTTCAAAAACCAGAGTGATAACCACTACACTACAAGACCAGTGCATGTCTTACTAGCAACTTATTATAAATATACCATAAACTATCATTTTCCCTCATTCCAAAGCCTTGATGAATGTCTCCACCCTAATAAAGGGCGCCCTTCAAATACTCCCTTTCTGTACATTTTCCCTTTGTCAACTAAAATGTTTTTCATTTATCTTTTAGTCACAGCCGCTTTGGCAAATGCGAATGACTTGTTTGGAACATGGACTACCAAATCCCGTGATGTTCTTACTGGTCCAGTATGTGGAGCTATTACATACAGTGTTGTATACAACTAGGGACTTGGGACTAATGTGCACAGGGATTCTATGATCCGCTCAACGACAAGCTGCTCGAGCCCAATCTAACGGGAATTTCATATTCATTTGACGACGACGGAAATTATGAGTCCGCATACTATCGGGCAATCTCAAATCGTCAGTACCCTATGGATATAAACTTCAACGTTGTGTTAATATCGAACAGCCACCGACCCATCATGCCCGGGAGGAATAATGCAATGGCAACACGGCGCTTATACTCTGTTCGGAAATGGAACTTTGATATTGACACCAATTGCTGTCGATGGTCGTCAGCTACTATCCGATCCCTGTCGGAAGCAGTCGGGTCACTACACACGATATAACACCACAGAGGAGTTCAAGGTACACCTCTTTCGATTTCTCTCCCCATTGGCTTGCTCTGACAGTACACAGGAATTCTCCGTGGATATTGACAAGTTTAATCGCATGAAACGTCTCGATTTGACCAGGGCTGATGGCTCAGTCGTCAACCCCATGTTCCTCGCCTATCAGCCACCAAAGATGCTCCCCACCACAACATTGAACCCAATCCCAACAGGGAATAAGCGAAAGCGTGAATTATCGCCAACCGCAGGATTCCAACTGACCGCCAGAGAACAGCTGATCAATCCGGACCGATGGTGGTGGTTGGGTGTTCTGATGGCATCTCTTGGAGGAGTAGCTTTCTTCTGCTCATAAACCGTTAAGGCTGGCGTTGGTGAGGAGTGTGGGAGCCGGTTTTTTCTTCTTCTGTGAATTATAAATGAGATTTGAATGCCACTGACTGGGGCTATTGTGACACTAATATACAATCTTGTAAAACGTAAACTCAAGCGAGAGCGTTCTTCACCTCGGTAGCAACTTCTTTCCGGTCGACTGGCTTGCCGTCCAGCGGGCCTCCTGCAGCAAAGAGAGCTTTGAGAACCATCCCTTGGTTGGGCTTTGTATTGGCATTGATCATAGCAGCGATCTCGTTGATAACCACTTCCCTGATCTCAGCGATGGGGAGGGTCTTGACCTGACTAGCATATTCCTCCAATACCATAACCTGTGCATCCTCCTTCTCCTTCAGATCTGGGCGTTCAGCGGCCTCAAACTCCTTTGCCGCATCCTTAGAAGCATTCAGGCGTTTCCGGATCAGCGACAAGAGTTGAATATCTGTCTGAATTGGCGAGGCGGTTTTGGCGGCGTTGTTGGTCTCGGAGATCAGAGCGCGAAGTACATTCAGTCTAATAATAAGCTTGCCGGACCTTGGAAATACAAGTGGAAAGGATTTCTACCTTGTGGTGTCTTTGGCTCTCATGGCAGTTTTCAGATCAGTCCGCAAAGTAGCCATCAAGGGTGGCAGGACCGGACCAGTGGAATTCCACCGCACCAGACGGGCTGGTAGGCGCGAAGAAAAACGGATTGGCTGGAACATTTTGATTCACAATTGAGACAATAAGAAACAAATTCAATTGAGGGATCAATGGGAATGGGAGACAATCAACAATAACTTGAAGGCGGAAGATCTCAATTGGTCTGTGCGCTCCCAGGTGTTGACTCTCGCTTTTCGCAAAGACCTTGAATAATCCAATCTCCTCCCAAGACCTTCTCTCATCGTCATTCCTCCACATATCTTTTACTTTCATTTTCTCATCTGACATACACTGCAGCTTCCTTGTGATTTCTAGCGGGGGATCGTCCCTTTCTCCCTTTAAACTGCCGCCATGTCGTATCCGACTCTTCCAACAAATCTTCCTCCGGCGACGCCGCAGAAACCCCTTCCTGGGGCTTACTTCCAGACCCCGGCGCCAGCTACAGCGCGGCCTCTCCCTGCCAAGTCGCCATTGCAGACGGAACCCCAGACGCCCATGCCAAAGCTTCCTCCAGCAGCCTCGAAAACCAAAAATCAAACAGTGAGCACCGAGGAACGCGGGGCGCGAACGATCAATAGCAGCTTGCAAAGCGAGTCGCGTTACCCAGACCTTGATAGCTATCTATCTCGTAGGCAACCCCAGCTACCATTGTCCGAACAAGACTGACTGAAAACAGAGGGTTCCTCGTCTGAGTACAACATCCCCGTATCTCAATCATGGGCACCATTCCAAAAAGTCAAGATGTACGACATCCCCGACCAGATCTTCGATCAATATAACCGCGCACAAGTTTCGACCAGCATGGGTCTGTTTGCTGAATTGAATCACGCGTGGGTCGCGATTGACAATGCGTTGTATATTTGGGATTTCACACACCCCAACCCGCAATTGGTGGGATTCGAGGAACAGCCTAACAGCATAAACGCCGTCAAGCTGACCAAACCGCGCCCGGGAGTCTTTTTGCCTGCGATCACCCATTTGCTGGTCATTGCGACGACAGCGGAGATCATTCTACTGGGGATGGGCTATGAGAACACGCCTAGCGGAGGTCGACAAGTTTCTTTGTATCACACAGGGATGTCGGTGGCAGTCCGTGGCTTGGATATCAATGTTTTCGCAGCGTCAGCATCCACTGGACGCATTTTCTTTGGAGGGTCGTCCGACACCGATGTGCATGAGGTCACTTACCAACAGGAGGAAAGGTGGTTCCAGGGACGCTGCGGTAGAGTCAACCATACCAGCTCGCGTTTATCGGCTTTTAAGCCTTCGATGAGCTTGACAAATCTTGCACAAGGCGCCGCCGAACATGTAGTGCAAATGGCAATTGACGACAGCCGGAACCTACTCTACACACTCTCCTCTGCTTCTACAATTCGCGTATTTCACATGGGACCTGAGGGCACTCTGACCCTTGCAATCACCAAGCGCGCTCTGGATATCTACTCTAACATCGGGCACATCATCACTTCAAATGAAACCCTCAACCCCAGAGTTAAGATTGTGTCGATCAGCCCGGTGCCAGCCACAGAAGCGTCGCGATATCATCTAGTAGCAACAACGGTGACAGGATATCGCATCTACCTCAGCGCCACTGGTTCAAATAGCTGGGCGCCTGCGTCATCCAACACCAGTCCTCCCACAAGCATGCAAGCACTGCATGTCAAAACACCACCCGTCGATATATCCCCCGGAGTGAGCGGCGTGGCATCTCCCAACTCACTCGTTTCACCTCTTGGCACGATTTCACCTTCTGCTGGTCAGATTACCACCCTTTCCCCCACTCGTCTTGCCGAGCGATATTCTCCAGGCTATTTCTTTTGTTTTACTACAAAGGATCCACAGCAAAAGATTGATACCCTTTTCATCTCTACCCCCGACTCCGGTCGGATCGCTCAATATCAAGAAAGTCCAGTCAATGGTAAAGCCGCTGAGTCGGCTATCATCCTTGACCTGGGAGGCAAGGCAGAGGATATCGGCTTGGTTTCGGCGCCCTCGCCGGTTACCAACGAGCTGGCTGTTCAGTTCGACCATCCGGCTGCTGAGATCGCGATCTTGACTAATGGGGGAGTTCATATCATCCGCCGGCGTCGTCTCGTGGATATTTTTGCAGCTTTACTCCGTAACAGCGGCAGCCCCCACGAGGGAATGACTGGAGAAATCCAGACTTTCCTTAGAACATATGGAAGGAGCGAAATGCTGGCGACTGCCCTGGCGGTGGCTTGTGGCCAGGGTATGGAGATTTCCCCCGACCAAAGACTGACCCGAATTACCGATCCAGACATTCTGGCGGCAGCCCGCCAGGCCTTTATCACTCAAGGTGGTCGAGCCCATTTGAATGAAAATGCTATCGCGGATGGTTCAACGTCTGTTCTTGACGCAGTGCAGCCCTCTCCTCGGCACACGGGTATTGCACTATACATCGCCCGTCTGTTGCGGTCTATCTGGAAGGAGAAGATTGCGAAAGTGGGCAATGGACCTAATGGCGCACAATCAGTTTCCGCGTCCGTGAGTTCCAGCAAACTACAGACTGTCCAGCATGACCTCTCTTCGCTGGCAGAGTTTTTCAAGGTGAACAAGACCTTTATCGATGGGCTCAACGGCCCCGACGCTCTTGCCCGGGTCAACAGCAAGCAAGAAGAAGTGGCGCTGCAAGCCGAGCACCGCGCACTACACTCACTGGTTCAGTTGGTATCACATACCATCGAAGGTATCTCATTTATACTAGTTCTATTCGATGAGCGCGTTGATGAGATTGTGGCCACTTTGCCAGCTGAGTCGAAAGCGAAATTCCTCAGCCTCACCTTTGAGGAACTCTTCAGCTCTAGCAAGGGACATGACATTGCCAAGGAACTCGTGAAGGGCATTGTTAATCGCAACATCGCCAAGGGCTCCAATGTCGAGACCGTGGCTGATGCACTTCGACGACGATGTGGCAGCTTCTGCAGTACAGAGGATGTGGTCATTTTCAAGGCACAAGAAATGTTGAAGCGTGCGACTGAGGCCGGTGCTAATACAGAATTGGGCCGCAACTTGCTCAACGAGAGTCTGCATCTTTTCCAACAGGTGGCAGAATGTCTACCTATGGATTATCTGGTTTCGGCAGTAGACAATTTCATTGCCAACCAGTTCTTTGCAGGTTCGTTGCGTGATCCTTGGTAGTGTTTGCTATCTCATACTAATTCGCAATTTTCTTCTTCTTTCTTTTAGGTGCTATTCAGCTTGCCCTCAATGTTGCTGCCCGGTCCGACAAGTCAAATCTTGCGTATTCCTGGATCATGGATCAGCGTCCCGAACAGGTGCTTATCCCCCTTATTCCCTATGGATCCCAGCGCCAGCTGACGCTCACACCTACCCAGGACCCCCGCAAGGAGTACTTCTATTTCCGCAAGCAGTGCTACGACCTCATCTTCAAAGTCGTGCTTGCAGTTGACAGATTGGCTGCATCTGATCCCGGTCTCGTTGATGGCCAGCTGACCACTATCGCCAAACGCCAGAACGAGGCCTATGGCGTCATTTCCGATTCCACCGATGAGGTGTTCCTGACAAGTTTGTACGATTGGTACCTTGAGCAGGGCTGGAACGACCGCTTGCTGCAGACTCAATCGCCATTTGTGGTTACCTACCTCCAGCGCAAATCAAACGATGATCTGGGCCATGCTGATCTGCTTTGGCGGTTCTATGCCCAGTCCCAACGATTCTTCGAGACTGCACAGGTTCAATTTCATCTGGCCAATAGTGCTTTCGTGTTGCCACTCAGCCGTCGTATTGAGTACCTTGGTCAAGCCCGTGCCAATGCTTCGATTTTCACACCGGACGTCGGGCGTCAGTCACGGCAGCGACTACTGCAAGAGATTTCGAACCTCATTGATGTGGCCAATATTCAGGATGACCTACTTCAAAGACTCAAGGATGACGAGCGAATTCTTCCGGAGCGGAAACCCGAAATTTTGCGCGAAGTCGATGGACCAGTGATGGACATTAGTACAGTAAGTCTCCGTCGCCCTCCTTGAGAGGGGAAAACCTTTTTCCTGTGGATCTGATCTAAAAAAATTACGATACTAACATATATGTCTAGTTATTCAATAAATACGCCGACTCCGCCAGCTACCATGATATTTGTCTCCAAATTTTCTACCAAGCCGACCATCGCAATGCGGCCGATGTGAAGTCAACTTGGCAACATCTGATCCAGGGGGTCCATGACGCCACCGTTCAACATGGCTCACCGCAACCTTACGAAGCGGTGATCGACAAGGTCCGCAGCCTCGGCAGTCGCCTACGGATGTCTGAAACCATTTTCCCCATTCGTGAGCTCGTCCCTATGCTGGAGCGGTATGCATTAGAGTTCCAGCGCAATGTCGGCCCGGCAACCTGGGTGGTGGATCTATTTATCGATCTTGGTGTGGCGCACGAATCCCTGTACGCGGTGCTGGAGACGATGTACTACACCGACGAGGCGCCCTTCCACGGGTCAAACCGCCGGTTTATCGCACATGATCTACTGTACCTGCTGAGTGGCTGGTTCCATGAGACCGTGCGCCTGGGTGGTATGGTTTTCGGCTCGGATGTCGTTGCCGAGCGGGTTTCTGAGATGCTGCTGATCCTGCAACAGAGCGGTGTCATTAGTGGGGAGCAGTTGGAGGTTGCTCATGACTTGCGGTCACGGATCGATGACATTCTACGGTAAAGATGAAGATTTTGACATTTTTGAGGATGGGTCTGGGTTTTGTACTCTTAAGGCGTGAGGGTAATGAAAACGAACAATGTTCTACACTTTTTTTTTCCTACAAATTTCCAAGCATTGCAATGAATCTTTATTAAATAAAACTCCAAATTCAAGATCTATAGTCAACCCCGAAACACCGCCCATTCTATCACATTATGCAGTTTATTCGAACTCATCAACTTCATCATACACTGGAATGGGCTTTTCCCCCAGTGCAATCAACCGGAAGATATGACGAGCCTTGGCACCGTAATCATCATCCAAGTAATCCACAATAGCCGAGTCTGAGATGATTAGCATCGAATTTCAAAAAGAGAAAAAAAAAAAACACTCACGAATAGTTGACCGATTATCAAACATCACAATTGTCCTCGGTTGCCAACGTACCCGAACCTGGAAATCGTGACCGGTCACCAGATGATTCATCAGGAAATCCAACACCCATTTGGTCTCGGAATCCTTCAGACCATGAATTCTGGTGATAAATTCCCCATTTAAGAACATACACTTCTCACCGGTAACGGGATGGACGCGGATAAGCGGATGAACCGTATCAACGGGATCTTTCCTGACCAAGCCACCCGTCAAGCGAGCATGACCAATCATCTTCGCCGAAGAATGCGTCACCTTCAATCCATCCAAGAAAGTCGTGACCGCAGGTGAAAGACGTTTATAGGCGAGATCTGTAGCCGCGAAGACGGTATCCCCACCGACTTCCGGACCCTGCAAGAGTCCGAGCATGACATAACCAGGGGGCTGGATTTCATAGCTAACATCCTGATGCCAGAGGGTCGTGGTCGTGCGTTGCTGCAAAAAACGAGTGATTTCATCTCGGTTTCCGTCGCGATGAATGATATGGAACGCCGGGTGATCTGTCATCGAACCGGAGACGGGCTGGTAGTTTGGTTTACCAAAGTGGCGCATGAAGGATTCCTGGGCATCAGGGCCGGCATCGATAAGGTCCTGATCTGGAAAAGCGACCACTTTGCGCTCTGTGATGAGAAGGGCGAGTTCATCTCTTCCGGCGGCGGATAGAGAGGAGAGTTGGACATTTTCCACGATCGTTCCTAGACTTGGCTGGATATGGGACACCTTGGCGGATGGAGGCAAGAGATTGGGTTTTGATTTGTTGCGGACGCGCAAGGCTGGATCTTCATATTTGAACGGTTGAAGGGGATCGAACCAGATGGGGTCCCAGGAAGGCAGGTATTGGGGGTATTTGGTTGAGATCTTAGATTGTTTGTCTACATCGACGTAAGGGATGTTGATATCATAACTGATGGGTTCTTCTTTTTGATGTTTAGGCCGAACGGGGGCTGAGGAAGGCATTGTATAGATGTCTAGTGTGGAGTCTCTGAAAGGAAAGATGAACAAGGGGGGGGGAATGGGAATGTCTTTATATCTGTTCTACTCTTCCAGGTAAAACACTAGTCGATTCCCTTCATCTCCGAGTGGTAGCTGAACAGCGGTCAGAAAAGAGAAAATCGGAAATCCAGCAAATCCAGCAAATTCAGTAAATTCAGTAAAATGAGGAAATTCAGTCCAGTCAATCCATGTCAATCCATGTCAAATCCACTTATCCACTGCAAATCCCCCTATAGTCCCACTAACCGTTCGCCCACTTTTTTTTTTTTCTTCTCCCTTTTCTATATCTATTTTACACCGCTATGGAATGTGAATACTTCGAAGATAAGGCATGATGCAGGCCGAATAGCAATTGCATTATCTACCATGATCTATGCATACGGAGATTATGATTCGGCATAGGGTTTCCGTTCCTCGGCGCAAGTAGAACGAGTTAGGAAGTTCTAAGGAGAAAGGGGAAATTAAAGAAACGGAGCAAACGGAAAAGAATCAGGAAAAGAATAAAAAAAAAATTAAAAAAAGAATACTTGTCCTGAGCTAATTAGGGCATACCGATCTTGCGGTCTACTTTCCGATGTATATACTCTTAGACCTATCGAACCTCGAAGTACCTAGTATGCATGCCTACCTTATCCAATGATGTAATATGCTAGTCAGATTTGGGGTCCTTTGTCTAGAAAAATCGAGAAATCGAGAAGCTCCCCGAAGTCAGGCCATAAGATGAGCGGTGAGATGTCTGCTATATAATCTATATATGACACAGACTATTTGGACTACAAATAAGCACAGGGAGGCCAGAAACGGCCGTTCACTCATGAACGGTCTCGGTGTCACGTGCACCAAAGCCCACGGAGAATGTTTACTGCCACCTTATGCTTTGGGTTAGCCGTGGTGACGGTATAGATCCCAGGGACCGGATCAACCTTATCCGCGATCTCTAGGTAGAAACCGAGGTATAAAGACCTCGGGGGTCTCGACCAGCCTTAGTCGTTTTCTTTACTTTTTGAATAATCTCATCGTATCAAAGTAAAATTTACCTTATAATTAGTTAGGAAGAAATAACCTTCCTACTCTAGTCAACCTAATCGATATTAACCCCTTTTGAAGTCCCTAAGAGGAACCCTCTAAACCTTAAACCCTAACCCCTACTGAACCTAGACTTAGTCTCTATATTCGATCCTAACTTCTAGACTTATCTTCCCTGGTTGTACAGGGGTGATATCTCGTAACCTCTTAGGTTATATCAAGTATGCTTTTTTTTTGTAATAGACAGAGTTATAGAATAGAAATTCAATCATAGTTATAAACTGGTCTCATACCAGGCACCGGTGCACAGGATGAGGAATTGAGGGATTCCTGTTCCATTAGCTGTTACAGGTAGGATATAGAGGTAAATTGATGTAGAAAGTCACTAGCAAGGACGATAGCTAAATGTGAGGTGGTCGCCTTCCCAAATATCCGAGAGATCACTGCTAGTAAGGTCAAGCATACAGATACAGATAACGATATAATGCTACTACCATTCCTCATGGGGGGGATTCTGCCGCCCAACCGTATGGCATTAGTTATGACATTAGCCACAGCCGGATCGACTTGTACTCAACCACACGAATACGAAGGTCCAATTCTCCCAATCTAGCCGAGAAGCTGGCCCAAGTATTCGAGAGAAAGCAGTCCATCAAGTAGTTAGAATCAAAATAGGGCACTCAATATGACTTTAATAGGGCTGACTGATTCTGATTCCGGTGTTGAAGCAGTAGGTTATCTAGAGGTTGACACTGTCAAGGGTAGTCAGCTAGCCTCTAGCTGGCCATGCCATATATTGCTACTCCAGGATTAAAAATCAGTGGCTGTCGCTCCGCCGGTGCATACCTCTCCTGCGGCGTGGTATCCCCTGCGAAGTATCCGCCACCGTAGGCCCAAGATATGAGGTAACATCCAACTCCCCATCGTGCTTAATGAGAGCACTGATATAAGTTTGGGCACCCTTGCCGTATTTCAGCCTACCATCCTGGCTCAGATACTCCAGCATACCAAGGTACTCCTCTGCATACTTCCCACGGCCACGTTCCTCCATCCAATTTATCAAATTCGCTGCCAAGCTGCAGTCGTCAGGGCCATAGCCCCGAACAGGGGTATAGAATTCGACATCCGGCACGGTTTTGCCCGGTGCGATATCGAAAGAGTAAATATAGCTATGGAGAATCTCTGGTAGGTCGCGGAAGTTGTCCTTCGTCGCCGTGTTGTAGTGGCTGTTCGTGATGAATGGAGTTTCTTGATATTCAGGAAAATTCGGATCCAGACCCGAGACGGCACAGATGAGCGCACGCAGCTCTTGGAGATGCGGTTCAGGAACTTGCATCCTGCCACCCAGGCTCATGATGCGGCGCACAGATGCAAAGCTGCTGTGCGATGCAATGAAGTACAGCCGGAGGCAGGATCTTGATGGCTTTACGTTGTCCACAGCTAGCATACTGTATCGTGAAATATGCTTAATAATAGGCTCGAGGCTACTGATACGGTGCGATGACTTACTAGGGAACAAGATATTGCCCTTCTGGGTCGTTGGCGAGGAAATCGAACATGGCTTGACGTGCCTCATTGGTGGGGTCTATCTGCTTAAGTGAATCCTCCCACTGCGTGAGCGTGAGACCTTTAGCGTTGACAGTCCCGCCCACCATACGAGGCAGGAAATAAGTCTTGATATTGAAACCGCTTCCACGCCACGGCCATTCGGGGGCTAAAAAGACGGTACTGGTAAACCTGACGCCATTGGCGGCTTCCTGTGCATACTTGCCACGGTCGTGGTCAAAAAGCGTCGCAAGGAAATGATTTGTGTAGGTCAGATCGACTGTCGGTACGGCCTCTTGGAGTCGATGCAGCAGTTCCAGGGACCCGACCTGATTGAGAGGGTCTAAAGGGCGCCCGGCGTATGGGCCAATAACCTCAATCCGGGAACGGACTTCAGGCCTGCCTGTGGCCGTGTTCCACTCCCAGGAGTACTCGATCGGCGAGCCCTCGTTGCCGAGTAAAGACTTCCATTGCGGCCGACTACCATGTATGGGCGCGGGACCCAGATTGGGAACCTGGCTGGTTAGTTAAACAACAGCATTGATTGCAGGTGGTCAACTTACGATCCACTGGTAATGAAATAGTAGCGCGTTATACTGTGCGTCGCTGGTATAGCCAGCCGCTTGCATCATATGGGATATATGTGGGCCGGTCAGCTTCCACCAGTATTCCATATCCGGGTTGGTGACTGCCAGCCACTTCGAGACTGCATCCCACACGGGGGACGAGGTTGCTTTTTTCACTGCCTGCCCATTCATGTTATTGAGAGGTGATTCGTCTTGAGCCATGCTGGAGCAAACGGCGTGTATAAAATAACTACGGGACTCGGGGATATCTACGGGCATCATTCTGGGGATCGGGAACTCCGTGAGAATCAAGATGGCGGAGACTGACACAATAGGATTGACCAAGGTTTTCTTAAAACATTATTGAACCCAAGTCCCAGATCTATCAGACTCGAAAGCAGCCAGATACCAATTCAGCATCTGACACCATCACTATATTTCTGAATGCCTACTAACCCGCCGCGTAAACCTCAGGTCGGTCGCTTGTAACTGACAGAGGATCTGCTGACTATGGAATCTCCAAACAAACCGCTTTGAGACCTCCTCTTGACTCACTCGACGCAATTTCAGAGTGTCGCAAGCCCACCCTTCCCCTGGTTTGTTATTCAGTTCGCCAGCCACGCAACGAGGCAACAACAAGCATGGAAGAAAATCGAAGATCCAGCTGTTAGGTCTGACTCCAGGCAAGGCTGTTGTGTAAGGGCGATAACAGTTGAATACTGCCAATCCTTCAGCGCTGTTGGACGGGGTGGCTTGCAATGCCCGAGCCTTGACGTCGGGAACCCGGTGAAAGATGACTAGTTGGAAGTTCATTGATAATAGTCTCGACTCGATCAATCCCTCCCCGATTGAAGAGTCTGACCTGGAAATCAACAATGTCAGTTCTTTCTTTTCTGTACTCCCAGCTCTTCGTCACTCCGCCTGTCCCCACTTACGACTTCACCGGCCAAACCATAATCATCACTGGAGCTAATAGAGGCATAGGCCTGGAGGCTGCTCGCCATCTGCTCCGATTAAATGCCAGACGTGTCGTGCTTGCCGTCCGCTCAACGAAAAGAGGAGAGGATGCCGCAGCAGAGCTTAAAAAGTCGACGACTGGCCATCCCGGCATCATCCAGGTAGAAGAACTAGATATGGCATCGCATTCGTCTGTGAAGGCTTTTGCAGCGCGCATGAACAAGCTGGATCGACTAGACGGAGTGCTGCTGAACGCCGGAATGTACACACATGAGTTTTACCTCGCGGACGGCTTTTTGGAAAGCCATCTTGTAGTCAACGTGATCAATACTTTTTTTCTGTCGTTCCTGTTACTGCCTATTCTGAGAGCATCGGCTGAGAGAAGCCACAACGCTCGGGCACGAATCAGTTTCGTCTCGTCGGATCGACATGTCATGTACGGGTTGCCGGAGTGGAAAGAAGAAAACCCATTCGAGGTGCTCAGCGACCCGGAAAGGGCAAGGATGGACGAGCGGTTAGTGAAAACCCCTGTCGTGTTTGCTCGCGTAATCTCAATGCTGATCAAAGATACTAGCTACATGATCACGAAGTTGATGGTGATTCTACTCACTAGGGAGATGGCAGTTCATGTCAAGCCTTCGGACATCATCGTCAACACATTCACTCCAGGCTACTGCGAGTCTGGTCTGATAGATAATATCAAAGGGACCACGCGTGTCGCACTGAATCTGCTCAAGAAGGCCACTGCGCGGACGGCAGAGGTTGGTGGTCGCACACTTGTTGCGGCGATTGTTCCTTGGCCTGAAAGCCACGGACGGTATCTTAATGACTCGAAAATCGACGAGTAAGTGGTCTGTACGGAGTAAAGGCAAGAAGTTTTGGCTAATAAGGACCGCAGCTTAGCTCTGTCATCATTTGTACGAAGCGATGAAGGCGCAAAGGCACAGAAGAAATTGTGGAAGGATTTGATGGACCTTTTGGAGCAGCGTGAGCCTCTGGTTCAGTCGTCGATTTCTCCTGGTCAACAAGGTCCAGATGCTCGCGCTTAGTTTTTTCGAGTCTTAAACATCGATATAGCAAGATACTCTCTCAGTTCAATTGATGATAACACAGATACGTGTCCATTAAATTACCCCGACTTTATATCAGACACGGTTCAGAGCAAGATCAGCATTCAGACTTGCAAGACCACCAATTACTACATCTTTGAGAGGCTTATTAACTTCAATACAATACTATTCGACACCTTTATTGTGTACGGATCATAGAAGTCGAGTTTCCTCTCAGGGCCTCTAAACAACCAAACCGGCCCCACGTCTCCATCATAATGTCCTACTTACTGTCTTCCAGGAGAAGTGGAAATGAACTAGACGGTGTATTCGTTCTCATCACACTAGACGTGATGTTAATCCCTGGGGTTTCGATAATTTAGCCAGGTTGAACTCTCGAGTAAAGGCCCAGTCCTATATCCCTAGTTAGCCTCGCCCAAGTCCACTTAGAGGCTTCTTACCCATATCCATCTTGGTAAAAACGTGTCTCCAAACCAGACCAGACTAGAAGTAGCTCCGGTCCAGAACCAAATCCGCGGATTTCGTTTTGTCACTTCCGCCACAACGGACATCGCATACTCATGGGGCGTTGTAGTTTCTTCCTCCAGTCAGTGCGGTATTCAACAGAGGACTCGATAGAGTGAAACCCACTAGGTGTCCTACTGACATGATTCTCAAATTCCCGTGCGAGAGGCCGATAGAATGAATCATCAGGTAATCGCCGACTCTGGTCGCGCTTTAGGATGTTGGTACTTATTTCACCAGAAATGATATTGACCACCTCGACGCTTAGGAACGTTGGTTAGGTATACGATACATACAAATAAACCCGGCAAACGCCAGGAGATAGGCCTTGTCACTTACCCAAGCGGCTTCAACTCAACCCTCAGTGTATTTCCCCAATGATGCAGCGCTGCCTTCGTCGCATTGTAGCTTGCTGCCCACGCCCAGTCAGTCAATATTTTCCCTATCGGCGCAGGGAGTAGGAGCCTAAGCTTACACCCGTAAACATAGGGCACAATCCCCCCAACACTCCCAATATTGACTATTTTCCCCTGTGCGCGAATAAGCAGCGGGTGGAAAATATGCACCATCCTCATTGGGCCGAAGACATTCACACCAAACATCTTCTCGACCTCTTTCACATCCGTGTCTATTCCGGTCATGGTGTAGCCTATATTTCTTGTCAGTGATTCTCTGGAGAGCCTCTAGAGGCTATTCCAGTCGCAGGGCGCGCTCGTTACTTACAAATCCCACTGCCTCGTCAGTACATACTATATAGCAGATAAAGAAAGGCAGGGATCAGTCTGGTACTTACGCATTGTTTACCAGTATATCCAATCGACCGCCCGTCTTGTCGGAAATGGACTCTCGCAACGACCGAATATCATCGTCGTTCGTCACGTCAGCGCTAAGCGCTGTAATCCCGATACCGGTAAGATGGTCCCGGGGCTCGTGAGCTAACAAGGTTGTGAAAACCAAAAAGCCTTGTAGATTTTATTGTTAGCATTAGATGGTCTCGTGGACTGGTTGGCGAGGGTACCCTGGTTCTGGAACTCGACAGCAAGAGCATGTCCGATTCCACCTTTTCCACAACTGGATAACAAAGCGATGAGCCACCGAAGTCAATATGGAGGAGATCAGGACTGACTCCTTACCCGGTTATAAGGACAGATGGGGTGTGTTTCTGCATTGCTTCTTGTTCTCTTATTCAGAGGGGCTGGAGGTGTCAGGATTGGAATCAGGTCGGAGATCAACGATATTTACAATACACTATGGGCACGCAATCAAGTTTTTTCCCACAGACGGGGAAAAGATAGACCTATGGATTCTGATGCCGATAGCCACTGACCTGAACTGGAGTAGCAGAGGCATTGGATCGGCGACTGGGCAGATACCCGACACGGCACTCACAAACAGGATCGCTGCACATCGACACGTCTATTCCAGATCCTACATATCGGGAACCCGGGAACCCGGGATTGCAATGCCGTCGATTGGGTCGGGAGCGGGATATGTACGACGGAGTATAGCGGCCAAACAGTGAATGAGTAATTTTGGAGATTTTACTTCCTAATTCGGACGAGCTCAGGATTTATATCTACACCGCCCTATACAGTGTATTGTAAAGAGCATAGGATGAATCATGCTATTCTAACCTACGAGGGGGCATAGCGGCCGGTGATAAATGGCCGACAATTTGTCAATCTTCATCCAAATTGGGGGTAGTTGCCTGAATTCTAAACCGCCTTCTCCGCCGCCTAATATCACATACTGTATACCCACCTTCCTACCTAAGTATCTATATTTGTATTTATAGACTGCGAGATCGCCTATGGACGGGCCGGTGGGGATTACCTATAGGCCTTTTATAAGCGGGTAATACCCACTATAGGTATACCTATAGACGGGCCCTACCCTTAGCGCCTACCTAAGTAGGTTCCCCTAGGTCTTAAGAAGATTACTTGATATGTTTAATACTCATTTCCTAATGAACTCTATCATATTAATAATTTCTGCGAACTAGAAGAACTAAGCTAGGTTACTATAATTCTAATAATATGAGAATAAAATAGAGATGATAAAATATCAATCAAAAAATACAGTTATTAGAAAAAATATCAAATATATACTACGAATATAAATATATCTTATAATATCTATCTACTTACTACTATTTAAATCCTATACAGTCCTATGGGATGGTCCTATGGGATGGTCCTATGGGATGAGTCCTATAGGACTTGTCGAGGTCTAACCACACGACGCAATTATCGAGCCAATCGATTCCGACCTCTACTTTAGTGCGAATGCGCAAACACCTAGCTTACAAGGGGAAGGGGATCTGTACTAGTAATTCAGGTATTTGAAATTTCTGCCCGTCGAACATCAGGCAATGACAAAATGCAGTTTATCACTGGCCGCTATGCCCCTTCGTATACCAGCTCTTGAAATTGACTTGAAGTTCCGCAGATTCTGCCGCGCAGTATATGTGGGCCCAGACCGAATTAGGTCAAATACTCATGCAAAACCACTGTATATAAGAGCTAGGTGGCCTTAGATTATTGTAATAGATTATCTGATATCAAAACCCCCTATCCAAAGATGCATTTCAGTTCTACTGCTTTAATCGGCGTCTGTTTGTGGTTGCACGCTGTTGCGGCCGCTCCCCATCCTGTTTATTCGGCCTTCACCAACTCGACTAATACTTGGGATGCGCGGACTACTATAACCTTCCCCAACACCTCTGCCTTTGTGGAGGCGACTGAGCGCTGGAACAACGCCAACGGGCCTGGATACTCGGTGGCCATTACACCTGCGACGGAGAAAGACGTCGCGAGAGCGGTAAGTATACTCATAATCATGGCCAATACATTGACTGACTGATGGCCAGGTCAGAATAGCCAGGTCTATTGATTTCCCCTTCCTCGCCACCGGTGGCCGTCATTCCACAAGCGTGACCGTGGAAGACCTCCAAAATGGCCTAGCCATTGACTTGCGCGCGCTCAACAGCGTTGAGATTGATGACAAGGCCGGAACCCTGACTGTTGGTGGTGGCACAATATTCCGCGAGATGGTTGATGAGGTTTATGAAGCTGGGTATCAGATGCGTCAGTGACCTTGTATACAACCTACAGACCCTCAGCAAGCTGACTTTTCCTCTCTTCACAGCCATTGGAACTTGCAGTTGCCCTGGCATGGTCGGCGTAACAGGCGGTGGTGGTATCGGTCGTTTCCAAGGTGTTAATGGACTCTTGATAGACAGTCTCCTGTCAGTCCGCCTGGTGACAGCCAAGGGCAAGATTATCAATGTCTCAGAGAACTCGCACTCAGACTTATTTTGGGCTATTCGCGGTGCTGCTCCCAACTTCGGCATCATCACTTCTGCTACATACAGGCTTCACGAACCAACCAACGGCGGCCAGATATTTAGCGCGGACTTCATCCTCCCAGCGTCTGCCAATGCCTCCTACTTCGACATCCTGCAGGACCTCCAGGGCACTATTCCAGCCGAACTGTCCACTATCACCATTTTAACATACAACGACACAATCAATGAGGTAAGCACTGACATCGCCACCTAGTTAACTCGGGGGGACACTGACTAACCTCTGCAGCCCCAAATTATCGCAGGCTGGGTCTACCTCGGCCCCGAAGCCCGCGGCCGCGAACTGATCCAGCCCATCCTAGACCTAAACCCAGTCCTCACCTCCATCAGTACCACAGTGAGATACAACGAGCTACCCTACGTCGCGCTCCTCGGCCTCGGCAACACAATCTGCAATCCGGTAGCTATATCCGGCTACGGCGTGAATTACCGTACTCTGTCCTCCTCTACGTACCAGACCGTCTTCCAACTCTTGACCGACTTCTTTGCCGAGTTCCCCGATGGTCGTGGGAGCTCAGTTGAGCTGGAGATTTTCGCGCCCCATGCTGTCGAGGCTATTCCGGTTGGGAGTACGCCGTATCCGTGGCGTGATGCGTTGGGTTATACGTATGTTTCTATTCTCTCTCTTCGTTTCTCTATTAGTCAGTTATATGCCATGCGTGGGTAGCTAACTAATTACTCACAGGCTTATGTCGTTTGTCTGGGCCACGACAGACACACACCAAGCAGGCATCAAAACCGGCGAGGCGGTGCGCGCGGCATTTGCGGCGACCTCGGGCTACGACGGTCTCGCGACATATGTGAACTATGCGCATGGCGATGAAACTCTGTCGCAGATGTTTGGGGAGTATGTGCCGCGGTTGCGGGAGTTGAAGAGTACGTGGGATCCTGAGAATCTCTTTGGGTTCTTCCATGGGCTGGCGACAACGCCTGTTTGATAGTTTGAAAGTTGGACTTTGTGGGGAGGTAGTTGGAGATATACCATAGAAGGTATAGACCTATGTCATCTTAACTCTTCGCAGACTATTTAAATATATAACCCTATATCATCGGCTAGTTGTGCTGTGCAATTACAAGTAGAAAAGCCTCAACTCAATACATATCCTCGCTCGCAACAACCTGCGCAATACGGACTTCGACAAGCACTTTGCCGTCTTCGTGTAGAAATCGCCCGTTCCCAATCCACGTCGAGTTTTCCAGCTCCTTCAGTCGACCGCTTCCGACTTCAAAATGCGTGTTCATGGCTACCATGTACAATTAGCATCGTATCCTCGTTTTCTATACATTGAGTATGTAAAATTCAGGGAGGAGCGGACTCACTTGACAACCCAAACGGAACTGTCTGCGGCTGACCACCGAAAATGCCCTCCAACTCAGGCGAGACTTTGGAAACACCCGAGTATGAGAAGTTGATCCCTTCGCCTTCTAGAGTACTTTTCTGCTGTTAGCTACGTACCTGAGGGGTAGTAAATAGAACCTACCGAGCAACCCCCTTTACATTCATCCGCACATGTTGCTTGTCGGCGTCAAAATACAGCCAGTCGCCGGCAAACAGAATCCGCGCGTTGACTTCGGGCGTGAAGCCGGGGACTGTGGCAATTGTGCCGTCGGGAGTTGCCTGGGGATAGATTAGTGCCGTATATGACGCTCGAGACAGGGAGGGACTAATCACATAATGGATGAATTCAGAGCCGGATTGGACGGGGCCTGGGGAGTTGGTGCGGTGTTAGCTAGGCTACTGTTATGATATCTACTGGGGGTCATACCGACGGGGTTGCCTTCACCTACGAGTAACTGAGAACATAGCGAGGATCAGCTGTTATGGGCGCTAATTAGGGTTATGGGTGATACCTTGAGGATATACGCTGGGCGCAGCGTGGGGAACCCGGATCGGTGCGACATGGTAGATGGGATTCAGTTGGATATGCAGGACAAGAGAACTCATCAGCAAATTGCTGATGTCTCATTTAAACAGTTGAAGTTGACTGTCAGTTCGGTGACCGCGGGGATTCGGGTATCAAGCCTGCTAGGGCATAGTTCGAGTGAAAGAATGGGCACGATCCCTGGCAATAGAAGGGATTATCATTAGATTGTCACCGAGCTTGTTTGCCGAGGCTCTGATTTTACAATACAAGTATAGCCAGTAAGTACTACGGGCGCTTTTCTTTTTGCGTTGGCACATTCCATTGTAGTATTGCTGATCACCACTCAAAGTTCCTCAACCTCACTACCACCACCACCATCATGGGCTCCAATTCTCCACCTCCGAGAGCTAGGGCGTTTGAGCGGTACCACTCGGAGCCACGCCCCATCAGGATTGCGCATGTCGGCGCTGGGCCGGCAGGGCTAATCACCGCATACAAAGCCCGCAAGATGCTACCGCATTGCGAGCTTGTGCTTTACGAGAAGTGCGTTTGCGTGGCTATGGTCATCAGTATGATAAGTCAGTGCTGACCGAGTATCTAACCTTCTTTAGAAATGCAGCCGTTGGCGGCACGTGGTTTGAGAACCGGTTTGCTCTCTCTGCCCCTGCCCTTGAAACTACCAAGGCCGATCCTGATACAAGAACCCCCTGTTTCTGACCTTGCGTTCTCAGATACCCCGGTATCGGATGCGATGTCCCATCGCACTCGTACAACTTTACCTTTGAGCCGAATCCCGAGTGGAACGGATACTATTCCTACGGCGACCAGATCCAGGACTACTTTGTGGATTTCTCTAAGAAGTATGATCTCGAACGGTATGTGCAGTTTGAAACAACTGTTATCAGTGCAACATGGCTGGATGCGAATGGAGAATGTACGTTCACTACTCTCTGCGATTAATCAGGCACAGAGTTAACCTGTAATAGGGGAGTTAGAGTTAAGACGCAAAAACGGAACGACATACCTGGATCGATGCCACGTCCTGATAAACGGGTCGGGGCTGCTGAATAAGTGGAGATGTATAACAATACCTTCAATTTACAGAATCGACTGACTGATGAAGGTTAGGGCCCGATATCAAGGGCCGCGAGACGTACAAGGGCGTTATCACACACACGGCGAACTGGGATCCGGCGATTGACTGGAAAGACAAGCGGGTTGCTGTCATTGGAGTTGGATCTAGTGGTGTCCAGGTAGTGCCAGAGCTAGTGAAAGGTATGCTCCCTATCTATAAATTGTTACTCCTATCCTAACGATTGCGAAGGCTCATCTTCACTGACCGTATTCATCCGATCCACGCAATGGATCGTCCCCCCAGCAGCATTCCAAGACCTGCGCGTATTCCCCGATGACCCAGAGAAGTCAGCCAAGCCAGCTCCAGCAGGGAAGCATTTGTACACCGAGGATGAGAAGACGCTGTTCCGGACTGACCCTGAAAGGTTCCTCAAGTACCGTAAGGCCGTGGATGGGGTCATGCAAGAGCGTTTTCCGATTTTCCTTCGACAGCACCCGCTCCACGAGTCCACAAAGCCTATGATCAGAGAACTGGTAAGACAGCAGTTTGGAGATCGGGACGATCTGGTGAAGCTGTTCACGCCCGACTTTTCCCCGGGGTGTCGGAGACCGACAGTAGGTGTGTTCTCGCCCTGTGTATTAAGCGGAGCTGATACTCAGGATATCTAGCCAGCCGATGGCTTGGCTAAGGCTCTCGTTCAAGACCGTGAGGCCTCTCTTTCTTCCTCAGCGGAAGCGACCAATAGCTAATGCTATCTCAGATGCCCTCGTGGTCACCACGGAAATCGCCCACTTCACTGAAACAGGGATCCAGATGACAGACGGTGAACACCATGAGTTCGACCTGATTGTCTGTGCCACGGGCTTTGAAATCGCCTTCGCGCCACACTTGTACGTCTCTCGTCTCGTCTCCTAACCCAAACGCCACCTGCATCTATTTCCACTTCATCAGCTAACACCCCGTAGCAAAGTAACCGGAAAGGCCGGCCGCACAATGCACGAGGAATGGGAAGAGCAACCGAATATTTACCTCAGTATGGCGACGCCGAATTTCCCGAATTTCTTCTTCATCGCGGGGCCCACGGGGAATTGGGCACAGGGGTCTCTCCTGATCACGGTATGCCTGTACTCTTCGTCATGCCGTAAAGGAGGCTTGGGGCTTGCATGCATACTAATATATACAAATACAACACAGCACGAGATCCAAGCCGAATACGCGCTCCAATGCGCCGCAAAAATAAGTCTCGAGAACCTGCACTCGCTAACCCCAAGGCAAGACGCGACAAGCCAATGGCGGCGACATGTGGATGCTTGGCACGCAAAGAACTCAGTCTGGACAGAGGACTGCAAATCGTGGATGAAGTACAAAGGGAAGATCCAGATCTGGAGCGGGAGTATGCTGCATATGATCAAGACGCTACGGGCGCCGCGGTTTGAGGACTTTGAGATTGTGCGGCGGGATGAGGGCAATATGTGGGAATTTTTGGGGGATGGGAGGACGCTTTTGGAGATGAGGAGGGAAAGGGGGGAGGATGTTGATATGTCGCCGTTTTGTAGGATCCGCGACGAGCCGTGGGAGCTTGAGTAGCTTGAACAGCCATTGGAGTGAAAGGGGTCTCATTCTCATTCTCATTCTCTATCTCTATCTCACTATTCTTTGATTGAATGAAAAGCGTCCATCGACGAGGGAGGTCTAGATGTATCGTGCTCGCGCTCGTAACGGCTGCTTATACGCTGTGCCTTCTGCACCAGCCACATATGGATACACCGACAGGCCGTGGCATGCGTGGACGAGCCACTGGCACTATGTGAGCCTGCACTGCGAAGAAGGTCTAAGGAAGAGCTAAACACGTTCAACACACGGCCAAGCTTTCGGAATTGCAGCAGCCACATATGTTCTTTCAGTTCTTCTTCCTCGTCTGGTTCGATTTGGAGCACGCCCCACGAGAGCTTTGGGGGTACAGTATTGGTATTGGTACTACTGGTAGCCTTAAAGATGTCGTGCTGCTGCTGCTGGCTTGCAGGCAGGCTACTGTCGCCGTTGTTGTAGCTGGCTCGCTGCGTTGTGTCGAGGCGCAATTTTGAGAGAGTCTTCTCGAAGTCTTGCAGGGCGCAGCCGATGAGGATACTATTTAATACTGCCAGACACCACCAGGAGGTAGCATGTTAGCTAAGGGTGCTTATACAAGAGAGATTAAAGAGCATGAGAGATAGCAGCGGGACCGTGCATGCTATGTGCTCTTTATCCTGGTCATGCGTCGGTATAAAGGAGAGTAAAAGAAAAAGCTAAAGGCATACAGATAGTCATTTCATCTCGCGCGATGCAACTGCAGCCGATGCAGGCTTCTGCTACTTTCACGGCACGTCTGAGCCGGGATAGCTGGATGTCAAATGAGGCCATGCTGTCCTCGTCTGAGGCACTCAGCGGCATAGAAGTGAGCTGCTTGAGCACCTCCGATAAACAGCTACATGCATGTGGTGTTGACGTGTCTTTGAGGATGGTGAAGTCCGCTGCTGCACCTCCATTTCCGTGCTGGGGCTCACTAACCAGGGGGTCCCAGGTCCCGCTAGCATCTATACCCGGAGAGGACACGGGCTCTGCAGTGGGATTGCCGCTGGGGATGTTCTGCCATTGATAAGGAGTGTCGTTCATAGCCATAGGAAACATATCTCCCATAGACTTCAGCGCTGTATCGAGGTCCATGGCGTCGTTATCTTGGGCGTGAAAGTGGTCAATGCACAGATCGAGAACATGCGAGGCATCAGTGTGGAAAGGCAAAGATCCTAGTCCTAACAAAGGCATGCCGGGCGAGGCAAAGGGGCCGCCATCCGGCTGAGCGAGCTCCCGGCGTGAGAATCCTGGTATTGTCGTGGGCGAAGTAGTCCCTGAAGTACGAGGTGGCGCGTGACAGTGACAGTGATTGTGACTGTGACTGGGATTGCTGGGCGGGGGTGCGCAGAATGCTGCTTCTGCTTCTGCTTCTGCTTCTGCTTCTGCTTCTGCTTCTGCTTCTGCCGCTGCCGCTGCCGCTGCAACTGCTGCTGGGTCCTGCAACGCCCCGATCCGTGGAGCATCTTTGTGGCTGCGACGCGATAGACCGTACATACATGGGAGACTCTGCTTGTCGCAGCGTGCACAGCGAGGCTTTACTTTATTGCAGCGCACCTTGGCCTCGTTGCAGGCGTCGCAGGACGCCCGGAGCCGGACTGCTCTGCGGTCAGCCATTACCGGTACAATTGCAATTGCCTTAATCCTCCGTGGGCGGAGTGAAACAAGAAGAGAGATACTGACAGAGAGTGAAAACTGGGACATCCTGGCATGATTTAATGTGGCAGCTTGGGGAACCGCTAATCAACGATGCCGACAGGGTGGGACGGCGCACAGCGCTCAGGGTCGTTTTCATCAGATTGGGGGCGGAATATTGATTGTTTTAATGCATTCACATACAGTGTATTTTAATATTGCCGGCACGGAACAACTAGTCCCGCTGCCCTCGGCAATGAAGCCTTTGACCCAATACAAATGGAGATATCTCCATTTTCTTGGGGGTTTACAAGTGTCACACATCAAGTCAAAGATCAGCTTCAAATCTTCAACAAATGGGAATATCTCTCCTTTCGTAGAGGCTTCGTGTCAACCATCAAGCTTGAGATTCTATACAAGGGATATCTCTACTTTCTTTGACAGTCTGATATTTCCGTTTTTATTGGGTCGAACGGCTTCATTTTGGAAGTAAAAAGTACTTTGCTGATTCAGGTCTCGGTAATGGTAATTCGGGTATTCAGGCACCCTCGCTTTTCTGTCAGGCCAAGATAGGCATCCGGGCCCGAATCTGATGAAATCGACCCTGAGCGCTATGCCCCGTCGGAGACAGGGATCGAATACGGACACATGCAGGACTTTCGAGGCTAGCTAGTCATGTAGTGCGTCTCGGTGAGCGAGCCATTGGCCCAGGGGATCTCAAAAAAGCATTATCACCATTCTCGGTTGCATGACCGGAAGGAATCCGTGATGGTGAAGGTGTAAGCGACAGAACTTCTGTATAGACCTCGCCAAATGTCGTCTATGGGTTGGATTACCGCCAAGCCCTCAGCCCCCCCCCTCTAGGCCCATACATGATCATATTGGCAGTCAGAAAACTGCTTGTTATTGATCTGTAATCATTGCATCTCAGCTCCTAGGACTAATTCATTGATGAAAAGATAGAAGATATGATTCTTATCAAAGTATGTGGTTCTAGCGGTGCCTCGGTAGGTTAGGGAAGGGTTCGGCATCAAAGCGAGAGAATCTATGGTGTAAAGTGTCAAAGATGCTAATGTAGTATACAAGAATCAAGAAGTGAGGGGAGAGGATAAAGGGCTAGTATTGTGAGTGGGGGGACTACGTCGATCTAGGGCTGAAGGGAGCACCATACGAAGTGTATAGTAACTTATCTGACATGGGATAATAATGCGCTGACGAATTCTTGAACACAGGGATTCGGCACCTTCAGGAATACTGAAGAAGCTAGAGGAAATAAATTCAGCGGACAGCAAGTCCTCAATTGACTGGAGAAAACTATTTAGCTCTTCAGCTTCAGCTGGTAGTTACGACCGTACAGCATCAAAAGCCTCTGGCCCGATATACGTGGTAATATCCAGCTCGCCGTCAGCCTTAATTAAACAGCTGACGTACGTCTGCATCCCCTTGCCGTCCGCCAGATTGCGGTGCTGCGTTAGGTCCTCCAACATGGCGCTGTACTGCGCGCAGAACGCCCCCCGTCCGTGAGCATCCATCCACTGCATAATGCCGTCTGCCAGTGCACGGTCGTCCGGTCCGTACCGCCGCACGGGGTTGTAGAGCTTTATGCTAGGCAGTGCGGGCCCTGGCGCAATGTCGAAGTAGTATAGATATCCTGATAGCAGGATCGGGAGCTCAACGAAGTTGTCTATGGCGGATGGGTCGTACTGCTCGGGACAGGGAACTTCCTGATCGTCTGCAAAGTCGGTGTCTAGGCCATTTATTGCGAGGAGCAGGCTGCGAAGGTCCTGCAGGTGTGATTCGACGACGGGGATGCGGCCCCCGAGCGTCATGATCTCGCGGACGGACGCGAAGCTAGTGTGTGGTGTTTGGAAGTAGAACTTCAGCCGCGATTTCTCCGGCACAACATTGTCGACGGCAAGCATGCTATTGGCCGCAGCCGTTAGAACGTAATCCTAATCAAAGGGTGCAGGGGCGGGGGAGCTCTCACTATGGGTTCAGCGCACTGCCCTCGGGGCTCGTGCTGAGGAACTCATGCATGGCAGCCCTCGCAGGGCACGTCGGCGCCAGCAGCGCCAGAGATTCTTCCCACTCCGCCAAAGGCAACATCCCGTCTTTCTGACCGAGACGACGCGGCACGAAGTACGTCTTCAGGCTGAGTCCTCGAGGCAACCACTCAGCTGCGACGACAATGCTCGTCGCGAAGTGCGTGCCAGCTGCTGCCTCCTGGGCATATTTAGCGCGGTCGTGGTCGAACAGCGTAGCAAGGAAGTGGTTGGTCCAGGTGAGATCAACCGAGGACACGACGGACGCAATGCGGTGTAACATCTCGATTGTCGCTTGCTGGTTCAGTGGATCCAACGACGTTCCTGAGAAGGGCGAAATCGCTTCCATGGTATACCGGACATCCGGCTTGCTGCCGGACGGCGTGTTCCACTTCCAGGAGTATTCGATGGGCGAGCCCTCCACTCCGAGCAGCGACTTCCACTGAACGCTGCTGTTGGGCCCCGGGGACGGGCCTAGGTATGGGACCTAGTAAGGATTAGCACCACGCTACAAGGCGGGGGAATCCTGTAGAAGCTGACAATCCAATGGTAGTGGAAGAGAAGGGCGTCCAACTGCTCATCAGCGCTGTATCCTGCCGCTTCGAGCATTTTAGCCAGATGTAACCCCGTCAGCTTCCACCAGTAGTCGGTATCGGTGTTGCGCGGAGGAAGCCATTGCGATAGCCTGGTCCAGACCATGGTAGGGGCGAGAGGCGTTTTCTGTAAAGTAGTCATTGCTATGTAGAATTGGAGCTAAGGAGAATCGCATCTATTTCCGTCCTGGAGCCGAGTGCTGCATTTATTATATTAGTACACGTTAAGAAGACCACCATGAATTCGAAGCCCGGGCAACCGGGGATCCAGGTTTTGCTTCGATCTGTCATCTTAGCACAGGATACTGGGGGCGGCTTTTCATGATCCCTGCCTTCTACGACACTGGCCAGCGACTAAACGGCTCCTCGGCGATATCGCGTACCCGGGGATGTCTCAGGACCATGGGCTCTGGACCATGTCCTGTTCAAAGTCTTAACAAAAAGACAACTACTGATATCCGACCAGAATAACACTCTAGCTAGAGTCTACAGTATGTAATGCCTTCCCGGGGAGCGCAATCCAGCCCTACCTCGTATACCCTGACAGCATGCGGGCATGCCGGTAACGTCGGCATCCAGGGCAGACTGATTGGGATGAAAAGGCCCATTTGTCGTGCCGCGGTAGCTACAGGGCAGAGACAGGTTAAAAGTCAACAGTCAACATGGGATACCAAATCGATGGCGTGGCGATTGTCACCGGTGCAGGCAAGTATCCATGATGACTCAAAACGACAGAATCTGATGTCGACCACCAGGCAGTGGAATCGGCAAAGCATGCGCACTCGCATACGCCGCTGAAGGCGCCCGAGGAATCGTCATAGCTGATCTGAACTACAATGCTGCACTCGAGACCGCGCGCGAATGCGATTCACGAGCCACGAACTCGCGCTATATATCACTAGCCATTGCAGTTGATGTGACCGATACAGAAAGCGTCGAGAGCATGGTGCACACTGCGGTAGAGACTTTTGGCCGCATCGACTATAGCGTCCACAGCGCCGGCATCGGCATCCAGCAACACCGCCCCGTTGACGAGGTGAGCCTGGACGAAATGAACCGCTTTTGGCAGGTGAATGTGGTGGGCACATTCAACTGTGTCCGCGCAGTGACGAAGGTCATGAGAGGCCAAACCCTCGCAACCACGATGGAAAGGGGCCGGGAGCGCGAGGTGGGAAGGGGCGTTATCCTCAACGTGGGCTCCTGCAACTCGTACATCCCCGTCCCTGGGATCCTGCCTTACACCACTGCCAAGCATGCAGTGTTGGGTCTAACGAGAAATGCTGGTAAGTGGCGCTAATCCACTTAAGATGGAAAATGGGACATTGATTTGATTGTGTGTAGCGCTGGACAGCGCACCGTATAAAATCCGCATCAATGCAATTTGCCCTGGCTGGGTGGACACGCCGATGCTCAGCGCCGCCGGCGGTCTCCCCGGAAAGCACGCTGAACAATATTCCGATGTCCAGGGTGGCACAGACGGAAGAGATTGCGGACGTTGTTTTGTTTATGACGAGTCGCGGGGCGAGCTATGTTACCGGCGTTGGGTGGATAGTGGATGGTGGCACAACACTGCAGCTGCAGACTTGATTTACTCGCTCTGCGCAAGCGTAAAGTTGTGGCTCGCCAAGGTCCACAATGCAATGGGTCTGTTAGCCACCTAAGCCGAATTCTCCACGGCCGTTAGGATTAGCCTTCCGCAAAGCCCACAAAGCCCATAGCCCAGCCCAGCCCAATCCGCAAATGGTCTGGGCTTTGGGCCCGGACCCGAGCCCACTAAGCCCACAATGGAGGCCAATTAGGCCCAATTAACACCAAACAATGTGAACATTCTGAAAAATTAATTACTCTAAATTTCTGTATTGCAGTATCCGCTTTCCTCGCTATTTACAGTCATATTTCATGAGTATTTGCACCCCAGTAATTCCTAATGCTTTTCATGTGCTCTCTTCTATTGTAGCCTGCATACTGGAGCTCCTACCATACATATATATAAGCGTGTATGTAAGCCTTCTACTTACTACTTATTACTTAACGCGTTCAATAAAGTATTAACAAGCAGAAAGGAAGGTGGCCTGAAAAATTTGGTAGTACTGGGGTGCAAATACTCATGAAACGCCGCTGTATACCTATGGGCTGCGGATTACTAATTTAAAATTACTGAACAGCATGGATTAATGAAATCCCCGGTATGCCGGTCTGTATGCTCCGACAGGAAGAAACAGTTTAATATACTGCTTAATCATGTGGTCAGTCAAGTCTTTCTTCTAGCTGATTGATATTACTATATTATAAATCAAAACAACGAATAACTAGGTATCAATATGCCCTCACCCACAGGTGAAGCACAGGCAAGGCACAGGTCAGGCAGGTAAGGCAGGCAAAGGCAAGGGAAAAGGAACCTCAAGCCAAACTCTTCAACTCAAACAACGCAACGTCCTCAGGCCCCTCAGCAATATGCTTCACAGTCCACTCCCACAGATCCTCCTGCTTCTTCTCCTCATAACTCTCCGTACTAGACTTAATCTCCTTGCGCCCCTCATAGTACAGCCCACTCTTCGCAGCCACCTGTGCATCCGCCGCCAGCCAAGCGAGGCTCTGCCCGGACTCCTCGGCAGAATGGATATTCGGCGACACCAGAGCCCTCAGCAAAGGAAGAAGCTTTGGGAGAACACGCAGCCACATGAACTTCATCAATCCGCCCGCATCACGAGCGAGGCCGGTGCCGGGGACCAAACCCGGGTCAAAGGCAGCGACGGTCCAGTTCCGTGGTTGATTAGGGTCGCTGCGGAGATCGGCGAGGCGACGCTCGAGCGCATATGTCCAGAGTACGTTTAGCAGCTTGCTGGTCGTGTAGCGCTGGCGACCCTCGTTGTTAAGTGCCTGGCCCGTCGGACGAGCGAGTTCCTCGGCCGAGGTGTACTTCGCGTCAGGCATACCTGTTTTCTGCGCGGGGTCATGAGTCCCGCTAGCTGTAGCGATGATCCGAGCTGTCTGGGCGAGATGCGGGATCAGGAGAGAGAAGAGAAGGGCATGACCAAGATGATTAACCGCAAAGGTTTTTTCATAGCCATCGTCCGTGTAGCTAACTTCGCGGGGGAACTGGAGTCCTGCATTGAAGAGCAGGTGCGTGATGGGCGGTTGATTGGCTTCGGTCCATTTCTTGACAAAGAGCCGGACTTGAGATAGACTGGAGAGGTCGAGGGGCAGGTACTGCACGTTCTTTTGCCCAGTCATGCGGTTTATGGTACCTGCGGCATCTTGGGTGTCACTGCGGGAGGCGACGGTGATCTGGTGGTTGGGGTATTGGCGTGCGAGAGCGACGGCGCAGTGAAAGCCTAGACCGGCGGTGCCGCCGGTAACAAGGATGGAGCCGGACATGGTGAACGATGATAGTGACTATGACAGTGAAATAGAGAGTGATCGATTGATGTATACTGGAGCGGTTGCGAGACAGGCCGTGGAACAGGGCAAGAGAGAGAGAGTGAGAAAGAAGCGAAGACGCAGGTCTCAGGCGGAATAGGGGAATAGGAGAATACTGAATCATCGCCGGGGATGCAGCAGTTCCCGGGCTACATCCCCGTAGAAGCAACCTTCCAAGCGCTCATCAAGGCAGCTTACCAAGCCTTCGCTGAAAAGCAGCCAATACACAGTGAGCCTGAACATAGCTGCCCGAAGCGGCAAGCTTATCTATCCGGTTGAAAGAAAGTGAAAGAAAGTGAAAGATGAGGGCTGAAAGATTATATGCGCCCATGGCCGGGCATCCAACCCTCTGCTCAGGATACCAGCCACGAACAATCTTCGGCCATTGCGAGTCCATGTCTACATCCTTGTACGTCGACAAAAGTACGCGATTCATCTATTAATTGCTTTTTTTTAAATATTCCTTTTCCCGATAATATTGAAATCAGGGGCTTTGGTCCCTATGTCAAAGCACTTTACACCACAACTTTACCACTAGGCCAAAAAAGCCGCACACCTCCTTGGTAAGAGTAACTGGTGTATTTCTCGTTGAGACACCGTATGGATGCCTCAGGAAAATATCAATGTCTCTGCATTTTTGGGTCCCTATTTCCTGGCAATTTATGTGGGATCCTGACGAAGCAAGAGTAAACAATGTGAACATGTTTTTCTCCGTCCTGGGTCCTGATAATTCTGAGTTGAAGCGCACACCCATGACCAACCCCAGAACTCACAGAATGCATAACATTGTATAACTACGAATATTTCGCAAAGACATCGAAGTCAGCCGTAGCCTTAGCCGTCAGAATAACATCCTTCCTCCCCTCCGACCGTGGGCTCACATCCACCTTAAACGGCCGACACTGATTCAAAAAGCCTTCTGAGTACGCCGTCTCCGGGCTCACATCCAGCGGAATCGGATCACCATGCTCATCCTTCTGCAGCCGGATCGTAAGACCCCAGACCATCCTCGCAACCGCAACGAAGAGGGCGCGTTCGGCGAGATGGATGCCGGGGCAGATGCGCCGCCCGATACCGTAGCCAAAGTGGTCGCGCTTGCTGGCGTCCTGGGAGTTTGCGTAGACAGATGCCGGATGGGGCTGGTGGGCGAAGCGGCTGGGGTCGAATGTCGACGGGTTGATATAGGTCTTCGCGTCGTGGTGGATGCCCCAGATATTGATGATGAGGGCCGTGGCTTTGGGGAATCTTGTGCCCCCGATTTCGGCGTCTTTGGCGAGAGCATGAGGGAAGGACTCTGGTGCTGGGGGTCGCCAGCGCAGGAGCTCCTTGGTGATCATAGTGATGTAGGGCAGTTTCTCGCGGTGGTTCCAGCATGGCATCTCGGTATCGGACACGACCGCGTCCATCTCTCGCTGGGCCTCCTCCTGGACGTGCGGATTAGTAGCCATAGCCTGGCAGAAGACCAGAAGCGTCGTGGCCATCGTGTCCGTGCCCCCCTCCAGCAGATTTCCACACATGATTTCAATCTCCGTCTTTGCGAGCTGTAGTTTATCCTGTTGATCGAGCACGCCATCGATGAACGAGCCGTGATGCCCGATTTCATTCCTGCGCCGTTCAATCACACGCTCCACGAGCGGCGCGTGCAAGTCGAGAATACGTTTCCGGAGACTCGCAGCGCGAGTCCGCCAATTGCCCCAGAATCGCTCGGGGACGTACTTGAGCACCGGCAGCCAGTCAACTGGCGGACTGGCGCCGATTTCACCGAGACCACTCATCTCAGTAACAACCCGCTGGAGCTCGAGATAATGGGGGGTGTCGTATCTGGGCGTGCGGATGCCGAAGACTAAACAGCGTTATATTCTTGTCCAAACGGGGTGTACATGGACAAACTCACCCAAACTCATGATAATACTATTGCTATACCGACCAGGGTGGTACATCAGTGACTCCGGCTCGAGACAGATATCAAGGAGCAGCTGCGTTGCTTCGGCCTCAATGAGACCGAGGTGTTCGGCGTTGCACCGGGCCTCGTTGACGAGCTGGAAGTAGAGCTTGCGGCGGAGTTTCCACCGCTCGTCTGCGTCCATGAACATGGGGTGGTCCCCTTTGAAGACGAGCTCTCCGAGGATATACGATGGTGGGCGGTGGCTTGTATATGCCGCTTGCCTGTCAAGGATTTGGACGGCGTCATGGGGTGAGGAGAGGACGACCATGGTCCCCCGGCCGATCTTGATCGGTAAGATGGCGCCGTATTTTTTAGCCCATTTGGTAAAGCTAGGGGTTAGTGGTTGGATGTTAGCCTCGCATCTACGTTTGTATGTCAGTGAATGTTTTGATTGTGCTCGTTCTTACTGTAGGTGTATCCCAGCTCGAGGGAGCTGATGCATATTCCCAATAAAGGGAAGTGTAGGGGGTCCTGCAACGGATTAGGGCGTTAACTAGTCGAAAAAAAACCAAAGTCAAGTTTGCTCACCTCCGGACAGGCGAGCTCTGGAAGAAATCGCCGCAGCAGCAAGCCATAGCACTGTAGCGGCGACGAGCCAGCCGACCAGTGGAACAAAACTCATGATTCACTCGAGAGAAACGGGTTAGACTCAATAGGAACGGGCTCGGAACGTTGAAGTGTGTCTCAATGGCACCCTGGCTGCTGCAGAGTGTTGTATACTTAGATCCTGAGAGTAGCATCACTCGGCGAAGGGAACAGGAAATAGTCGGGAAAACGGGCACTTCGGTGCTATCCCACGGTCATCGATGCCAAGTTGGCAAGCCACCGAAGGCCCCGGGGTACGGTACTAGTTAATAACGGAGTGCGCCCACGGCACCACCACAGCTCATCCAACACCCACCCAAAGCCGCCAAAAAACGAAATATGTCTGAGCCCGATACCAAAGGACCCATCACCAGTTTCCCCGCCGAGGGTCTCCGCCACGCCCGGCGCTTCATCACCTCACACAACAAAGAAGGTGAAGGCGTGTTTGTCGTTGATGACGACGGCGATCACCACCGAGTCATGGTCGAAGGTCTGGCTGTGGCAAACATTATCTACAGCACCGCCGAGAACCCTGTAGATATGAACGATGACCTGGACCTTGTCTATGCGCGAGACCATGAGGTATGCTGGTCCTTTTGACCCTTGCTGCCCATTGCTTGCTGACACTACCAACACAGCCTGCAATCCATGTTCCTAACGGCAGCGTCGCTCGTCTGATTGATTTCGCTCCTGGGGTGGAATCGCCAATCCACCGTGCGCTTTCGATTGATTACGGGGTCGTGATTGAGGGGAAGTTCGAGCTTTCGCTTGATAGTGGGGAGAAGAGAATCATGTTACCTGGTGATACTAGTATGGCTGACCTACCCTTGTCTTAACATCACTAACAAACGCATTCGAGAAGGTGTTAACAGGGGCTGCATGCACAAGTGGAAGAATCTGGATGAAGAGAAGCCGGGGAGGATGCTGTTCATCTTGCTGGACGTGAAGCCGGTCCAGGTCAACGGCGAATCGATCACCGAATATCTGGGCATTCTGGAGAAGGACTACGCAAATACTGGGAAATAAGTACCGTATACTAGTGAGAAGTCGGAAGTCCATTGTTTCTAGTCAAGCATAGGCAGCACTCCGACCTGAAATAATCCAAGTTCCCTCTAGAGGCCGTATGACTTGTTCATAATCCGCGTACGGTAGATTGACAAGTAGCCAGCAGTCCTTCACCCCATGCAATGGCTAGTCCTCCTTCAACCAGAACTAGAGGTTGGCTGCGGTTATCCCCAAACGGACAGGCCAACCGGGACGACGGGGACCACCTTGCCCGGGAATACAGAGACAATTGACTCCCTGGCCCGTAGATGACGAGAGAGGCCCTGATTATCTTACCATTTACCGAGTGAAAACTGCGGCCCTCAAATATCGACCACGGTGGAACCACTAGAAACAGAGCGAGCACCGGAATGGGCAGGGGAGCAGCTAAGTACGCGGTAGTCAACGATTGACAATTTTTCCATACACAACTTGATAAAGCCTTTTGGCACGCTCAATATGATACACTAGAAACCGAATCATTGGGTTTGGGTTCTGGTTGCGTGCACTACGCACTCGCCCACGACGCACTTGCATAACCGGATTGGCCCCCTCGGCCACGCGAGGTATAAGAACTGGAAAGAGGATGACCGCCATGCCCGACTACCCGGCAACGCTCTCGCCGATAGATTCCCTGCATATACAGGGATTAATCGCCGGCGTCAGTATCTCTAAATATACCGAGGTCCCTAAACCCTGACCCTGTATCTAGCGGACGAAGAACACACCCTCAACTCAGTGCCTTATCTACCTACCCATATCGCTGATCAATCACTATCATCATGTCTCCCGCGATCCTGAAGTCGGATAGCCCTACTACTAATCGCTCGTTCAGCAGCTCGCCGGCGCCGAGTGATGTTTCCTCTGACTTCCCATCCGAGCCCATTGCCATCTGTGGAATTGCCTGTCGTCTCCCTGGAGAAGCCACAAACCCCCGCGCATTCTGGGACCTGCTTTCTACAGGACGAACAGCGCAATGCAAAGCCCCCTCGTCTCGATTTAATGTCGAGGCATTCTACCACCCAAAGGGGCAGGATCGCCCTGGAAGTATGATGACCGAGGGTGGATATTTCCTCAATGAAGATATCCGCGAGTTCGAGAACGGGTTTTTTGGTATTAACAATCTCGAGGCAACCCACATGGACCCGCAGCAGAGAAAGCTGCTCGAGGTTGTTTACGAATGTCTTGAAGACGCTGGAATTCCCTTGGACCAGGCTTCTGGATCTAATACGGGGTGTTATGTTGGGAACTTTACCGTTGACTATATGGTGATGCAGTTGAGAGATCCTGACTTGTATGATATCGCTTTCCTATGTCTGTCTATTTCTATATTACTTGATTCTCACACAGTCTGCGCCCAGCCTGAGCCGCTACTCAGGTACAGGGTTAGGAACAACCCTCCTGGGCAATCGGATCAGCCACGTCTTCAATCTCCAAGGACCAAGGTATATATTTCTATCCACCTCCTTTGCGCAGCTGTTGACTAAGTAAACCCACAGCCTAGTCATCGACACAGCCTGTTCATCATCGCTATACTGTCTACACACCGCGTGCGCCGCCCTACAGAACTACGAATGCGACGCAGCCATCGTCGCCGGCGCAAACCTCATTCAATCCGCAGAGCAGCACATAGCAACCGGAAAACTCGGTGTTCTGTCTCCGTCCTCGACCTGCCATACCTTTGATTCCGCTGCCGACGGATACGGACGGGCGGACGGCATCGGCGCGCTCTACGTGAAAAGACTTAAGGATGCGCTTCGTGATGGTGATCCAATTCGTAGTGTTGTGCGTGGCTCTGCGATCAATGCGTATGAAACTCAATTTCCCTGCTTGAAATATTATTGGAAGTATACTAAACGTGCCTATAGTAACGGTCGAACGCCCGGAATCAGTCTACCCAGCGCAGACGGGCAAGAGTCGGTAATCCGAAAAGCCATGGCGCGGGGCAGTGTTTTGCCCAACGAGATTAATTATATCGAATGTCACGGTACAGGGACTAAAGTCGGGGATGCAATTGAGGTTGATGCCCTCGCACGGGTCTTCCCACGCACGCCGAACCACCCGCTCCTCATCGGGTCGGTCAAGAGCAATGTTGGCCATTCGGAGGCGGCAAGCGGTATCTCTAGTGTGATCAAGGGGACGATGATTCTGGAACATGGCCTGATCCCGGGGAGCTACGGGGTTAGGGATATCAACCCTAAGTTGAAGGCGGAGGAGCGTCACATCGTCATTCCGACTGAGTTGACTGCTTGGCCGGATCTTTCGCCTCGTGTTAGGCGCATTGGTAAGTACCGTGCCATCATAGCCACCAGAGAGAAGAATTCTGACCATGGCAACAATGATATAGGAATCAACTCGTTTGGCTACGGTGGCGCCAACGCCCATGTTATTCTCGAGGAAGCGCCCGAGAGATCAGCTGCACTGAGTTTGAGAGCTTCATCACTGTCCGCGGTTGTGCTCCCTCTCTCGGCCTCAACTGCAGCGTCCCTCGAAGCCCGCGTTGCCGACTTCGCGCACTTCGACTATGGCACAACCAATATTCTAGACCTCGCACATACCCTCGCCTCTCGACGCTCTCAGCTGCCAATGAGAGGGTTTCTAGTTGCGCCACGCTCAGAAGACATTGCGAGCTCGTTCTTGACAGGGTCCTTCGTCACGGCGAGCAGCCCCGTTTCTACAAAGGCGTCTACACCTTTCGCCTTTGTCTTCACGGGACAAGGCTCGCAATGGCCCGGCATGTGCCGTGAGCTCTTCTCAGACTTCCCCGTCTTCCGAGACGCTATCGCTGAGATGGACATGGTGCTGAAGGCCCTCCAACACGGCCCGTCGTGGTCCCTCAGGGAAGTTATCCTCGCCGACGGGGACAGCGACAGCAACACGCGCATCCACCTCCCGCAACTATCTCAGCCCTGCTGTACGGCGATCCAGGTTGCGCTGATCCAACTACTGTCTTCGTGGGGTATCGTCCCCGCCGCCACAGTCGGCCATTCTTCCGGTGAGATCGCGGCTGCGTTCGCTGCTGGGTATCTATCCGCTGCAGAGGCTATTGCTATTGCTTACTACCGCGGATACTGCGTCACCAGGTCCACTCGCGATGGGGCCATGATGGCCGTCGGTCTATCCGAGGAAGACACAGCCCAGGCAATCTCCGACGCCGGGATGACCGACCAGGTACGCGTTGCGTGCGTCAACTCCCCCGGCGGGGTCACTGTCTCAGGGGACAGACCGGCAGTGGAAAGTCTCTCTGCCATCATGAAAGAGAACGGGACCTTCGCGCGGGTGCTGAAAACAGGGGGACAGGCTTATCACTCCCACCATATGCTCAGCGTGGGGGAGGAATACCAAACTCTCCTGGAGCAATTGCTGCCTCAACTGGACGTCGCCAGTCGCCAGCCCCAGGGCCCATTATTCATGTCCTCTGTAACTGGGCAGGTCAAGCTGTCCGGGTTTTCGCCGAGCTACTGGCGCCAGAACCTGGAAGGACAGGTAAGGTTTGCGCACGCAATTGAGAAAATGTACGAAGAGATGGGGCCCTACTGCTTTATCGAACTGGGGCCGCACTCAACGATGGAGCTCCCGATCAAACAGACGCTAGCTGCGATGGCGAACGGGCCCCCCGAGACAGAAGTGCAGTATGCAGCGCCGATCAAGAGAAATATCAATGCCGTGCAGAGCGTGTTGAGCTTCGCGGGCAACCTCTGGCTAAAGGGATATGACATCAACTGGACGCGAGTTCATGGTCTGCAAAAAGGCGCGTCCAAGGCCCCGGTCCCATGTCGGGTGTTGACGGATCTCCCGAAGTACCGGTTTACATACGGCGAGCCCCTGTGGCATGAGACAAGGGCCAGTCTGGAGTTCCGGAAGCGTAAGCATCCGCGCCATGAGCTTCTGGGCAATCTCATGCCGGGCGGCAATGGGCGTGATATTATCTACCGCAATGTGCTGAGGCTCGAGGATGTGCCGTGGCTTGAGGACCATCGGCTTGGAGAGACTGTGGTTTTCCCCGGCGCTGGGTATTTGGCTATGGCTATGGAGGCTGTTATGCGGGCGACGGATACCCCCTGGCCGCGGGCCCCGTGTTTGAGTTCTCGAACGTCACGATCACGAGCGCCCTGGTTCTGGAGGGTGAGGCTGCACCGCCGACAGAGCTCTTCACGTCGATCCATCGGTCCACAATCACCAACGCAGCAAGCTCGACGATATGGTGGGACTTTGCGATCTCCACACACCGCAATGGGTCGACGACACAGCATTCAGCGGGCAGCATCACCATCCGCAACCGCGAGACAGAGACAGAGACGGCGGCCCTCACTTCCAAGTATCAGCCATCGACCGTCAGCCTTGAAGCGACAGCTAGACGGACGTGGTACGAGAGATTCGTCAAGCAAGGATTGAACTACGGCCCTGCCTTCCAGACGATTTCAGACTTCCACACGCCACGCATGAAATTGGGGTCGTGTGCCAGTGCCACAGCGCCGCTCCTGACAACATTCGGCGAGGACGCTTTCGCCGTATACCCTATTCACCCCATTACTCTAGATGGCATGATCCAACTGGCAGTCGTCGCGGCCGCAAATGGACGGCCGAAGGAGTTGCTTGCCCAGGTACCAACCAGGCTGGTCTCAGCGATCGTGCACACAGCCAAGGCACCCATCGACCAAACCTGCCGGATGCATGCTGTTGTAGAGCGGACGGGATTCGGATACATCCAGGCAGGGCTGGAACTGTCCGACGAGGCAGGAGAGACGTTGGTACAGGTCAATCAAATCCGACTGGCCCCATACCACTCTCTCAAACAGAGCGAGCCTGAAGACACGCGCCATCCCGTTCTCCGCGTTCTCTGGAAGCCGGATATTTACGGTTTAGGGCTCATCGAGGCGAGTGCTGCGCAGCGACATCTACAGGCGTTTGCAGATGAGGCCCATTCCCCTGTTTCTGACGATGGGATCCTCAAGATGGGGGCGATGCTAGACCTACTAGGGCACAAAGATCCGGATCTGCGCATTCTGGAGGTTGGGAATGCCTCGCATGAGCTGACCACAGCCGTTCTGGAGATGCTGTCGTTCCAAAGTGAATTTCGGCGTGTGCGAAGCTACACCACAGCTGTCTTTACCACTGACGGCACATTAGTCGGGGATCCTGTTGACTTTGAGACAGGGGCGCGGTCCGATACACCGACGCCTCTAGGAGACGAGAAATTCGACCTCATCCTGATCCCGGGTCTGGATGAGCAGGTCGCCCAGGGCATTGACACACTGACCAACGCACTGGCAGCCCATGGGTCAATCCTAGCCCTGGCCTCAAGCTCCGACTCAGCGAGCCCCTTCCTAGCCTCTCAATCTTTATCTACACTGCCGATATCTTTGTCCCCTAGTCCATCCACCCTTCTCTTTTCCCGGGCACGATCAGACCAAGCGCCAATGCAGAAACCAAAATTCCTGATCGTGGAGCGAGATGCCAAAACAGCGCTCGGTTCTGCCCTCGCCGACGCACTGCGCCCAATTCAAGGCCAATGGGTGCTGCATGTGCCGCTGCACCAACTCACCCCAGAGCATGTCTCTAGCGGAACAACAGTCTTCAACCTCTCCGAGCTAGAGTCGCCACTCCTAGCAACCATCTCCGACGACGACATGGCGCGCGTGAAAATCCTCACTGACAACGCAGCGTCCCTAGTCTGGGTAACCGGCGGCAACCTCATCCACGGTGACAACCCCGACTTCGCGCTCGTGTCTGGCCTGTCCAGGGCCGTGATGCTCGAGCAGCCGTCGCTGAGATTTTATACATACGACGTCGACGCCCCAGCCCGGACAGACCACGACCACATCCTCTTCACCGCGCAGCGTCTGGTCTCAGTCATCGCCCAGCAAGGCAAGGTTCCTGACCTCGAGTTTGCACAGCACATGGGCAGCGTCCACGTGAGCCGCTTCACGCCAGATGAGGGAGTCAACGCGCTCTTCCGTCGCAGGCAGGGTCTCCAGGCCACGCCGGTCCGGTTAGCTCATGCACCGGACGTGCGGCTGGCGCTGAAACAGGCTGGTCAGCTCGACAGTATTTACTTCCAGGAGCAGGAGGCCCCGCTGGCGGTGGCGCCTACGGAGGTGCGGGTGAAGGTTGCATCCATGGGGCTCAATGCGAAGGACTACTATGTCCTGGTTGGACAGGTGGACACGCCGGACGCGAGCTGCCAGGTGGATTTCGCGGGGACGGTGGTGGATGTTGGATCTGCGGTGACAGAGTTCAGGGTTGGGGATAGGATTGTTTCGATGGCGCCCGGGCATTTCCAGACTTATCGGACGGTGCCGGAGTGGACTTGTCATCGGCTTTTGGACACAGAGAGCTTTGATGTCTGTGCGACTTTGCCGGTGGTGTTTGCGACTGCGATCTATGGCCTGCATTATCGAGCCCATCTCCAGGCTGGGGAATCGATTTTGATTCATTCGGGGGCCGGGGGGGTCGGGATCGCTGCCATCCAGCTAGCCTTAAATGCTGGCGCTGGCGAGGTGAGATCACCCATTTCTATTCCAGGTTCTATATACATGCTAAACAAGCCTACAGATCTTCACCACAGTCTCCAGTGACGAGAAGAAGCAGTATCTCATTGACCAATTCGGCCTCAAACCCTCGCATATCTTCAGCTCACGCGACTCCTCGTTCCTCGAAGGGGTTCTGGCCGCTACAGCCGGAAAAGGCGTCGACGTCGTGCTCAACTCACTGACAGGCGACCAGCTGCACGCAAGCTGGAAATGCTGCGCGTCATTCGGCCGCTTTGTCGAGATCGGCAAGATGGACCTCACAACCGCCGGCCGCTTGCAGATGGACCAATTCCTGCGCAATACGACCTTCACGGCGGTCGACCTCAGCCAGCTCTACTACACCGAGGTCAAGGGCCTTCACGCGATATGGAAGCAGCTTGTGGGCGAAGTCATGGCGCTTTACCGCGAGGGGAAGATCACGCCTAGCGAGCCGCTTAAGGTCTTCGATATCAGTGAGACAACCCAGGCGTTCCGCTACTTCTCCTCTCGGAGTCGTATGGGCAAAGTCGCTATCAACCTGGAGCAGGAAGACTCCACGATCCAGGTGCAACCGCTGAAACACGCATCACGATTTAGCCCCGACAAGAGCTACATCATGGTCGGCTGCTTTGGAGGTCTAGGGCGCACGCTTGCACGGTGGATGGCGAGTCGCGGCGCGCGCAAATTTGCTTTCCTCGGCCGGTCCGGCACCGATAGGACCACGGCGCGCGAGCTGGTTGAAGACCTGGAAGGCCTCGGCGCTGAATGCCGGGTGGTCCGCGGCGATATCTGCCATGCGCTAGACGTCGAGAAAGTCGCATTCGCTGCCGCGGCCCTGGGTCCCATCGGGGGCGTGGTACAAGCAGCAATGGGCCTCAACGAAGCCCTGTTCTCGGTGATGTCCAACAAATTCTGGCACACGGGGATTGACCCCAAGGTGCATGGCACATGGCTTCTGCACGATAACATCCAGAAGCACGGTATCTCATCTCTGGACTTCTTCCTACTTACGTCATCTGTCTCTGGGAGTGTCGGGACAGCGACGGAGGGCAACTACTGCGCTGCCAACCACTTCCTCGACCGCTTCGCACGACACCTCCGAGGTAAGGGATGTCCCGCTGTAGCAGTTGGGCTCGGCATGATCTCCGAAGTAGGCTATCTACATGATAACCCTGAGATTGAGGCCCTGCTTCTCCGGAGAGGGATCCAGACCATCGATGCAGACGAGCTCATCCAGCTCATTGACTTGGCCATCTCGTCGAGTTCAAGAATGGGCATCTCCCATCCCTACGACAGCCTCGCAGCATCGCACCTCCTGACCGGTCTAGAAGCCGCCGGGCTCAAAGAGCTCCGTAGGAAGGGCTTCGAGGGATCCCATCCCGCGCTGGAAGATCCCCGCGCGAAGCTGCTGATCAACTCGTTCAACGGCGGAGCGAACGACGGATCGCAAGACCAGGCCGGTGCTGATGCAGGTGGACTACCGACTGGAGTAGTCACCTTGATGCAAGCTGGGGAGTCGCTAACGGAGGCTGTGCTAGCCCATATCCGGCGCCGATTCGGGAATTTGGTGTTGCTGAAGTATGACGATGTGGACACGCGGAAGCCGCTGTCGCAGTATGGGATGGATAGTATGATTGGGGCGGAATTTCGGACCTGGTTTTACCAGAGTCTGTCTGTTGATGTGCCGTTAGTCATGTTGTTGGGGACTGCTTGTACGCTGGAGTCGCTGAGGGATTTGGCTGTGGTGAATTTGCAGACGGGGGCTGACTAGGTTGAAGGTATTGATCTTGGTACAGTGCCACCGCGATTAGTGGATTGTCTACGATAACCCCTATTCATCATGGATTTCCCTCCAATTAAAATTTACGTACAACATAGTAAATCTCTGCATTTTCAATATTCATCATATTCATATTTGTGCCCCTGAAAATCACCTGTTTAAAAACCGGCTCAGCCAATCATATCAATCGTCTGCCTCCAATCATCTAATCGGCTCAAAGGACCACCAATTCAGGCAGGCCCAACACCTTTGAAAAGGCCCTCCGAGTATGGTGTATCACCTAGTAGACTGCGACATCGTCCATGGACGGGCGGGTGGGCATTGCCCACGGGCCTTCGGTATTAGAGGCGCCTATAGGCCTTTTTAGTAAGTAGAATTTCTTAACCTTATAACCTCTATTATTCATATATTCTTTCTCTATATTTTGAAGTAATTTAATTATATATACAAGTGTAGACAGCCGCTTCTGCGGCCTTACGATGTCTTTCTTACAGGGCTTTTTAGTGGTCTTTTTACTGTAGTGGTCTTTTTACTGTAGTGGTCTTTTTACTGTAGTGGTCTTTTCAGCAGTCTTTCCAATAGCTTTCTCAGTGGGCTCCCCATTTTTTCTTAGATATCTTTAAAATAGTCTTTCCCTTTCCAGTCTATTCAAGGCGGCAGAAAAAGGCGGGAAAAGCATACTCTGTGCAAGCGACTGTTCTATGTATAACTTCTGATATAGATAGACAATATCGGGTCCTGGATTTGACAAAAACTTCGATTAAACGAATATTTTACTCCGTCTCAATTAATTCGGTATAAAGGGGGTTCACTGTATAACTATACATATATATGTTAATTATTGGATACCTCGTTCTTCCAGATTGTTCTTTGATCACCTGATTTTCTCTATCCCTAAACTTCACAGCTCTCTATCTACACTTGGGCATCCCCCGGCTCCGTACTCCATGCACCCTTACACATCTACCCTTACCCTTGACCTCAGCTTGCATACGAGTTACCACATCATGTCCCAGAAACGGGACTTGGCTTATCTCCTATTTTTCATCACCCATGTTCCGATCATTCTCCGTATGTGGCTCTATTTTGGATATCTTTACACCACTAACACCAACACAGTAATCGACACCGTCCCCCTGCTACCAACCATCCTCCAGACAAATCTCTCCCACAGATTACGTGACTTCTACATAACAACCTACCGTGATAAATTCTTCGAAGATCCACCAACATGGTTCACCGTCTTTATCTGGATGGAGCTGCTGTACCACCTCCCAATCTCGATATGGGCGGTTCGGGGTTTGCTTAAAGGTATTTTGCTCCTTCTACTTATCCTAGTACATGCATACACATCATACATGTTAATATATACATGTATCCTTCGTGTCTATCCCCCTACATCAAAATATCTGAATCCATATCCATATCCAATGACAATCTAACACAATTTCCAATTCATCCAGATCACCCCCTCGTCCCCGTGCACCTTCTCGTCTTCGGCATTCAGGCCTTTATCACCACATTGACATCTTTGGTCGTGGTATGGAGTTGGACTGATCGCTCGGTCGCTGAGAAACAACAATTGACCATGCTATATGCTCCTTATCTGGCGTTAGGTATGTACACACACACACACACACATATATATAAACATAACTTGAAAGGTGGTCAAGTAATTTACTAACCCATTCTAGGCGGGTTCATGGCTCTAGACATGGTATTCCGTCTACGCGACAAGCTCATGCCCAAAAGTAAAAGGGAGTAAAGCACGACTCCGTACGCACCTACCTACTTACATTGTAGGGCAAAATCAAACAAAATCTATTATGATGCCAGCGTTATAATCGTACACATCATTACGTGCTTTGATCAAAATCTCGCTAATACAAGTTCCCATCCCGACCAAAACGCCCCGCGAATGTAAATGCAGAACCCAGCCGTAGATCAAAACAAAAACCCAATCGCCCGATCCAGGTCTCCATGTGCCATATCCAGAGCCTGGACAGCTTCCTCCCGCGAGAATCCCAGCTCTATGATCTTGGCAATTGAATCCTGCGGCCACCGCGAAGCAGGTGGCGCTGGCGCAGGCCGGATATTGATTCTTGGCTGTGACCCTGACGCACCGGACCCGGAGGTGGATGCATTGTTATTGGCAGTGGCGTTAGCGTTGGGGTTGTTCTCGGCTTTATGCGTGACCGCACCAGTGCGGGCACCCACTTCCGCACCATCGGCACCTTTAACCGTAGGTTCGGCCTCGAACTCTTCAGTCAGATGCTTGGGGATATCGCCCTCACCGAGGAAAGGCACAGCCTGATCCTGGATGACGAGGGCGCCGCGCTGGAGATCGATGCAGGCCTGGTGTCGACGGAGCATGTCTAAACCCAGAAGCAGATCGATCTGCTTGCCTTCCATGACGGTGAAGGAGCAGGGCAGGAACATCTCGCCGATCTTGATCTGGGCGGAGTGAACCCGGCCCAGGATCGGGGCGGTTCCGACGCCCTTGGCAATGCCGCCGTAGCGACGGTCTACCAGGCGCATTATGTTACACGCAGTTGCACACTCGGGTGACATGATGGTCACCTGAGCGCCGGAGTCGACGAAGGCGTTTAGACGGTGGCCGTTTACTTCGACGGGGATGTAGAGCATTGTCACGCGACCGAAGGCTAGAGCGACGGAGTTGGTTAGCTATTGGTTAATTCTCAATCCAGCAGGCTGGCAGGGCAGTCTATAAGGATGTAAAAACGTACACTCTGGATGATGCTCCATGGCATTGTGTAGATTTTCCGTAACAGCATTCTGGCGAATAATTTCCTCAATCTCCTTCTGGTTATCGGGATTAAACGGATCGGCATTGAGCATTGCAATACGAGCTTCCTTTTGCGCTTCCTGCTGCGCCTCACCTTGTTGCTGCCTAAGTAGAACCTCACGGAATCGCTGGGCATTATCCGCTGCATCAGACAGCTCCGGGTTCTGCCTGCGGACAGCCTCGCGCACGCGGGGATCACCCAGGATATGTAGACGGATCGTTTCGGGGTCTGGCATGCCGCGGGGTTGAGTGTTTTGTCTGGGCGCGACGGAGCTGGAAGCGGCGGGGCGAGGGGCTTGGGTTTGGGGAGATCGGAGGGTGACGTGCACTCCGAGCATGTCGCCCTCAGTGATGCCAGCTTGGTCCAGTGTTTGGTCGGGGTTTTGGAGGAGTTGGTTGTTGTAGACGATCTGTTGGGCTTGGGGTGGGATGGTAGTTTCACTTTCGACAATGGTTTTCAGGAGACTGATTGTCATGTCGCCGCCCACTTCTAAGTTGATGATGTCCGAGTCCGCCTGCTCGGGGCGGATAACGCTGACGGTGATGCGCATGGTATTGGATTGTCTGCCTGCTAGGAAGGTATGAAAAGTAAATTATAGAAAAGAAGGGAAATGATTAAGAAAAGAAGATGGGAGGAAGTAGGAAGAGAGGAAAGATTAATAAAGCGGGAAGGGAACACCTGACTGGGGAAGAGCTCTCTCTTTCTCTCTCTCCCTCCCTTACGTCCACTCTCTTCCTTTCACTTGTCCCTCGAATAGACTTTCTCTGCCTCTAGTGCTGCAGCTAACATGGTCTAAATCTTCTGCCTATCGCATATGCGCAATGAGCCCCGCGCTGGGCCGTTTAGCTCCGCCACTAACAGCCCCCCAAACAGGCTAACGGCTGACGGGGTCTTTCTCCGCGTCATCAGGAAGAGAGCCTCGGAAAGTTACTGGATATATCAGTGACGCCTTGCAAGTGCCCTGTTTTCATGGAGTGTTGCCCAACATCCAACCCCACCCCCGGGTCTTGCCTTGATGTCCTCATCCTTTTCTCCGTACTCCGTACAACATACGTTGTCAATCTACTACAGCGGGGCTACGGGGTACTTATTCCACGGTCCGGAAGCCCCCTGGGCTAGAGCTATTTCAAAAGTACGACTGTCCGTTTGTGACCATTGTCCCACCAGACCAGCCTCAAACCAGCTAGATCCTGAGCTATTGGAAGCTGGCGCAATTCAATGAAATCGTTCAACCAGCTGGAGCCCCCACACTAGTCGACACATGCAGGGGAATCAGCCATGCTTTGAGGCTACCAAGTACAGTCCAGTCAAGTTGGTAGCTGCATTTGTTCGGCATTAATATTACAACGCCAGCACATGTAAACACGTACAATGATTTTGAGGCGCTGGTCAGACGTTCAAATGGGTTGACCACACCATTCAAGACAAATCCCAACCGAACGTAGGTAACCGTTTCCGAGATAGCCATTTCTAGAGCCGTGCATCAGTGCTCATGTTTCAGATTGGCTCCCCGAGGCACAATGTCCGTTAAATCAGGCATGACGCCGGTTCGGGGTTCTTTAGGTTTCTGATAATACATTCTTATAGGTTAGGGTTTCTATCTCCGTACCCTGTCTGTGTTGTACATTGTTTCTTTTTCTATAGCTAACCGCGCCAAGCAGGATATAAAAAGGCTCGGCTTCATGTAGCCCTTTGGGTTAACACCCAGCCAGCACATCTTCGCGACAGCACATTTAGTGACGCCGTGGTGCGTCGATGAACAGGTCTAATTTGCCTTTTGATCAAGCTGCAAGCTATTGATGCGCATAGCCGAGGGAACACCGGGGACCCCCGACCCCACTAACTACCTTGGCGTCGATCCGTTCTATATGAATCTAGCCCGGCTCAGAGAGAAGACAATGGTGAGACTCAATATTCATTAAGCCACATGACATACAGCATAACTTGAACCAAAGTCATATCTGCTGGATTGCTGCTATCAGGCCTATCTTCAAATGACATGTTGCGGTATATAGGGCATGCATGCAACGAGGTTGCCGAAGCTAGTGGACTTGAGAGGGCTTTATAGGTTCACGCTGGCATCGCCAGTGTGATGGACATACTTGGCGACGGAGTGTAGGTCATGGCTATAGTAACTGTGGGAATACTCACTAATCACTAAGAAAATGGGCACATCCATGCAGCATACAACGCATTATGGGTATGCATGTTTAAATGATTAGGGCTATGTCCGCATCCCCTACGTCCCCCACATTTCACAGTACACTTGTGAAATCCGAGAGATGGTCCATTCAAACATCAAGAAAGCCACTAAGAAAGGCACTTCGAGGATTGGCCGCTCAAAATGCTATTAGAGATACCAATTAGTGTCTCGTTAGTGGCCGTACTTTCTGGTTCTAATCAAGGGACTCTAGCAGATACATACCTTCTGATCCCACATTATTAGTGTTGCCAATATTGGCCATGTCAGAACGCAGAAAAATGGAAGAATTCGGAAAGTCATATCGTAATTATTCATAACGTCGTCTTAGCACTAGTAAGAAAGCCTGGGCCGAGAAACTATAGACGGAAACTATAGACGAAAAGAGATAATAGAAAGCTTCTATCCCTCTGATCCGAAAAAAAAACGCCTTGAAACTCCTAACTTCCTTTGCTAGCGAGCAGCGATACTTGGGAAGAATCGTGGACCTGCATACCCATGTGCGATGATGCTTTCGATATCGATATTCCCATGGGCCCGCGGGCTCCACAGCTTGATGAGAATGAACCGACCAGATCTAGAATCGTCAGTATTCGGTTCTCCAGATCTAATACTAATGGTACATACGGAGGTGGATCAAATTTGATGGTAACCATGCTCTTTTCTCGCTCGATAAAGAAGCGCGCATGTGGCTTCAAAACTTCGGCGGCTTGTTGAGAGGGCTCGGCTGGAGGGTTTGGGTGCACGAGACTTGGGCCACGGCGCAGTCTCTGTGCGGTGATAGGGCTGAGAGGACCCAGCCGTTCATATTCAATTCGTGGGTGACGCTGATGTCTGCTTGAAGAGTCCTCTTCATCGCTTGGACTCTCGTCAGTATCCGATAAAGGATCCTCTGTCTGTTCGGCCAAGGTTCTCTCAAGCAACTCAGAGCGCCAGTCTTCATCCTCATCAGAACCTTCGTTATTTTCATCGTACTCGGTGGTGATGCGGAACTGCGCTTGCGGGTCTTCTGCGGCATGCGGAACCGCGGCTGAATGTGGGCTCATGAGGACTGTGCGTTCGAGATTTTGAAGTGGTGGTCGGAACCCAGTGAGGTATTCCTGGGATGGTTGCATGCCACTGCGGCGGCCTCGTCGGCGGTATCGGCCACTGGAGTATTGAATTTGGTATTGGGCGGTACGGGCAAGCAGTTCATCAGAGGTCATGGAGACAAAGACCATGCCTTCTTGGATTCTGGTTTGATTAGCCGTAATTAGCCATCATTCCCACGCACAGACACGCCTGCCGGACATACGGAGCATCGAACCCGCATTGAGGGGCTCGGATCACGATCTTCTTCAAGCAGAACGGGGCTTCGCCCCGATGGCAGAGGACCAGGTTGCAGCGGGCCTCTTTGGTTGAGTATACACTTGTGTTGTTGTCCAAAACGTTTTCTGGACGCGAACACCCGCTATCAGGATCGTAACTTCCTCCGTCACAGCTGGCGATTTCCATTTGTAGCATTCCCGGCACCACTTGTCCATATTGACCGTAATTGAAGCCTCGAAATTCCTCGCGATTATCGTCGGTGTCCAGCTTCCGACGCTTCAACCGTCCTTGGCCATCGCGGCCCGACTGGCCGGATGGTGGCATGAGAGACGGTGGCCTGGATAAAGATCTGTCCGGGCTCGATGGTCTGAGAGTTTGCCAGGGCAAGTGATGGCGAAGAGAATGTGATTCTGGTGAGAGCGAAGTTCGAGCCCGTTCTGAGTGAAATTGATCGCGCCAAATGCTCCGAATTCGCTCTGCGGGGCCAGCTGTTTCGGACTGTAGTTGTTGAATCTGGCGATCGATGTCGGCCCGGGCCTGCTCAAAGTTGGGACGATCACGAGCTCGGTCCAGAGAATGCTCAGCGACTTCTCTATTTAATGTTTCCAGGGCAAGGGTGGTGTTGTAGGCGTTGTGGGCCCCGGAGCGATTTCGTTCGGATACGAAATTGCGGAGATGCTGGAGACGGAGGACCTCAGGGCGTTCATCAGGCCTGGTACGGGATATACGGCGGGACGAAGAGGATGAAGCACGAGGATAATCGTAATTCCCTGACTAAAGGGAGGTGTAAGACACTGGTCAGACGCATAGGAACCATGAGAGACATACCATCATATAGGCTTGGTACCGCTTGAAAGGGTGGAGTTACCTATGTCGGGTTAGGGGATAGGGGCGGGTGATGCCGTCAACACACCCGACAAAAATAAAAAAAGAGACAATACTTGATAAGACGAACGAGATATCAAGAGGATGCCCTGAAGAGAGTTGGCCTAGGTTGCCCAAGGTTGATAACACGTGATGGATTAGATCATCGATAGTGGAGTGAAGAAGGTTGAAAGGTTAGGAGGGCCAACTTCGTATGGACTGCTCACATTTTCCTCTATTTCATTGATCTCTCTTTCATTTTGCACTTGGTCTGTAGTGTTAAGTCCGGGCATGGGCTGATAGCTAAATGTGTCGGCGTTTTGATTTTATCCTTTATGATAGATAACTAGGGCTTACGAAGGTGATCTCTGGAATGTTCGTCGATATCTATCTCCGATACGAGAATGCCAAGTCGAGGTCATCGGGCAGAGATGGCACTTCTTAAACTAAACATGTTGGACACGGGAAATGCCGTAGAAGCACCCTCTACAGTAAAATAGTAGATCATTTATTAAAGAAGCTAAGAACATAAACACACGGACTTTGGTTCATAGATATTGTCTGCTATTGAGTCGTGTTTTAGGCAAAATTCTACTCTGTACTCCGTACGGAGTACATGTTGACTTGATCTATAGCTGCTGTATAGCTCGGTGGTCTAAAACGTCATAAAATTACACACATCCATGGACTCAGGCTGCTTGAATCTATACTGTACTGGGCAATCTCTGCAAAATGGTGTGTATCGCTTATCTAGCTAGCAAAATGTATAAATATACTGTAAAACAATGATCTATCCTCATGAACTTGTATACTTCGCTTTGTCCCCACGGCCCCACACAGTAGCTCCCGGATCACATGACATCTAAACCGGCACTTCTGAACTTCCAACCTTCCAACTTTCTAAGCTTCGTACAACTTCGCAACTTCCACTTTCATTACCTCGTTAACTCTAGCCATTACTTTTGACCTAACATCATATTCCCCGAAATACACCTGTGAGGCTTCAAATTGCCAAGCTCGCACCTGGGCAAGACTGTACTCTTTATCTTCACCACTCGATCGACACTATGGCGGAGCAACAAGAGAATTCACAGTCAATCAGTGCTGGTATGGCTTATGAATGTAATTTGATCCATTGCCTACTAACTTTGCCAGATGAGATCGCGCTGTACGACCGACAGATCCGGTTGTGGGGAGTCCATGCACAAGAGAAGTGAGAGACCTAGCTTGAAACCCCCCACATATCCTAACAACACCTAGAATCCGATCGGCAAATATCCTCCTCATCACTGTGAAAGCTCTCGCGAACGAAGTGGCCAAGAATCTCGTCCTGGCAGGCATCGGCTCACTCACCATAATCGACCACCAAGACGTCACAGAGGATGACCTGGGTGCGCAGTTCTTCATCGCTGAAGCACAAAGTGAACAGGATGTGATTGGAAAGAATGTGAGCTACAGCCAGAGAAGAATACCCGCTGCCATATGCTAAGATTTCACTCTAGCGCGCGCAAGTCGCAGGACCGCAAATCCACAAAATGAACCCTCGCGTCAAGCTCAACATCGACACTTCCGACGTCAAAACCAAACAACCTGATTTCTTCGCACAATTTGATATCACAATCGCCACAGAGCTCGACTTCCTCACCAATACCACCGTGAACGCTGCCTGTCGACTAGCCAACAGACCCTTCTACGCCGCCGGTCTACACGGCTTCTACGGCTACGCTTTCGCCGACCTCATCAGCCACGACTTCGTGATCGAGCGGAATAAATCTAACATGCCCCCCCGTAACCCAAGAAACACCCACCCGCAGCATCATCAACATAACCACCAAAAAAGAACAAAACGACGCCAACAAGAAAGAACCAAACAAGGTCATCGAGTTAGTCACCAAGCGTGAGGTGTACTCACCACTCATCCTCGCAAATACCTCCCCACTACCAGAAGAATACACGCGACTCCCACGGCGTCGCAAGCAAGTAACCCCACTGCTCAGCTGCCTGCGGGCACTATGGGAATTCGAAAAACTACTCGGTCACCGCCCGACCTTCACGCACGAAGACCTGGAGCTATTTACGAAGCTTTCGCGCGACCGACACCAGGAACTGAAGCTGGAGCCACTCACATTGGACTCTGTGTTCCTGCGGACGTTCTTGCAGAACCTGGGCAGCGAGCTGAGTCCCGTTGCGGCGTTTTTGGGCGGTGCGCTGGCACAGGATGTCATTAACGTTCTATCGGCGAGGGAGCAGCCGCTGCAGAATATGTTGCTGTTTGATGGGGAGAAGACCATTGGGCCAATTTATTCGCTTCATCCTTTCTTCCCGGATGATGGCGTGAAGATGGCCGCTGTACCGCCGGTCAGGAACCCGATTACGGTTCCTGTGGCCGGACAATTGGAATGAATGAAGGTGGACAGATCAAGGGGAGAGAGGGGGAAATGAGCTGAGATGGGCTCTTCTAACATCATTACGAATCTCCTTTCTTCAATCAATTTCAATAACCCTAGACTTAGATCTGGGTCTCATTATGTACGATAGAACATGGGCAATCATTGATACTCGACACTTGCATGAAATTGGAAACTATGTACAATTTTGTTCAGGTATGATATTAGCTACTCGACATCGAAAGACCTATTTAGAACTGGAATGCTAGTCGAACCGAACCCAACCCAACCCAGACGCCCGTCACAATATCACAAAATGCACGATATACTTGCAAAAAGAAATCAACAAATCAACGCGAGACCTCAGTGATGGGCCTCTTCTTTTCCAAGTTCTTCATCACTGTTCTTCCGCGGTCCCATAGAAGGGCCCTCCTCATCGTCAGAGATCAAACCGTGGAGCTCGAATGCCTCGGCATCTTGGATCTGCTGGGAGTTTGAGCGTGCACGACCGTTTGCGTTCCCGTTGAGACTGGAGTAGATGGGGCCGTCCTGGTTGGTGGACTCGGAGTCGGGCCAGGCGTGGACAGCGTAGATGTGGAGGAGGATGTTGACAACTAGAAGAGAGGAATGAGTGGATATTCTAAAGAAGAAAAGTGCGGACTAGGGAATCAACTTACAGAGGAAGACGAGGAAAGCGGTGCTGTAAAGAATCAAGACGTAGGCCACGTGGGTGATGCCTGCATTGTGCAACAGGAGCATCTGCTCCTCGGTGGCGCCCATGAAGAGGAAGCCAGAGGCATAGAGCAACTGCAAGAAGAAACAAATCAGTATTATCCGATACCACATCAACCGGAGAGACATACGAAGGGGGTCAGGTATTGGAAGCTGTTCGGCTCGGAGAGAGCAGGCTTATCCTTTAGCACGAACGAGATCTCAATGATACGCGTGATACCGGCCGCCATCAGGGTATACCCGAATAGGGAGTGGACCATAGTACTGATCATCAACTGCTGGGGGTGAGCGGACATGGCATAGCCAGTCATCAAGATAACCAGAGCTGGAATGAGGTTACGCTTAGGGCGACCGCTGCGGGTCCGGCTGAGCCACATACCCAGCAGACCAGCACACCACCATACAATTCCCATCGTCGTATGCTGGAGGTCATTGTGAACCCAAGCAGTACCCCAGCGGTGCTCGGTGAAAGTATTGACACAACCCCAAGCCGCGATAATGAGCGAATCGAAGAACTCCTGGCTGCGGCCTGTACGCCGCAACCAATACTGGCCGACAAGCAAGAGGATGGTCAAACAGATACCATAACCGATGAAAGCGGAGCCCATGATGAAATGGGCCAGACACTGACCGAGATGATCACCGCGACAGAAGCCGAGGGCGGCAATACCACCGAAAAGCATCTGCGCCCAGCTGAGAACTGGCATGACCTTTCCGACGATACCGTGTGCCAGAACGAAGATCCATCTGATGCGAGCCTGGCCCGCCTTCTCCAGGTGCAGCTTGAGATAGACTCCGAGGACGACCTGCGCGACGAGCAAGAGCATAAGCCAGTTTGCAACGGAGGCGTGCAGGTTCTTATCGAATTGGCGGCCTTTGTGAGCGTGACCGAGGAAGTAGGCTAGCACGGCGACTACGGTGCCGACGATTTGAACGGGGACGTGCCAGCGGGAGCGAATGATCTATTTTCTTCTGTTAGGAGATGGTAGGAAAGAGGTCAGTGAAGGGACACATACTCCGAGAACCATTCCAGTTGGGAAGATAATGCCAAATGCGAAACCCATGAGAATCATATGAGTCCATAGTGTTGAGTCCTGGAATTGTTAGCTTTTGTGTCAGACGAATGAGCGGAGTACGTACGATAGGATCTTGGGAGATAGATTCGCCGGGAGGAACAGCATCATGACCGCCATGGGCTAGAGCCGAGGCAGCCAATACAAAGAACGTCCATAAGGACTGACGCAGAAATGCCATGTTGGAGTTGGGAGTTGCAAGGGAGAAGAGAACAGATGCGGATAACAGGTCAACCCAATCCGGAGGATCCGATTATGTGGGACACCGTGGAGTCTGGCCCTCTTGACCTTCAAGTTATTCTCGAGTAAAGTACGGAGTACTCCGTGCATAGTTGATTGGATTATTTAACTGTTGATAATACAGTTGAATACTAACCACACAACTATATAGCATTAACAATCCAATTCATTCTATGCTCTTAACAATCGACCTCAGGCACACCCAACTCAGGGACACGCACGCAAAAAGCCCTTGAACGGGATTATTCAGCGGGCACTATGATTGGCCAGAAGTATATAATCTCTGGGGTACAATCGTAGATGGATGAGAACTTCTTACAATGCCCTCTAATACTCTCGAATCTTGCATCTCACGTATCACAATCAAATACGCACATGCACCTACGTACGAACCATCAACATGGATTCATCTAAAGAGCCCAAGCCCTACAAAGACCAGCAACGAATCGTACGTCCCCAGTACCCCCCGCCCCACTCTGCACCCACCCGTGTAGCACTAACACGCAACACAGGCCGCTCTTCGCGCTTCGATTGCAAGTCTAGAAGCTAAGCATGTGCAAGTTGAAAAAGACCTAGCTTCAATGAACGCTAAGCTCATGTAAACACTCCCCGTTCTCCAACATACCGAACACCCAGGATACAGCCCCAAAAGAACAGGAGAACATTGCATTCTGCATCTCTAACCAATGTCGATTCCAGTGGCAATCCCGATGACACATGCAAGCGATATACCCAGCTTTTGCATGAGTACAATGATATTAAGGATGTGGGTCAGGGATTGATGGGGCTTCTAGCGGAAGCGAGGGGGATGAGGCAGGTTGAGGTGGAGAAGGAGTTTGGGGTTTCCGAAGAAGATTGAAGGGCTACCCTGCAAGAGCCCTCTCTACTGATTGTTATGACGTGAACTTATTTCAATGGGTTTGACCGAGTGGATGGAGTATGAGGCGAAATCGGACGGTGTTGAATTGAGATTCATTGTATTCATTCATCTATTCCTACACCACTAATGGATGTTTGCTTTTTTTTGCGTTTTCATCTTTATCACGGGAGGACAGTGTACTCCAGTTTTCTGAAACTTCGCCGCTGACAACAAGTAATCTATCATAAGAGGAGGGAAAAGTGAAAAGAGATGTGAGAAGGGAGTTCCCTGGTGAGATATGGAAGATATGGTGAGGGATGTGAGGTACAGTCAAGAAAGGAAGAAAGGGGTATGATACATGTTAAAAAAAAACAATAGAAAAGCAAATTAAGATAACTAGGCGGCCCTGCCAAGGGACTGGAGGTTGACAAGCTCGAAGTAGCGACCCTTGTTGCGTGAGAGCTCAGTGTGGGTACCGCTCTCGACAATCTTGCCTTGGTCGAAGACATAGATGATATCGGCCTTTTGGATGGTGCTGAGACGGTGAGCAACAGCGATAGTAGTACGACCGCGGGCAGCAGCATCCAAAGCAGCCTGGACGACCTTCTCAGACTCAGAGTCGAGGGCCGAGGTGGCTTCATCCAGAAGTAAGATCTTGGGGTTGCGGAGAAGGGCGCGAGCGATGGCAACACGCTGCTTTTGGCCACCGGACAACATGCCTCCCTTGCTGCCAACGACGGTGCTAAAGCCCTCGGGGAGAGACATGATGAAGTCATAGATGTTGGCGTCCTTGCAAACCTGGACTAGCTCCTCCTCGGTGGGATCCTCGTTGGGGCTACCAAGCAAGATGTTCTCCTTGATAGTACCCTGGTAGAGAGTGGGCTCCTGGCTGACCAGCGCCAGGTGGCTGCGGTAGGAATTGACATTGAGGTCGGCGATGTTCTTGTCATCCACGTAGACACCACCGGAAAGGGCATCGTAGAAACGCTCGAGAAGGGCAATAGTGGTACTCTTGCCGCATCCGCTGGGTCCGACAAGGGCAATGTATTGACCAGGCTTGACGGTAAGGTTCAGACCGCGGAGCACGGGCTGTTCGGGGCGGGTAGGATAGCGGAAGTGCACATCCTTGAACTCAATGGTTCCCTCGCAGTGGGTCAGATTCTCGCCCTCTTCGGCCCATGTATCAATAGTGGGCCGACGCTCGAACAGCCTGAGGAACTCGGAAGCAGCGTTCTTGGCCTTGCCCATGTCCGGGGCGAAGGAAAACACTGTGCCAGCGGATTGAGCACCGAACAAAATTTCACTGAAGCAGACGAAGAAGCGGAACATGTCGTATTCGTGGTGGCCAAGCAGAGTTCCACCATACCAAAAGCCGAGGGCGACACAGAAGAATACCAAGGCCTGGGAAGCTGCATACAAGGTTGACGACTTAATTACCGAGATCAAGCTTGTGCGACCCTGGCGATCGAGCTGAGCGTGATAGAATGCCCAAACATCGTTCTCACGGGTAAGCGAAGCCACAGTGCGAATGGCAGATGTAGCCTCGCAGGCGTAGCTGGCTGATCCTTCATAGGCGGTCTTAGAGCGTGCCTGGAACTCGGCAAGCATGTAAAATCGGTAAAATCCACAGCCGAGGAGAACCGGAACGACAGAAATGCAAACGAGGGCAAGCTTCCATCCGAAAGCAAGCGAGATCACAATTGAGGCGATGAGAGTTGTAGAAGTCATGAGAATGGTTCCAAGAATTTGACCACTGATACCGGACAAGTGCTTAGTTTCAGTCGAGAGGAAGGAAGTCAAAGCACCGGTGCTATTCTTCTCATGATCGAAGAAGTTGATATCCTGACGGAGCATGACTCGGAAAGCCTTGCTGCGGGCCTTGCGGATCAATCTCTCGGAGCTAAACGCAAAGGCGATACCGTGGACAGAGAACGTGATGATTTGAACGATACCAACAATAAAGAACATCAGGGACCAGAAGTTGGCGTCTGATCTCAGCTTGGCATATTGGTCTTTAGGTAGGGAAAGTGAGCTGATGGCTTTGGCATACAAGAAAGCTTGAGTGGGTTGACCACAGCCGGCAAGCATCGAGAAGCAAAGACCGATGACCATGACCAACCGCTCTTCCTTGTTGAACGAGGCGATAAACCTGATCAGAGTCCAAAGCGAGTACTTATTGCCGCCTTCAGCAGTCTTCTGCGCGAGAACGATACTGGACACGGACTTGCGAGACTCCTGGCGCTGCATGGCTCCTTGGAATGTTTCGCCCTCGTCCTTCAAGCTGGTTGAGCCACTGGCAATTGACTTGACACGTGCGATGTGAGATTTGGTCATGTGCTCAATGCTATCCTCATCATCATCCCCATCTACGTCTAATGCATCTGTGTCCTTCTCCTCATTGATACGCTGGGCCTCGACGAGTTTGTAGTAAGGACCGTCATGTTCAGTCAGCTGGTCGTGGGAGCCCTGCTCAACAATCGATCCGTTGACGAAGACGACAATGTTATGAGCGGACTTGATCGTGGACAGACGATGGGCAATGACAATGGTGGTGCGACCCTCAGCAGCGCGATCAAGCGCTGCCTGGACAACTCCCTCCGACTTAGTATCCAGGGCGGAAGTGGCTTCATCCAGGAGCAAAATCTTGGGGTCGCTAACCATAGCACGAGCAATGGCAATACGTTGCTTTTGGCCTCCAGACAGCAAGAATCCACGCTGACCGACGTTGGTTTCATAACCTTCGGGAAGAGCAGTAATGAAGTCGTGAGCGTTGGCCATCTTGGCAGCATTCTCAATGAGCTCCTTGATCTTTCCTTCGGATTCATGCTCGAGGCGTGTTCCAATCAGACCGTGGCGAATGTTCTGATAGATAGTTGTACCAAAGAGAACAGGTTCCTGGCTGACCAGCGAGATCTGCTGGCGTAGCCATCGCAAGTTAAGAGTCTGGATGTCATGGCCGTCCAAGAACACCTGACCACCAACTGGAAGATAGAACCGCTCGACGAGACCGACGACAGTACTCTTGCCAGATCCCGAGGGGCCGACCAATGCGGTAGTCTTACCAGCAGGCATGGCGAGGGAGACGTCCTGCATGACTGTAACTTCGGGACGGGAGGGGTATATGTGTTTCACGTTGCGGAATTCGATGTGACCCTCGACGTGGTCCAGGACGATGCCTTCATCGGAAGTGGGGTCTAACGGAGAGACACGGTCGATGGTCGCAAAGATCTTGGTAGCGGCAGCCACAGCATTGGTGAATGCCGAGGCGTTGGGGCTGACATTGCCAAGTGAGAACGATCCGATAAGAATAGCCATCAGAATCGTCAAAACTTGTCCGACATTCACCTTCTCCTGGACTAGGTATTGCGAGCCCATCCAGAATCCGAGGCCGTAGTTCATGAACATGAGTCCAAACATGATACCGACCATCACGGCGAGACTCATTTGCAGGCGCATACCCCAGCGCTCCGCGCGAAGCAAGTGAGACTCGTACTGTTTCGCGAGTTTGTCTTGAGTACCGAATGCGGTCGCATTGCGGACTGAGCTGATGACTTCCTCTGCCACAGTTCCACCGGCACCGGCGCTTTCCAGGGACAGCTTGCCGTACTTGATGATCAATCGGGAACCTCCACCCATGATCAATACCAGCGCGACCATAGTTGAAGTACATATACCAGCCAAGCGGGCATACTTGACGTATGCAATGATGAAGGCAGTCACGAAGGTGGCGACGGCAGTCAAGGTTAAGCCGACCTTTTCGGAGACACCATCCTGAATGAGATTGGTGTCGGCTGTGATACGGGTAGTGACTTCACCTGCACCAAGTTTGTCGAAATATGCGATGTTCTGGCGCAGGATAGCTTCGAGATAGTGCTCTCGAATCTTCTGGGTGACGTGCTCTCCCGTGTAGATGAAGCCCACGGTACTGACGTAGATGGTGACGAATTCTCCAATACCGAGGTAGATAAAGTACAAGACATTGTGAACCAACTGGTCGTAGAAAGCATCGTAGGAGATGGTGCGGAGCATCACCTTTTGGAAAACAGTGGCCAAGGAGCCAAAGAGAATAGTAAAGAGGGGCAAAGCAGCACCGGCGGCGATGGCACAGAGTGCGCTGACGACAAGGATGAGTATGTCGGTGTGGGAGGCATATCGATAGAGACCGAAGTAGGAGATATTAACCAGAGGTGCATCCAGCTGTTGTTTCAGGATGTCCTTTTCATGCTCCGGCAAGTGAGCATAGAGCGCATCATCGTCTTCCGCGACTGGAGTCTTAGATTCGAGTTTTGTCGACGTGGAAGCGGAGTCGGAATCACGCTTTTCGATGGGCTTCTCGTTAAGCGGAGGGTCCTCCACCACCTTTTCAACGGCCGTCACACCCTCCTCAGGCTGCTGCATGTTGAAATTTGGGTTGAATCTTTACTCCATAAATGAAAATGAGGATGAGTCTGAAGAGAGATGGGGTGAATCAAGAAAGGAAAATCAAAAAAAGGAATTAAGAATTAAGGGATGAAGAATATTAAGGAAGGAATACAAAAGATTAAGGGAGATAAAAGATGAGCAAAGGGGGTTCTTCTAAATACTGCCCCGGTGTTGTTGGATGATACTTGGGGGGGATTTTTCTCCGGGTCGGGTATCCCAAACTCCGACTTTCTCTTTGGCATTTTATTTTATCTTGGATCTTTTACTCTAGTGCTCATCTGGTAAATGGATGAGTCTAAACATTACACATTCCTCGAAGGCATCCCTTCCCCCTTCAAGGCCTGAGGGCCATTTCCTGACGCAATGATTGGCGCATATGATCCTGCCAGGTTCGGAGTCCGTATAGGGTTATAACGAGACGAGACACGCAAACGAACACGGATAGTTGAGTCAGAGTCGGTCATAATCTGGCCACGCCTACCGTCTATTTCGACCGAATTTTCGTCCGAGATACAAGGTCTGAAAGTAACATTAGGCCCCCATCTGGGTCCTTGAGAAGGCTTACTCCATACATTGTTCCCACCCGTCGGTCATTTTCATCCCCGATGTCCGACAATGCCTGAGGTCGGACGCTTTGACTGCAATTTATGTCTAAGATCCTTTTGAGATCAAATTACTTGTTTTTCTCTTGTGTTTATTTTCGCTTAACAAAACAGGCAATGATGAGCAGATCTTGAACTATCTCGATATGTGGATCCATCTGATATTGTAGGTATATAATCTATACCTAACCACCTAACCAGGTATGAAATGAGATGAGCTGGTAAATGTGGGCATCTACCTAAATCTACCGGAATCTACCTAAATTAGGCAAGCCTTGCCACGCGGTATTAAATCGTGCCTGCCTAGATATAGCCATGTCGAGTCACCCTCAGAAGTGCTTTCACCTAGGTAAATCCCCAGGAAATCTCGTTCGGATTGTTACTCGACTTACATGAGCTTTGGCCTAGCTGGAATGCCAAAATCTTCGTGTAAGGGCGGAAATATCGCTCTCGATGACACACCAGGGCTTTGGTTGGCCACGTCTATGACGCTATGATCCTGACACTATCATCCAACATGGCCCAGAAAGATATCAATACGACTCAAATGAGTAAGATGTCGGTACTGCACAAAGCACCATATTGACCTCTTTGTCAGAAATCAACTCTGACAATAGGAGTCCAAAAATGTCGTGGCCAAGGGGGAAATTTTAAAGCTGTGGCCCGACAAGTCCTCGCTGCCACTCGATGGAGGAACAAACAAACACTAAGCACAATATGTTAAGAATACCCTGGGTATCAGTAGCCTTAGAGTGAATGACCACTCAAATAGCAGCTACCATATTTCGATGTTTCGTGATTCCCATCGGTCATGTCAGCTCTTCCGATGGCTCTGATCTCATCGCTTGGTGACTGTGCTTCTTCGTGGCAGTTATAGAGCTGGCAGAATAGAGCCAAATGACCTCACTATGCCTAAACTACTTTATCAGAGTACATAAAGACCATTTGGGACATCTTGAAGGTGATGCTCTTAATGTGTTATATCCTTGATTTTAACTCAAATACTATTACTAATGTGCCTTAGTATCGCGGATAGGCAATGAGCTGCCTACCGGTATACTTCACCAATCTTCGTGTTTCTAGAAAACTGCACATGTGTCAACCGGTTCTACAATTCGAATGAAGCTGATTGTGAAGCCAAGATGCCCAGTGGAATGAGAATTCGCGTCACAGAATTCCGAATAGGAACTAATGATATGATTCAGTTGGAGTTCTCTATTGACTTCTAGGAATCGTAGTAATTATAAAGCGGGTAGGTTGAGATAACACGACGCATTTGATTTTGCGAGGCATGCCCGATGCACGCCACGGACGCATCATGCAGCTAGAAGTTGTGATTTCAACATTTTTACAGGGATGCGACAAGGTAGGTACTCAAGGCGATTCGCGCGTCAAGCGAGCATCACGTTGATTGGCTTATCCAACTATGTTTGAACGCCTGATTACAATACACAGCGAGCCCCCTTTCCAGTTACCGCCAACAAGGCATTGCTGGATCTAAAACAAGTCAGACTTGCTAGTACTCCTAACCACCCGAGCAAGGAGATTCGACAATCATTCCTGCGAAGTAACCCACCCTGTCCATGAAAATGGAGTCATTTATGCGTCCGCTTTGCGATGTATGTGATGCTTGCTTGCTCAAGTACTGTTTACTGACAGTCTCATCTGCAGCCCCACAGCCGTGATCTGGAGGGGGACTTTCCGCTAGACGGAAAGGATCTTGACTCTGTCACGGACGAGACTTTGGTGACTCTTCTTGAGTCTGCTCCTTCTCTCCATACTCTTGGTGGCACAAAAGTGGTACGACTCTCACGAAATCTGGTGATGAAAGGCGGTGGCACTGTCCTACCATGCGAAGCAGAGACGCTCAAATTCGTTGCCTCCAAAACCAGTATCCGAGTTCCACGAGTCTATCGCACATTCCAAGTCGAAGATGAGACGCAATATTTTGGCACGAAGGGATATATTGTGATGGATTTTATCCCAGGCCAACCTCTCGACAAGTGTTGGGCCGACCTCCCCTCTGACAACCAAAGGCAAATCGCTACACAGATTGCGGACGTGATCAAAGAGATGCAGTCTATTGTTATCTTACAGCCAGGTCCATTTGGTGGCGGAAAATTTCGTGGCCGACTCTTCACCGACTATAGCGCTGGTCCATTCAAAGACTGTGCTGAACTTCAAGGCTGGTTCAACCACAAGCTTGATATCTGCAAGCACGTGAACCAGTGTCCCAAAGATATCCCACCATTTCGATTCCACACCTTTGTCCTCACTCATCAGGATATAAGCCCTCGGAACCTGATCCTAGACGACAATGGAGAAGTGTGGCTGATTGACTGGGCGTATGCCGGTGCATATCCCCCTGCGTTTGAAAGTGCTGCGTTATTGGCTCAGCAGTTCTTCATCGACTTCAACAAAGCAGTCTTGTCTGTTATTCCCCGATTTCCCGAACAAGAGTTGCAACTTGATTCCATTGCCTATGGGTTGACTACTGCGGCATTAGCCTAATGAGATCTTACACGAATATGTCTTGGTGTGATCATTGCTCTATTGCTCCAATTCTATAACATAGCCCAGGAACCAATCATGAAAGTCTCCACTAAAATTGCTATTCCTATTACCTGGTCAGGCTTTTTTGCAGCTTGCGAGCTTCCCAAGTAAGGCCTCCAGGGCTATCTTGCTTCTACTTGTAGTACCGAGATTAGGACATTGCAGGACCTAAGATCACATAATGTCTACAGCTTAGGTATATTCATTCTGGCAGATACATGAGGTGAGCAATAATCTCAAAGAAAATCACCACATACCCATGAATGTGCGCCGTATACTGGACATTATAGTTAGTTGTATCAAATTGTGCAGCACATGAAGACTTATAGAGCACGACCCACTTTGCGGATCCTTACCCTATTCGTAACATATTTATGCCTTACAGCCTCAGGCCACAGTCCCACATCACCTGACCCAACCGAAGCGAAGCCAAGCCCTGCCGCACACAAACCATCCACATCCGAAGGTCGACCACTTCATCCGTCCATCCAACAAGCTCGCCGTCGCGATCAACCCTTCAAGATGCCGGTATGTTAACCACCCTGTTCACGCCATGCTCGAAAAAAAACACTTTCGCCATCGTCGCCGTCCCCCTCCACAGTCAGACCTCTGAAAAATCGAGAACCAAAATTTTAACCCGTCATTTTCTACACAGAGCAACAAGACCTTCCGCACCAAGCAAAAGCTTGCCAAAGCTCAGCGTCAGAACCGCCCCATCCCCCAGTGGATCCGTCTGCGCACCGGCAACACCATCAGGTAAATCGCACCGTTCGAGAGTTCAATTTATTATATCCGAGTCCGCCGTTTGTGGGAAGAGTGATACGGGAACGCGAGAGAGGAACGGGAAATACACATAACCATCCACCCGCCGACCGCACGAACCCAAGAATGGAGGAACAGATACTGAAAATACGCAACGCGATCGAGCATATGGCTGATTACAATCTGAAATTAGATACAACGCCAAGCGCCGACACTGGCGTAAGTCGACCCTGAAGGTCTAAGCGGACCCTCAGTATTCGCAACCCTCCGTCCGGCCATTCTCAAAAGCCCCAGTTCAGCTCGCGATGTCATATGACAACCGAAGTGTGTCTGTGAGGGGTGGTTCAAGGGTTTTTGATTATTTCGAAACCCTCTTCATGATGTGACGCCCACAACCGAATTTCGAACAACATGCCTTCACCATGAACTTGAGAGCGCTAGTGGATGTGGAACTACTCTTGAGTGCAATTGCAAACAAAAATTCAAAAATTCAATCTTGATCCGGGTCTTGCTTTGGGTTGTGCCTAACTTTTTTTTTTCTTCTTAATCTTCCAATGGGTCGTCATTTCTCTCCACGGTTCCGAGTGGGGATATGATGGATTACCAACACGCCTAATTTATTCGATATAGATGGCAGGCCCGGATTATGTTTGCAAAAGGGTTTGTTGGTGTTGGGGGCTGATCGTCTTCTTGCTGGGGGCGGGCTTGTAGGACTGGCGAGGCGGGGGATTTTCTTTTTTGATACAAAATCTCATTGAATCGAATTGAATGTCCTTTTGCCTACTCTCGTGGACTAGTTTTGATGGCTGTAGATTTTGATTGAGGCGTTGCATGGCGGATATTTCCATGTCATCCGTTCCTGATTGTGGTGTTACTATTTGTATCATACTTGTAGTACACGCCTTGGATATGCGTTCTATACGCTCGATGTTTTTTTACAACTTGGCGTTTGTCGTCATAGTAGAAATGTGAGCAATGATCGGTTTTACGACCCCGCTATCTCATGCTACTGGGTTCAGGACGATTTTGTACCGAATGTCATTGGCAAGGCTAGTGATTTTATCCAAGTCGTGTCAGATAATCTTGGAAGCAAATAGCAAAATAAAAAACGCCCCAAAAAATAATCACCCTACTGGACATAAGGGCTACGCTGCACATCGTCGTTAACAGCTGAGGATATCATTTTCTGTTTTAAAGGACAGACAAGAAAAGCATTTAACGGCTAGAGTAGAAATGTCAGCCTGGATTCAATTGAAAAACACCGTAGCAACTTACTCCTCAGCCCATTCGTTCTCGCGGCGGATCTGGTCTTCCTCCTCGGGAGTGAAATCATTCTGGATGTTAAAAGTCTTGCGAATCTCCTCTGGGGACTTGCCCTTGATCATGTTGGCGACAGTCTTGCAACCGACGTCAAGAAGAGCCTTGATATCCAAGTAGTTGGCGGCCTAAAAGCAGTCAGTGTATGCGCCTGGAGCAAGTCTGAAAACGGAACGTACGAGGATGATCTCGAAGAGCATCTCCTGATCCACCTGCATAAACTTCTGATCCCACTCATCAATGTCGGTGGTTTTGCGACGGTTATCGTCGTCATCGCTGGCACTGGGGGGGTCGTTCTTGTGGTGCTCGCACCACTCGATAACCTTCTTGAGGACGGCCTCGTTAACCTAACAAAGTGGCGTCAGCATTTGATTCTCACTGTTGATTTTTTTTTCTCCAGATGGAACACTCACGTTAGGGATTGGGATAGCCTCTCCAGAGTCGCCAAGATCCTCAAGCATGTTCTTGATCAAGACGGAGCGCTCAGCAGTGGTGCGCTCTGTTCAGAAAACGGTTAGCGCCACTCGCGATAGCACCTTGTTTGGAAAATCTGCTTACCAACGGAAATATCGACTCCATCGGAGCTGGTAAGAGTGATGGCGCTCATGGTTAGTGACGTTGAAGATGATCTAACGTTCAGTTGAAGTTAGCTTCATTGGTCGTTTTTGAATAGTGCGGGGTGGTCGAGCAGTGGGGACGTTACCGAACAAAAAAAAGGGTTGTAAATTTATTGAGTACGAGTAATCAATTCTCCGGACTTATGAAGGTTGATGGTGACAGGTGAAAATGGCGGAGATGTAATGAATAGATGGCGGGTGGTGAGGTTTAAAGAGGTTCTGGGTTATCGAAGGCGGTCGGTCCACGGGTCTATGGAGTTAAGGCCAACAAGGCTCCAAGACAGCCCCCACGTCTTAGTTCCTACAGTTGCCTAAATTTTGACATATTTACCTTGACTCATTCTTTTTGCTTCAAATCAGAGAGTGTGCGAAAACATACTAGTAGCCTATCAGCTTCAAGACTAACCGTTAGGGACCTAGAATGCTGCAGGCCCTAGTTTGAACTCGGTGCTAAGCCCAAACCAACGGCGGCCAAATCTACTCAAATCTATTGGGTTCTACCAATGTCCGGTGGCTAAAACAAGAATTTACGTCTCTTAATTGCAGCTAGATCCTTTTGGTCAAATTATGTTCTGGGTTGTATCATTCTAAGGTTGTCCATCTATCAACTATGGGTTATTGGTATATTAGGGTTACTCTGCACTGCAGGAGTAGATACGGAGTACGGAGTACTCCGTCCATGGGTAGTATACTCTGTATGCGAGATCTATCCGAATCGACAGGTATATCGATCCTATCAGGGTTTAGATGTGTACGTAGGAAGATTCCACTCCATACAAAACCATGTCCAATACTCTGTATATTGTAGATCTGAATTTCTCACATAATCCCCACTGCTGCAATTTACCGCTTAACGCGAGTGATATCATCGTCTAATACGCGTTTACTTTGCTTTTCTCTTAGCTCCCTTCCACTCCTTTTCTCTCTTTCTATTCTTTACTTTCTTTTCTGTCTAATTATGTCCCTGGCTCAACAATGTGGCGTCGAACATATTTACTATTATTGGTGATTCGCGTGTACTTCGCGCTCTCGCCGAGCTATTTACATCCCGATGAGAATTTCCAAGGCCCAGAGCTTTTTGCAGGTGTGTTAAACTGTCCAATTATCGCCTGAGCAGTCGCAATTATATTGCGACTATGAAAACGCGTGGAAATCTACGTTGCCATTTTCCCAAAAAGAAAAATACAAAGGCGCGATCCGGCAGTCCCGCAACTCCCCTATACGAGGGGAAAACAATATTAATCAGATCGCCCGAAATGCAGGTCGCATATTCTCATTTCCGTCGAAGCTACCATGGGAGTTCACTGTCGAGCATCCTATCCGCAGCATATTTCCACTATGGGCAATCTACGAGCTTCCAATGAGCCTCTTGAAATGGTTCTATATTGAGACCGGATCGGGCCACCCCCCACCACACTTGGTTTACTATGCGCTGCGCGGTGGAATGTTCCTGTTGAGTTTTGTACTGGAGGACTGGGCGATCTATGAACTAGTGCCTTCCCCGCGTCATCGGCGCGCAATGGTGGTGCTGGTGGCCTCGTCGTATGTCACCTGGACATATCAGACGCACACATTCTCCAACAGCCTCGAGACCCTGTTGGTTGCTTGGGGACTGGTCCTGATTCGGCGCATTGTTGACAATAAGGTGAGAGAGATAAAGCTTGAAAGCACACAATTCACGCTGACTGAAACTCCCAGCGACACACGTCCTTTTTCTCCAACGCCCTGCTCGCCCTCGTCGCCGTGCTGGGCGTCTTCAATCGCATTACTTTCCCAGCTTTCCTTATATTCCCGGGTTTACAATTGCTGCCTCAGTTCAAACGCAAGTATGTCGATATAGAAACACTTTATCTTCACCTTATCAACCAATACACATATACTAACCCCGCGTCCGCCCCAGACCACTCTCGCTCGCAGCATTCCTTCTCTTTGGCCTCCTATTTTCCTTTATCGCAGTTTACACAGATACAACATTCTACCGGCCGACGGCATCCTTCCTCAGCACCATCCGCGACCCCATAATAACACCTCTCAATAACCTTCTCTATAACACCGACACTTCCAACCTAGCCCAGCACGGCCTCCATCCCCATCACCAACACTTCACCGCAAACCTTTTCCAACTTCTCGGCCCTGCTTACATAGGCATGCTCGTCTCCTTCTTCAACTGGCCACTGGTGGTACCGTACTGGATGCGCAATGTGCGTGCGCTCTCCGCGCTCTCCGCAACGATGCTCCTCTCTGTCTTCCCTCATCAGGAACCACGCTTCCTCCTCCCAGCTGTGCCCCTCCTCCTCAGCTGTGTCCCCATGCTCCGCTTCCGCTTTCTGCTTGTCGTGTGGGTTATATTCAATGCAGCCATGGGCTTCCTCATGGGCGTGTATCACCAAGGTGGTGTCGTCCCCACGCAGTTGGCAATGCGCGACATCGTCTCCTCTAGCACAACACACCACATACCTTCCGCCACAGTCTTCTGGTGGAAGACATACTCACCACCGCTGTGGCTTCTCGGTGGGGACAACCAATCCACAGAGATCAATACGTTGGATCTCATGGGGATGTCAGGCGTGGATATGATGCTTCAGCTGGAGCAGGTTGTACCCAGCTGCTCGAACCCATCGTCCGTGTTCCTGGTTGCGCCTACATCGGCTGCATTCCTGGATCCATACTCTGTGTCTGCGCGTCAAAGCCGAGACCAGAATTTGCAACTTTATCCGCTTTGGTCATACCGCAAACACCTTAACCTCGATGACATGGACTTTGGCGAAGACGGGATTCTGCCGACTTTGAAACGAGTCATTGGGCGCCGTGGACTGGGAGTTTGGTCCGTGCGACGATCTTGCAAATAATCTTACTTCTGCTTCTGCTTTTGCATCTCCATGGATCTACCATCTTCATGGATGGGGCGTTGTATTTTTGTTCATCTTCTGGGAATTACTACATTCCCACTTGGATATGGATTGCAATCTCCCTTTTTCTTTTTCTTTTTCTTTGGATATTTTCGGTGCATGTTAGGGTTACTGGGTCCATAAGATACCTTTTGCATTGGGGGTGGGCGTGAATTGAGGTGGTATCTTTGGAATTCTAGTGTTTGTACTTACCTCTACCCATGTGAAAGTAGAACTACTTCAATTATTGATTTTCTTTATTCCCGTCTAAGTTGGTCGGCTCGTTAGGCCCAGGTGATCTATAATAGAGGTAAAAGATATCAAAAATCATGTAGAAAAGGACAAATCCAATGCCCATTTTTGGAAAAGCTGCCCGCTAAGGGGCTATAAGGACTATACATCCAGGCATCAACTCGACATTGAGAGGCCTGGGCACGCCATAATAATCGATCCTGGAGTGGAATGCTGTGTGGGATACATTACCAACAAATTGAGCGGTCCTCGTGGTTCTTAGTCTCAAGTGAAGGATCTAGACTTGAATTCTGCAGTCATATATACATTCCAACCATTCGCAGGTCATCTGCACATGTCTACCTGCATATAAAATGCGCGTGACCACCAATGAGAACCACACCATTCCAGATGACCACATCGGAAGGTCGCGACTGACTCCACCTGTAATCTTACAGAACTACTCAAATATTCTTTATGTAAGCGAACAGGTCCCATTTTGCCCATTAAAGTAGATACATAACAGGCGTGATGGGAGAGATGGAAAAGTGTAATGGAAAGAAGCCAAGTCCATACTCAGCAAGCAGAAACTCAGTGACGCCAAGCTGAGCACTGATTCGTATTCGTAGGAAGGGATCCGGGGTGGAGAGATGGGAATCAATTCAAACAGCAGCATGCTTGGTATTCATCATAGAACATAACGTTAAAGGGGAAGAAGTAGGGGAGGAAGAAAAGAAGTCGAGAGAACATTAGATGCTTTACTGCTCATCCTCATCCGGCTGGTCGAAAAGGAAATTGGCGGCAAGGTCTTCGTTCTTGTCGCAGGCAAAGTAGGCCTGAATGACAGAATCGCGGGGGAAGCCCAGAGTGCACAGCTGGTTATGGGTTAGTTATAAGAACTGTGCATTAGAGGGGAGATTTCAACATACACGCTCAATGGCATCGCGCTCTTCTTCCGTAACCGAGATGGCCTGTGCGCCGGGTGGCAGAGCACCCTCCTCGTCCTCGAGTTCCTCACCAAGAAGCTGCAGGAATTGATCGGAGTTCTGCCCGATGATCGATGCAATTTGGGGATTCCCGGCGGCGACCTGCTGCAGAATAGGCTCGAGCATATGAGGCTGCTGTTGAACAAGCTGACGAAGCTGTTGGAAATGGGGGTTGCTGCGGAGGAATTCCAGGCTGCCGAGAGCTTCACCACCAGCGGCGCCGGCACCGGCACCGGCACCAGCCGCACCGCGAGATCGGCCACCTTCGCCACCAGCCTGAGCGGCAGCTTCGAAGAGGTTCAGGTGGGGCTCGTCACCACCGGAAGGAGCAGCTGGAGCAGCAGGAGCAGCGCCGGTAGGAGCTGGCTCTGAGGCTTGTCGCTGTTGTTGTTGCTGCTGTTCCTGAATGTTATCGGGGATACCCTGCCGTGATCATTAGCAGAGATTCATGATGTAGTAACTTCCAACAAGAACTTACGGTCAGAAGGTATTCGATGGCACGGTCGGGGTTGTAGAATGCAGCGCGCATGGCACGGTCAATATCAGTGCGTGCGAATCCCATTGCTTCCATCTGTACAACTGCTCCCTCAGCGGCAGAGCCCATAGTGAGAGCAGAGGGATCGCCGAAAGCGGGACCGCTCGATGGAGCTGGAGCCGCACCGGCCGGGGAGGGGGTCGCGGGGACGGCAGAAGGGGCAGGGGCGGAGGCAGCATGAGGAGCCTGGGGAGCAGCGGGTGTTGACACAGGAGCTCGGGCAGCTGGGGTCGAGGGAACTTGGGAAGCGGTGGAGGCGGCGGGCTTGGGTTGCTAAGCATCAATGCGTCAGTTTTGTCTCAGTCATCAGAAATCATAGACAAGGTTCATCCCATACCTTTCCAGGCAAGCACACTAGGAAATCCTTCTCTTGGATGTTGTAAGATTCGACTGTCTTGTCATCTTGAAGGATCTTTCCTACAAAGAGAAAAAAAAGTGAGGGTTAGCCATGGCACCGTGGATGGAGAACTAGTCTATCAGGGGATAGAATACGCACCAGAGTAGATGACCTTCATGCGCTCTGCCTCATATTCGCCCTTCTCTTGGGCGATTTTGACCTTGACCTCGCGAACCTAAACAGATGAGCCCCGCACTCGATGACGCCGTCTAGTTGTAGCAAAGGGAACGAACGTACAGTCTCAGAAGGCTCGACATCAATGACAAACTTCTCCTGCTTCAAGTCCTGTGGTTGGTGATTGTCAGCAGTCTGTGGCTGTGAGGACCCCGAAGGCAAGTTTTCGTACCTTGAAAGTGAGCTTCATTTTACCGCTTTTGAAGGAAACCAGGGAGAAAGAGGGGAGGGAGAAAATATGACGAATTGAGATAGGAGGAAGGGAAAGTATTCGATGCAAAGGATCCTCTCAGCGATAAAGTCGAAAAAAAAGTCGAAGAGAATGAAAAGAGAGTAGGAGGGGAGCATTCAAAGTGACGATGATCGATAGCAAACGACTACGGTGACCGCCTTCGAATTTACCGCCACTACGGAGTAACTTCTCTACCAGACACGAACACTTCGAGACAACTTGCAACTTTTTTTTTTTTTTTTTTTTTTTTTTTTTTTTTCAAAAAGCTCTTGATCTTGGGCCATCATTATTATTCCTGTGCACAGCTCACTTTGTATACGGTGCACATATCCACACAAAGAGATTCAGGTCTACTCCATTTGATTCCCAGCTGGTTGCCTGATGGCGCGCTCCAATGACAGCATCTCAGGCAGATATCGAGACTCAATAGGTTGGAGATGCAGATCTGTGTCTAACTTGGGTCTTCAAGGGTACTGCTAGTCAATGATAATTCTAGGCATCAGGAACTCCTTTATAACACAGTATAAAGCGCCACTATTGCCTCTCAAGCAAGTACAACATAGCACGGACGGTATACATTGCAAATATTGTATCCACAGAGGAAAGATGCATATGTGAAATCCACAAAATATACAACCTATGAAGTTTGACAAATTATCTCACTGTGCCAAAAGTCTTCATGCAACATTGAAGTCATTGACCGAATCACAGGTAGACAATGCAAACTATATACTCCATACTTGCTGCACGATCATTGATAACCCAGTCTTTGACTATTCTGTACAGAAATGCCCCGTATGGATCTATAAGCTATACAAAGTGCAAAGTACAACCTTAAATTTACCTGAACTGACCCTATACTTACCTTTAGCCTAGCCAAGATCTAGAGGAGATTTTCCCTTGCAAGGGGGAGAGATACATCACATCTAGTCCACACTATAGGGGTCGAGAGAAGACTCGCCACAACCAGACTGATGGATCAGATAAATAGCGCCATTGTTTGTGAGACTTACAAATTATCGGATTCCTCTGCATGATGGGTCTGGACTGCCAGGCCCCTACCCCAGAATTAGGCACTATGACTTCACCTTGAAGACTGGAAACGCGAAATTGCCAATTTCCACACACATAGTATTATGCATATATCTCGGTCTCAGCCAATCAACACAACCCTTGTCAAGCCGAATCTTCTCTACGGACTCTAACCATTTATGCTAGAATGATAGCTTAGGCCGATCTCTGAGAAAAATCGATAGGTTGGGACGGACAGCTTCCCCGGTATACCCTAGGTACTTTGAAGCCACGCCGAGATCCGCATCGCCCCGTCCCGTGTTGCAACCCTCTAGGGCTTTATATCGACACACGCTCAACTCATAAATACGGACATCTTTCCTCCCAGGAAGCTAGTACCCTTCTTCACATTCGTTACGTGCATTGGCCAAACGTCTTGGATTGGCAATTTGCCAACATTTGACATCCACACACTCTTTACTCTCTTACTCTCTCTTGATATATTTACAGACCATTCCTTTGTCAAGTCTTTCTTCCTTTTCCATTGCCATGCCTCATCTAGTATGCTCATATGTGGCAACCTCCTTGTTCACAACATCCGTTGTCACCATTTTTAATGTGATCTGCTCCGCAACCTCGAAAGCCTCGCCCGATATTGCCTCGACTATCTTGAGTGCAGTGGGCATGGTGGCTTTGGTTACCCTCGGTCTGGTGCACCGCCAAAACATACAAACCGGTCGTCGACGATTGATCTGCTCCGCCGGCGGATATCTAGTCCTTGCTGCTGCTGCATCTGCCGGATTAATCTCTCAGAGTCCTCACACCTCGATATTTATTGTTCGGTCTGTGTTCTGGGCACTATCAGTATTCATGCAAGGCATCTGCTTCGGGTTCTTTGCCCCCGAAGTTGGCCAAGAGAAACCCAATCCTGAATGGCCGTGTGCCTACTCCCAAGAGCTCAAGGATATCCCGGAAACCCCAAATTTTCTCCCATCGCCCCCTCATGTATGTGATTTATCTGATCTATTCGAGCCTAAACGATCCTCACTCCGCAAATTCCCCCGACGGTCCAGCCGCTGCTCAGACTCAACACTCTGTCATTCAAGTACGAAGGAAGGGAAAAACGCCCCCATCGACACAAGTTCCGCTACCCACAGCTCACCGAGCCCATCCCCAACGCAGGATAAAATGCCAGGTACCTTTCCAAACGGGGACACTCACCCCCTCCAAGGTACCCACGGCATCAGCAGCATAGCCAGCATACGCCGCGACCCACCACCCGAACTCTCATTAGATATGATTGCACACCCATCGGTGCCCTCACCCACAGCATCCACAGTTCGCGTCAAGTCTCCAGCACAGTCTGGCTTCAACAGCTCAACGTGGGAAAACAATCGATCTGGCGAAGACAACATCCATCCTCTGTTCCGGTCAACAAGCCAATGTCCATCTCCAACCCATGCGCCAGGGATGATGGTCAAAGCCTCTCCGATTGCGGGGCAGACTCTCACGACGGGGACAATCACCCGCACGAAATCTGCCCGCTCCCTCCGCGACCAGGCGATACAGACGCCCTCCCCGCTACCAGAGTCGGAGGAGACACTCGGCCCAAGAATGACTCCTACTCGTGGTAGTTTTGTACAACCTTCTGAGAACAAGCTTGAGAATGAATCCCCTGACGAAAAGTGATTGATCTACCTTGGGTACATCGTCATCTGTATGACTTGCTAATTTTTTTTCTCTCTTTCTTCTGAACTTTTGCCTTTTTTTCTTTGTACATGATGGGTGGACTTTTGGATATACATATTGATTGTGTAAATAGGGATTGATTGGAATAATCAAATGTTTTTAAAATAAATTGTGGTGGCATATGAAACGGGCGGAAGTATATATTGCAATAGTTGTGTAGCAATGGGCTTGAGTCTTTTGTATTTCTTGTTTCATCCTTGTATTGGATAATCACGGCTCCCGTTTGAGTTCCTTCTCGTATCCCTCTCAGTTTGATATACCTAGGTACTCCGTAGATGACAGCAAACTGGGGTAAAAGTGTAAATCCTACACCTGACTCTTTCTATATATATATATGACCAGGGACTCGTCCTGTGTGGCAAAAAATTGCAATATAATTTGTACACGAATGTCTAGGGATGACCGGTTTCTAATATCGAAGATATTATTCCGTCTAGTATGTTCCTAGAATGCTCATAATTGTTATAGTAGCCAATAGCATTGATTGTAGTTACTGTACATTGCAAGTCCGCATGCGTTGTCACTCCTAGACTAAGTGGGTCCGTATATTTTTTTTTCTGTAGGGTGGACAGTATAGATAGAATGTATAGAATATGAAAGATAGGGTATGAATTAGAATAGGGAGTATGAACTATCATGTTATATAGTATGAGTCCGTATATCCGTAGTATAAAGAACAGACAACATAAGCAACCATCTAGACACGTAGACTCTCCAGAGGGTCGAATGTCAAATATTCCGGTACTTGTGTGCCGGAAGTGGCTGGGGATCGGAGACAGATGTATGGAGTATGGAGTACTTGTATGTCGACTTACTCCCAGGCAGAAGGTATATGAATAGATATGAATAGTTCCCGGTTGAATCTTGGAACGTGGTGTAGATGCTATTGTGGCTCTATTCCCGAGCCTCAGCCGAGCGGAAAAGTCACCGACGGTGAATCGGCAGACCAATAGCTCTGAGAAGAAGAACAATCCTCTAATGAATGAGAAGGGAGACATTGAATGGCATTTGATTTGTAGAGTATTGATAGACTGTATGGGAAGAATAATCCCAAGGTTCAGCTCTCTCTCCCCCATAATCAACTTGTTTTGACCTTTTCCCTTTCTTCTTTTACCTCGACTCTTTTTTTTCTTCCCTTTCTTCATCTCTTCTACTTCTTTCGACTTTCGACTTTCCTGCTTTTCTACTTTCAGACTTCTTAATTTCATCTTCTCGTATCCCTGGGATTCCTACCGTTCTACTACACCCCATTCTCTTTTCCTCCCCCGTTTTTTTTACTTGGCCCCGTTTCCCCATCCACCCGGTCAAATCCTGCAGTAGTTCTCTGCCTTTTCTTCCTTTTTACTTCGCATCTTTTTCCCATATCGCTTTGGTAAGTGTTTCGTGAATCTGTTGAGCCTGTCAACCCCATCTCCCCCTTGCAATTCCCTCCACCTTGTGTTTTTGTTTCTCTACATCCCCTTGATCTTGGCTCTGAAGGTTCTTTGGACCTGTAAGACCTCTGAATCTGTGAGATCATCGGATCTCCTTCATCTTGTTGATCTCCTGAACTTTGATCGCGTGTTCTATGTCTACTTCGCGCTTTTCCCTGCCAAGCCTTTTTTCACTGCTACCAACAAGTGACGTTTCCTTTCTGCATTTGGCGATTTCGCGTGTACTTTTTTTCCTTTTTCTACTACCATTTTCCCCCTTTGAACTGTAACGCTTCTTGAACGTTCGTGATCTCGATTTTAATGTCTTCTTTGATCTATGCCAATTTTCCCCTGATTTCTCGTTCCCCCTTGCTGCTACTGGATCCATTTCCCCCGTCCAAAACTAATTTTCTTCCAAGACAACAGCGATGGTGGGAAGAAGGAAAAATCGCGCGGCTGCACAGCCTGTTACCCGGACTCCTAGTATTTCTACGCGATCTGGGCGAACTGCACAAGGTAAGTTCATACAGGTTTGCGCCATTGGTCCAATCTCTGACCCCATGTATAGATATCATTGCAACTCCCACTACTCGTGGAAGAGGTCGAGGCCGAGGACGTGGTCGCGGCCGTGGCCGCGCCAGTCTCCCTGGCCGTCTTCCTTCTGAATCACCGAGCAGATCAGAAGTTCGCTCGCATATCATCAAATTCAAAATTCCTTCACTTAGACTAATCCAACATGCTGATTCTGATGATCCTCATGAGGAAAATGAGAGCGCAAACGCCAGTGCTGTCTCACAAAATCCAGAGACTCCTCGCACTCGGCGTCCTCGGCATCCTCGGACTGTCCCTGAGTCCTCACGGACCACCCGGCAGTCAGCAAGACTAAAGCCGGATGGGGATGGCGTCTATGAAGAAGATGTCTCGCCAACCAAGATTGTCGATAATCAAATCTCCGAGCCAGATGATGACACGGACTCTCACCATTATGATGAGGATTTCAAATCCGAACCTTCATTCCAAAAGAAATCTCAATCGCCTGAACCTCGCATGGTTGCTTCAGCCCCTGTGTCACCTGGGGCTACCCAGGTCGACCCTGATGCCATGGTCGATGAAATGAACAATAACATAAACGATATCTCTGACCCAGCCAAAGCAAAGGCCGAGGAAACCCCCGTCGGTCAAAGTCCCAAGATCTCACAGATTGAGCAAGCGCCATTCAGTGCGGTGTCTTCACCCCGACTATCGCGCAAGCGGAAGTCGATTGAACTGCAAAATGAAACCCCGGATAATGATTCCGAGGATATTACGAACAAAAAGTTGCGAATTGACGAGACTGAACTCGAACAGACTCCAGAGAGCCATTTCCTAAATGGCACGGAGATTGATACTCAAAATGGAACATCCCCGGAGGACGTCCCTATTCCTTCGGAAGAATTCGACACTCCTGCTTACAACAGCACTGTTCGAGGAGGCCGTGGAGGCCGAGGAGCCCGTGGTGGCCGCGGTCGAGGACGTGGCCGGGGTCGGGGTCGTGGAGGCCGCGGTGGCTTCGTCGGACCAATTCGACCTGTAGCAGTTACCAAGGCTCGAGGCGGCCGAGGACGTGGCCGTGCCAAGGCCGCCATTATCAAACGCGGCAAGAAAATCGAAGACGAGATCTGGGACATCGCGGAAAATTGGCGTGGTCCCACCCCATCCCCTACTCCGGAATCCATGCCAACAAAAACCCGCCAGGAGGAAATGTCTTCGCTGTTCAAGAAAGTTGGACAGGCACAACATATTGCGCTGAGCTTCCTGGCCGAACAAAACATGAATAGGCTTGCCCGCGAGAAAAATATTCACAAAGAATGTCCTGAATTTGATCAAGTCCAGCGGGATCTGGATAGATACGAACGCAAGGCAATTGAGAGAGTGAAAAACGAGTACAAGGTGAATACTGAGTTGGAGACTCGGAAGTATGAGGGCAATGTTCACATTATCAAAAATACTTCAAATGTAAGTTCAGATCCCAGTTGTCTTATCTTTGATGGATTCTAACTTGTGGATACAGCTGCTCATTGAGCAAGTTCAAGAGGAGATGCTTACAATGCTCATGGGCAAGATGATGGCCCTGATCCAGGGCCGCAGGGTGGCCGAGGATGATGAGCACACCGAGGTAAGTACTCCAAAATCCTTCCAACCGATTTCACAGCTAATCAGTCTGCAGTACGATACATCGGACTCAGAACAATCCGTAAAACAATTCCTTTTCCGAGACGGCGAGACGGCGGTAAGACAGGTAGAGCGTGGATTTGCAGCCGAAACAGTTCGAGACCCCGAGGGGGCAGTGGACTTTGTGGCAGCGGAGGAGGGATGGGAGGAATTCGTCCAGAGGGTGCGGATGGGCCGCTTGAACGAGGAGATCGCACCAACAGAAATCACCGACGAAGAGGCTCTGCGAACCTGTGCCAAGGATGCCTTTGGCAGTATGCTTAATGCAGCCACCTTCATCAACGAGCAAGAGGCGGCCGGCAAGGTCGTCAGCTACGATGGTGCCGCAGATTTCCCAGTGCACTCACGGGCACTTTCAATTCTGGCAGATGCAGCTCTGACCGAGCCCCTGCCCCAACATCTCCCAATGATGCGTACCGATCCCGGTACCCACCACCGTGCTCTCCTCCCTCAGCCCACCCACGCCCACCCTGGGCCCCCTCCCTCCTCCCTCCACGGCCACGGGCCTACGGACCCGCGGTCCTTCATCCTCCCCCGGCCCACCCCAACCCAGCAGCCGCGGCGCCTTCTCCCCGCCCGCCAGCAGCTGGGTCTGGGGATGGGCCTGCCAGACCCGTTCGCAATGAACGGGCCGCCGCAGCTGCCCCCTCCCCCGGGCTCGAACTTCGCGCGTCTGCCCCTGCCGGGCTACATGCCCCAGGGCCACGCGCCCTCCCTGTACTTTCCGCCGCCGCCTGGATCGCACCCCCCACCCCCGCCGCGCGGGTACTAGACCCGCCGGCTTGTACCAAGATGTTTGTGTAGCGTTCCCCGCAGTTGATACCAATTCCTTTTTTGTACGTTTAGTCACGATGCCCTCCCCCTGAGTGGGGATAGGGGGGGGAGGGCATCAAAAATGAAATAGATTTTTCTTGTTTTGATTTTCATACTCTCTAGTGGATGAAGATAGAAACATGTGAATATCAAAAGGCTTCAATTTCAAATTCAAATTAGAAGTGAATGACAGAGAAGTGATATTCAAATGAAACTAAAAAGTATTGTAAGAGTAGTCTGAGTAAGAGCTGATAGAACCTTGGAAGCAATTCTCGACAAAATCATCTTTCCTTTCAAATGTGCTCGATGTGAACGCACCGCATGTCAGAAGGTCGGCGAGCCAAACCTTTACCGTGCCGCCTCTCATCTTCATCTTCCATCTATCTTCTCACTTCTTTCACTTCTTTCACTTTCAAGGTTCTTTTACCTCTTTCATATCTCCAATTGGAAAGGAGCCAGCTGCGCTGTCATAACCGACACAACTACTCTAGCGCAGCTGGTTAT